ATACGTTTGGAAAGGAGAAGATTTACGTTTACTTTTTTTTCTCTATCCCTTCCTTTTACTCGTTCAGAAACGCATGATGTAACCGACCATTTTCAAATTAATCTCAATCATTACGAGGCGTCGAAATTAGAAATCGCGTCTGTGTTACAACGCGCGCGACATTTAATGTTTACATAATGGTTTGGGCGAGGTATTGTAATCGTTTCTCTGCGCGGCCGGGAGGTAAGCAAAGCGAAATAGAAGAACTTGCAAACAATGGATGCTGGAGGTAATAACCCGTAATTGCCATTTTCCGCGTGATACAATGTACCGTTAAATTACGAAATTCAAAAATAAATTGTGACTTAGAAAATTGGAATAGAAATTTTTAAGTTTTAAGAAAGGAATTCTAAAACATTTTTTTTAAGAAATCACCCCCCTTCAATTAGAACTATAAGACGTGAAGAATTTTCTATATTAAAAAGTTTATTTAGGGGTTACGTATATCGTAAATTTTAATATTCTTGCATGTTATGGGAGAGTAATCTGAAATCCCTAAGGGTGAGTTTCATATAAGTAGGGTTATAAGCGGTGAATTAAACCTTCATATTGATTTATATTAGGTTTTTATCCTTTTTCCCCCTTTTTGGGACCAACAATAAATTTTTTCTTAATATTTAAAAATTGCACTCATTTTATAAATAACTTTAAGGTGTGAATTGACTTAATTTATTTATTTATTCTTATTAATACCACTTCGAATGACGTTTATTACCATAAATAAATTGCAAATATCTACCCAATGCAAATGACGAAATCCAATTCCGGGTTTAAAACATATTCAATTCACACCGTTACCACAAACCCAACCCATTATGACAGAAAAATACTCAACGAGGTAATTAATTATTTATTAATTTGAAAAACGACACGTTCCATTTTAATTATCGATTATAAGTAACAGAAAATAGTCACGTGTTGTGTAAGATGTCAAGATTTCATCGTATGGTCAACACATTATTAGTTGAAAATACGTCACCTGCGCTAGTTCAATTTGTCTATTACAACCCTCTCTATATCCCCCTTCTTGTTAACTCATACACCTTTGGATATGTTAGCTATTGTATATCATGTATATCACGGTGTGTTGGGGGCGGGTTTCCTACTTAGATGTAGGGGGAATGTTCGTGTCTGGGATGGGTTGGGATTTAATGGGCTCAACAAACCACCACCCTCTATGGTATTCGGTTTTTTTTATACTCGATCGATGATATTATTATTAAAAAATTATTTTGTTTATACAGTAAAAGCACGATATAACGGAAACTAATGCACACAAATTCTTGTTATTTTAGATTGTTTTATATTTTTCATTGAACTAAAAATTGAACTAACACTAGTATTAGTTGTGCTTTTAGTTCAATAAAAACATATAACAATCTAGCACTGAGTAACAATTAAAACTAGAACTAACACTACACCTAGAACTAGAAACATTCGGGTTTAGCCGTTTTAAGAGACGTACGGCTAAACCCGAATGCTTCTAGTTCTATCTCTAGTGTTAGTTCTAATGCTATTGTTAGTTTTGGTTTTAGTTGCTGATCTAAAAATAAAATTAACACTAGAGCTAGAACTAGAAACATTCGGATTTAGCTGTCTTAAAAGAAGTACGGCTAAACCCGAATGATTCTAGGTCTATGTCTAGTATTAGTTCTAGTGCTAGTATTAGTTCTAGTTGTTATTCAATACTAGATTGTTGTACAGGCTGGTTCAAATTCGATGTCCGAATAGGCTAATCACTAATTATTCGCTTATTAAATTCGTTATGTTTTTCTGATTACAAAAATATAGAGTTAGACAGCTCTATTTCTTATTGTTTTAGAATAAAGCTAAAAATAAACTTTTTTTTAGTGTCGTCAAAGAAATTAAATTTACAGTTTCCTGTAAATTGTAACTAAAAATTAAAAAAAAACTTATTCCTTATATTTGAATCAAATACATTTGTTAAACTATCTAATTTATATTTGTTTTACACAAAAGTTGGAATAGATTGCATTATTTCACATTTTTTATTAATATTTAATATTATTATTAAATGACTTAATAAATTATTGATAGATGGCGCTCATATATTTTTATTAAATTCAAATAAACATAGCAATATTTGTTTGTATNTGTTGGGGGCGGGTTTCCTACTTAGATGTAGGGGGAATGTTCGTGTCTGGGATGGGTTGGGATTTAATGGGCTCAACAAACCACCACCCTCTATGGTATTCGGTTTTTTTTGTACTCGATCGATGATATTATTATTAAAAAATTATTTTGTTTATATACGATATTGTACGTAAATATATTATATATTATAGTATTGTACGTTTATTGTACAGTAAAAGCTCGATATAACGGAAATTAATGCACATAAATTCTTGTTATTTTAGATTGTTTTATATTTTTCATTGAACTAAAAATTGAACTAACACTAGTATTAGTTGTGCTTTTAGTTCAATAAAAATATATAACAATCTAGCACTGAGTAACAATTAAAACTAGAACTAACACTACACCTAGAACTAGAAACATTCGGGTTTAGCCGTTCTAAGAGACGTACGGCTAAACCCGAATGCTTCTAGTTCTATGTCTAGTGTTAGTTCTAGTGCTAGTATTAGTTCTAGTTCTAGTTGTTATTCAATACTAGATTGTTGAACAGGGTGGTTCAAATTCGATGTCCGAACAGGCTAACTCGGAAACTATAAGAATTAGAAAAAAAGTAGCTTACATGTCATTACCTCGTTTTTCGTCTTTTGTGTTTCCCCTAGAGGCCAAAATTGAAAATATCGTAAAACCAACAAGTGCAATTATCTTGGTTATTGTTATAGGTGGAGTATTATAACTAAAACATTATATGGACACTTTTTTACAGAGAATTTGATTACGTAGTCAAAAAAATGTTTTCGGTTTTAGATTTTGAGATATCATGACAATTTTCGTTTTTTTAAATGGAAACAACCACTGATTATTCACTTATTAAATTCGTTATTTTTTTGCTGATTACAAAAATATAGGGTTTGGCAGGTCTATTTCGTATTGTTTTAGAATGCTAAAAATAAACTTTTTTTTTAGTGTCGTCAAAGAAATTAAATTTACAGTTTCCTGTAAATTATAACTAAAAATTAAAAAAACTTATTCGTGATATTTGAATCAAATATATTTGTTGAACTATTTAATTTATATTTGTTTTACACAAAAGTTGGAATAGATTGCATTATTTCACATTTTTTATTAATATTTAATATTATTATTAAATGACTTAATAAATTATTGATAGATGGCGCTCATATATTTTTATTAAATTCAAATAAACATAGCAACATTTGTTTGTGTTAAAAAATTTTCTATAGTGTCAAATTAAAATCCTGTTTTTTAAGATGGATTACGAAAATTACGAAAATAAAATAAGTTTTATATAAATTTTTAGTACAATAATTTTTAGTTATGGTACCGTAATTTACAGGAAACTGTAAATTTAATTTCTTTGACAACACTAAAAAAAAAGTTTGTTTTTAGCTTTATTCTAAAATAATAAGTAATAGACCTATCAAACCCTATATTTTTGTAATCAGAAAAAAATAACGAATTTAATAAGCGAATAATCAATGGTTATTTCCATTTAAAAAAAAACAAAATTGTCATGATATCTCAAAATCTAAAACCGCAAATTTTTTTGACTACGTCACCAAATTCTCTGTAAAAAAGTGTCCATATAATGTCTTAGTTATAATATTCCACCTATAATAATAACCAAGATAATTGAAGTTATCCGCGCGTCTCTTAAGACGGCTAAACCCAAATGCTTCTAGTACTAGGTCTAGTGTTAGTTCTAGTTTTATTTCAATGAAAAATCTAACGCTAAATAACAACTAAAACAACAACTAATACTAGACCTAGAAGCATTCGGGTTTAGCCGTCTTAAGAGACGTATGGCTAAACCCAAATGTTTCTAGTTCTAGGTCTAGTGTTAGCTCTACTTTTAGTTCAATAAAAATATACAACAATCTAGCGCTAAATAACAATTAAAACTACAACTACTGTCCTTGATTTATACATCGTATAGATAACTCCGGGAATACGCCGAGTTTATCTATGAACATGGAATAGAGCAACTTAAGGAACAACCCGGATTGGATTCTATCTATGAGTGCTAACATTTATATTATATTTAATTTAATAATAGCGAGGTCCGTTATATTGAGGTTTTACTGTACTAACTTAGAAATGTTGTAAAATTTCCAATTCAAGTCATCCAATTTGTTTCAACAATAACTTCGCACGTGTCCTATTAGAAGTTACATTGTATGTCGTTGATTTGTATAGTACAATAATAAGGAAGACGTCATTGGTTACGGTAGTGATTTGGGTCTCTTTTGGCATTCGATAGCCGGAACAATGCCGAGTCCCTTCTGGATCCTCGTTGTCTGCGAGTAGGGTGGTACGCGAGAGTAAATACTATAAGGGAACAAGTGCATTTTCGGCAACGTTTTCAGTTCCGATAGTAGTTCCCCTAACGCCCTGGGGTGTGTGCGGGCATTTAATGAAAGTACTTTAGTAATACTCCCGAATGTGTACCTATACAAGTACTACATTCGCTCTCTCTTTTTTTTTATGTTTAATTTTTGAACAGGTTTGTTTTTGTAAAATCACAGTTTTTTATTCAGATTGCATTTCTATCTAATTTGTTCATTAATAATTGAAAAGTAATTTTAAGATTTTGTATGTTAAATATTTAAGGTTTTTTACATAATGTTGTATTTTATGATTAAGTTTTGATATATTACTGTATCCAAATGTAGATATAAAGACTCACCACGACTTCTAGTATCTCTAAATAAAGAATACAACGATGCCGAATTTGGTGGCAAATTACAAAAACATAGAATATAAACAAAACATAGAAATTATAAAAGATAAGAGATTCCTCAGACCTGATAGGGGAGGCGGATAAAATTGGCTGGTGCAGTACTTACCGAGTCTTCCTTTTGCTTGCGTTGTTTGTGGACCTCTTCTGTTGTGGATGATGATAAGATGATGACTTATTAGACTGTTCTGTTTGAGTAGTGTTCAAAAAGCTGGGTAACGTTTCTTTGAATGTCTTTCATCATGGCCAACAAAATATCTCTTTCTGGTAATGATGTCAATTGTTCAATTTGACTTCTTAACATCTTGTCTAAGAGTACGCTGGATATGTATAGGCATAGTTCTTAATCAAATACCTCAAGAAACATGGAAGTAGGAAAACCGAACACAGTTGTTTTGTCAGTACTTTTGAACTTGTTTCTGAAGAAAGTTCTAACATAGTACTCGAAACGTCAAACAATTTTTCAATAGAAGCACGTCATAACCCCCAAGTTTTGTTTGCTTTTCGATTCAGTTCTTCTAGTTTTGTTATCAACACCAAGATAAAACACCAAAATTGAATTTGTCGATATGTTTTGTGATAAATCATTGATTTAAGTCAAAAATGTTATTTGTAGTTATTACTGCTTATGTTGATGACTTACTTAGTTGATAACAATGTTGGTATTAAATCGGCAGATTCTCTTCTATTAGATATTGCCGACAAAATGGTAATATCTATACATTAATAATTACATAATTTCTTTTACTAGCTTCTATGGTGCAGTGACTTTGTTTGTAAAATTTGTAATAAAAATTAATCAGCTCTATTCAAGTATCTAATAATAAACATCAAGCTAAATTAAAACTGGCTCATCGATGCACTATCTATTTTAGTTATTTGGCTAAAAATAAATTATTAATTTATTTATTAAGAGTTAATGTCAAAAATAATTGCTATATACCTTTTAAGAACCATTTCTGTTAATTAGAATAAATGATTCCAGAATTAAAACAAAGCTTTTTCAAACTGAAAAATAAAATTATACGATTCTTGCCGGATTATTATTTGTACTGGAAACGATCCATCACAATTAACTAAAGTCACCAGCTCATTTCCGATTTCTCGCTATTCCATTTTCGTTAAGCTGTCGATTTCCTTTTATTTTGCATAAATTGGCCCCGTTCCAAGCTCTGTTCGCGCAACAAAATCAAACGGGCAATTAATTAGATAAGCACGCTTCCCTTTCATCCTGCATCTAATTACAACTTGCACACATGTCTCGGGCGTGCTCGACCAGAACACCTCGGTTCTCTCATGATCTCCTTCGGCCCTCATCTCTTTTTATTCCTATGCTTTTTCCTGAATCTTTTCCCCTCTTCATCACCTCAACGTGCTTTACTTCAAAAAGAAAAACAGTAACAAAGGAAAAACAAGAAAACCAAACAAGGAGAAGAAACAAGAAGACTTGCGAGGAAACGGAGAGAACTTGTTCGTCTATCTTTCTCGTTTCTTCTTAGCATCATCCACACGCTGTGAAGAAGATTTCGCGTAGATAGCAGCCAGTATTTACGCGACGCGAAGAGAGGGAACTAAAGATAGACGTAAAGAAGTCCGCGGGCCAAACGTTCCATCTCGACCCGACTCGAACTCTTTTCTCTCTTCCCTTCCCTTCTTCTCTTTTTGAAATTTAACGTTGACGTCCAACAGCTGGTGCGTTTATGCGCGACCCGATCGCTACTCTTTAAGTTCTTCTTTTCAAGACCTCTCCATTCAGTATTTATTACATAGGTACTTGTTTCGAGATCGGTTTCTCTCTTCAATTTTCATCTCTTTTTACTGCATCTCTTTTTAGTTTGTTTGGCGCCCCTTTAACGATATCTCTTTCTTACATTCGATTCGCACGAACCATCCTTTAAAAGTCTACTTGTCTTTACGGTCGCGTGCACTAATGAGGCAGAATGAAAAGAGGATTTTAACATGGCAATACTATTTCGACTTTATTTAACCTATTGGTTGAAGGAGTTGAGTGATCTTTTGAAATTAGAAAGTTAAATTAAAAGAATAAAATAAAAATTATTTTAAGTATGGATGTAGATTTGGTTGCCTATATGCAACTTATTTATATAATTTATAATAAGTATGCGTTACAGTTTACTGTAATAAAATTAGTTGTGGTGTTTGCTAATCAAAATACTTCCAAGTTAAATGTTACATATATAATAAAAGCTATCATAACACTATTTGTATTTTAATTTTAGTTTCTGATTTTCTGTCTCGGAAAGCGTATTTAATATGGCAATCAGAAATAAAAGTAGTTCTTAATTTTTGTGATTCGATTTTCATCTCAACACAGGTTTGCGTTGTCTCATTAGTTAATGGTGGAGTGTGTGCAGAGAAGATTCTTAGAAGTTTGTAATTACACTTATAAGAAATGAGGCTTTAAGAAAAAGTGGGGAACATATTCTAGTTAAGTTGAAAAAATCTGAAATGACTATAGTCAGACTCTACCTTTCAAAAATAAGTGTTTAGTTGACATAATCAGGTATCATGTAGGAAAACTTACTATATCGAGAGTCCTTCCTTTAAGAAAATGTCAAGAATTATGTATAGTTCGTTTTTTTTCTATAATACTTGTCAATGTAAATTATTTAGGGTTTCTGTTGGTATTATCTAGGACCCTTATAAAATTTATGTTGTTTTGATGATTTTTAGTAACATTTTCAGTAACTAATTAGTTGAGGTTAAATTACTAATAAATTTTTAGATACATACGATTTTGACGAAGTACATATTTGTTGTAAAAACGTGCTACAAAGTAATTAATAGAATAAAATACCTTTTCTAGGTAAATAAATGGCAAATAAACACCCCACAACACTTTTTATGCACCTTTTCTTTTTGAATAACGAAAGCTCAAACGTCAATGTGACAATACTTCAAAACATGATAAAACAAAACTCCCTGTTAATTTTGCCAACTTTACAACAATTTGACAGGTATTATAGAAAAAAAATGAACTATAAACCGAATCGCAAACGGTAAGAAAGCTGCAACTACATTGACAACACATCAGATTTTCAAAGAAAGTCAAAAACCACGCTGTAAGAAGTCTGTAAACACACTAGCACGATTTTACACTATGGAAATGTTTGGTTTTATACTGATAGGATTGTAGACGCTTAACGAAAGGATCAGTCAACGGTTTAGTTAGAAGAGTACTTTTCAACTGCGCATAACTGTCACATTAACTGTCAAAAGTGTCGTTGGAACAAACCACGATTTTTTTTATGTCAAAATACTGTCATGTTTGGCATAAAGAAAGATGTAAACTTCCAATTACACCACATTAATCAAATATACAGTTTATAATTCACTTCCGTCTTGAACAAACAATGCGATATGGGATTAAAAAGAAACATTGTGCCATGAAATTCGTTTACCTATAAGCCAATATTTACCTAAAAGATATAAAGAATAACAAAGTTGGGTGGATCAAAATGTATAAACATATTTTGGTTAACGTTATTTCTCAATCACAGTATTTGTCATACAACAAATAAAGTGAATGGGATTTTTTTGTATACCAATATGTAAAAAGTGACTCAAATTATTTTATTTTTTATTTCGTTTAGAATCGACGAATTGAAAGCATTCTAAACAGTTGACCCAATTGTGTGTTAAGTGACTGATGACGGGGTAATACTCGATAAACTCCTCATATTTAACTTTAAATCGATTATAAAAAATTTCTTGGAATAAAATTACGCAAGTACATATACGAATGTTTTTCGCAATATAAATTTAAATCTATAACCAGTTATTAGGAACGTGATTAATAAATTACATGAAAAATACAAAGGAAACGGTTTTAATTGTAAAAAATTGTATCAGTTCAATTTAAAACTTGAATAAACACTTATATTTGCCGCCTTCTTAAATTAGTTCAATTAGTGTTCAACGAATTCGTCTCGACTCATGAATATAATCAAGATCGCATTGATTATGTAATCGTTTATTTAAAACCAACCACGTGGGTTTAAATTTTTTTGGTATTTAAAAAAGTATTGTGGGGGTATTTCCCCGCGAGTAACACATGTTGCGTCATCGGAAGGAATTCCAGAATGGTAACTCAAGTTGGGCATCTTAAAACATAACGTCTCTGTCAAGGAGAACGTTTCGTAGAGTTAAAACCATGAAATAACCGGTCTCCACCTTTTTTTTTTAATCCTCCTTTATCATGTAAACAGATAGGAATCAGTTATTGTAGATACAACGTTGAAGCCGACGATTAGTATTCGTTACCGCGTTGAAATTAACAGGAGTAAAAATTATTTGTCGTCGCGAGTGGTATCGAAATACTTTCGCGTATTTGTAATTTACGGATCAGGACGTCATTCTCGAATATACTCTAAAAGTGTGTTGGCCCGAGACAAATCGAACGAAGCCATCAAACGTGTCGGTTGTGTTTTTACTATTTGTGCGAGAGAAAACAAACTTGAAGGTTTTAAAACGTTTTTTAATTTTCTAATTTATTTGTGAATGTGGGTGATTTAAAATAAAATGTGGTTTTCTATTTCTGTTATCTGTTTGATAGTTTCAGTGACCTTAGCTCAGGTATGTAGAGATAGTGACTAACTAATAAAGTAAATAATAGGTGTATCATATTTACACCATACAAATTAAGATTTTTATGATTTAAAATTTAATCTTATAAATTAATCAGAAGAAAGTTTTTAATGAATTAATCATGACCCTCATAACGTCACTTCCTCACAAAAAATACCAATCTTAATCTTTATACTACAACTTAACATTTCTTTCTAAAGACAAACTTTTTAAACGGTATTATTTGAAGAATTAATCAAAAAACCTGAATTGAAAATATATGGGTACCCAGACAATCAAATAGAATAAGAATGTTATACAGATAAGATAATAAAAGCGAAAAAAAATGTGTAAATCTAAAATAAACGTTACTCACGATTTTTTTTTAAATAAGTTTGATTTCGTTTTATACTAGACATTTTATCAACAGTAAATTTTTCATGGGAAAATAGTTTTTAATAATAGTTCATCAACAATAAAAATTAATTTACTGAGATTTTTATGACGTCACTTTGTTACAACATTAATATAAAAAAAATGTTAATACCGATTTGTTGATTCTTCCAAAACTGTTGGTTAACCACAAATTACTATTTCGGTAAACCAACGAAATTATATTGAATGTAAAAAATAAACTTCCCAATTTACAATAAATAATTTATATTGTTTAGAGATCCTAGAATTGTTATTTAAGTTGTAAATTATAAATAATTTTTATTGTGAAATAGAAGAATGTTTTAAATAGATTTTCTGACGTCATTAAAAACATTTTTGATCGAAGAGTTATTGGTTCGTATGCATCAAATCAATATTTGGGTTACTTAACATATTTTCTTAGCATGATTCAATTACAAATTCCACATCTAAAAATAAATCTTCCACATTTTTTTTTTAATTTACCAATTTTTTTTATACAGGGAATTTCATACAGTGAATTTCACTTAAAATGCAATATATAAAAATATATTTCCATAGAAACCAGGGCGTACCTACTTACTTTGTTACACATAAAATGCAACATGCCTGAATGTTTCTTGTTGTAGGTCTAATGTAAATTCTAGTGACAGTGGTAGGTAGCACTAGTTAACATAAGATATCAGTATGTTCTATACTTTTATTGAACTAAAACTACGACGCACGGCTAAACCCGATATTTTCTACTTCTAGGTCTAGTGTTAGTTCTAGTTTTACACTAGCACTATCACTAGATCTAACACATGACTTAGAACTAGAATCATTCGGGTTTAGCCGTCTTGAGAGACGTGCGGCTAAACCCGAATGATTCTAGTTCTAAGTCATGTGTTAGTTCTAGTGCTAGTGTTAGTCTAGTTTTATTTGTTATTCAGCGCTAGATTATTCCGTTATATCGAGATTTTACTGTAATGTAATATTATATTAACATATTGCATTTTATGTGGGACAAAGTATATTTTTGTATATTGCATCTTAAGTAATATTCACTGTATAATTCATATCTGTATTTATCTTTTTGATTTGTTAGAAATTCGTCCTTATCAATTTTTAAGGCTTAATTTTCGGTGATCTTGCAACTTTTAATTAATAATTTCATTAAAAGTTTCAGTATTATCTATCATCACTATTTTCTTCAACAATGATTTATTCACCTGTATTTACGATATTTATTAATAAATAACAGCACTATACTCTAAAAATTAAAGTAAATGTGTAGATAGAGTGTACACAAGGAACGAAGATAAAACGTTATCTTAAAAATTACTCATAAAACTTCACTTAGTTTACTGACAGACGGAGTGATTGAATTGAATATGATCGAGCTTCATTTTGCAACACTTCCTTTTCCGTTAGATCTTTACACTATATTCGTAGGAGTTCTCTTCTAGTCTTACTCACGACAGTTAGCGACGTTTTCATTTCGACAACTTTTAGTTTTACTCGTATCTTATGTTTTTATTCCGTATCTCATGACGAGTCTTATGCAACCTTTATAAATTATTAACATGCTGTCTATGGCGTAATGGAAAAAGTTTTATTACCAAAACTACCATCTAAATTGGCACAATCGCATGCAAATATAAAATGTTTTCTTGTCCTGGTTTCTTGGACAAATAGAACAAAATTACTTGACCTTCTCATTTGAAGTTTAGGTTTTACCGTCTAAAAATTTTGTTAGAGACCGGAACAAATAATAATCAAAATATGTTAATTCTAGAGAATAATGGTGGGTGTGGCAGTATATCTCATCCAAGCTGTAAAAGCTTTTGGCGAGTTACTGGAACACTACAATGACCTAAACCACAAAGCAGTACTAACTTATGATCACTTCCTTAGCAGTTTCATCATTTTGAGTACAGTAAAAGCTAGTTACGATGTTACTTGCTGTTGACGTAAACAAAAATGAATTATAAACAAACTGAACCAACATTATTGAAACGACGACTTTTGGCAAACGTTTGTGGTGTAAGAAAGAAGTGTATCAAGAGATCTAGGGACTAGAACCAAATCAAAAAAATTTTTTGATCTATACACTCTTCACATTAGAAGAGAAACAATAGTTCATGGAAAATCTATAACGTGTTATTCCAAAACGCTATCGGTCGGCTGGGAGATAAGATAAGATAAAGTGAAATAAGTAGAGATAAAATTTTTGTGGGGTTACGAGATAGTTTTCTACAAATATCTTATGATGACATTAAAACCTATGCCATTACAATGTGGTCCAAAAATAAAAAATGTTTTGCAGGTTTACCTTATAAAGTAAAGTAAAGTCAAGTAAAGTAAGCCAAAAACTGTATTGATTTTTTTTTGTTAGGCTTTTTGACCAAATGTTTATGATTTTTACCATACAAAGAAGCTTTAGTTGCTAATTTGTCTGATAGTAAACTTCTCAAGTCTTGAGATTCAAGAGATATTTTAGCGGCAGATCATGTTCACCTCTTTATTCTTTATACCATTTATAACTTCCTTCTGTTTATTCTTTTTAATTTCCTGTTTTATTTCTGCTGTCCACCAAGCTGTTTATTTCTTATATTGTGCATTTCGTAGCCTTTTTTAACTTTTTAAATTACACATTTACCTATTGATAATTTTAAAAACGCCTGGCTTTTGATTATTCGGTTTCTATTTCTCTTTGATTGCCACGGTTAATCGGAACTCTACTGTAAGAATTTTATTATGAATAAATTTACATATAAATTTTTATTTTATTATTTCAACATCGATCGTTTAAAAGAATTTTGTCTGAGTAAATTGTTTTAAGATAAGAACGAATTGGTAACTAAACGTTTAATTTGATATTTTAAAAATCATAAATCTTTGTATGAATGTTTATACAATTTGATTGAAAAATGGTATTTGGGCAAACTAAATATTTGAATTATTGTAGATAACATATGTAATTTCTGAATCGCATCCGGTAATTGTTTATGTTCGTTCAAAATCCTTCAACTTAGTTATTGCAAAATCGAAAAGCTACACATGTCGTTTCTATTTTCGTTCCAACGCAAGAATGTCGTCTATTTTTAAATAGTTATTGTTATTTTTCATATTGTTGATGACAAATTTTTTTATGAGTATCAAATTACGATTTATTTAAACGTCAGAAATATTCAATTAAATAAGATTATAACTTCTATATCTATGTAAAACATTTATATTAACTTTGATAACCTTTATTCTTAAGATAAAACTAATAAATTTTTTTTTCAATTTATTTTTAGATCGTTTTACCGCCGTTTCGTCAAATTTCTCACGACATTCAATCAGGACCTATTGAAATAAACAACACTACGATTTTTATAAACAAACTTTATTTCGATGGCTTAGCGCCGAAAGCTTATTTTTTGGTTGGAAAAGGTCAACCGAATCAAAACGGTACTAAAATAGCGTATTCAAACACGAGCACATTACCAGTATTTTCAAATGCAAACATAACACTTCAACTTCCCAACAATACAACCATAGGGGATATTGATTATTTAGCCGTTTGGTGTGAAGAATTTCAAATTAGTTTAGGACATGTTTTTACAAACGAACGATGGATATCACGGACAAATTCGTCAGGAATGGTAGGAAATTAAATAAATATTAATACAACAAAACCTCGATATAACGGATCTCATTAGAACGGATTTTAGACTTCTCACTACTTGGTTATTTCCCAAGTTCCTCGATGAACATGAATCATAGATAAACTCGGGGAATACCCCGACATTGTTATATGTTTTTTATAGACGTTTTTTTCATCTTTCGTTAGTTCTAGTTTTAGTTGTTATTTTAGCTTTAGATTGTTGTATATTGCCCATTGAACTAAAACTAGAACTAACACTAGACCTAGAACTAGAAACTTTCTAGTTCTAAGTCTAGTGTTGGTTCTAATAGTAGTATTAGTTCTAGTTGTTATTCAGCGTTAAATTGTTGTATATCTTTCATTGAAGTAAAACCAGAACTAACACTAGACCTAGAATTAAAAACATTCGGGTTTAGCCGTCTTAAAAGACGTACGGCTAAACCTGAATGTTTCTAGTTCTAAGTTTAGTGTTAGTTCTAGTTTTAGTTATTATTCAGTGCTAGCTTGTTGTATATTTTTATTGAACTTCTAGTTTTAGTTCAATAATTCTAAGAAATAAAGAACGCAACGTTGTGGATAGCTGTTCGAATATGTGTGTATTAAAATGATTCATTTAAACAGTTTAAAATGAACAATAAAATTTTTTTGTTTCTTCGTTAATCTGTTATATGGAGGTTTTACTGTATTAATTTATAAATATTAAATCATACTTTTTTTAGATTTTACCTAAAACAATTGGATCTTTTAAAAACACAACGAAAAACGTTTCTTGCGAAACTATAACCTTATTAGACGAAAAAAGGATTTTTGTAACTAATTTTAACTACTTAGGAAATGATTCAGCACAATTTAGGGTTGGAAAAGGATCACCATCATCGGATAGTATCCCCGTTTATCTTAAAACGGGGGGAACATATTTCAATAACACATCAAACTCGAATATTACACTTGTTATAATAAATAACAATGATTCAATGAGTAACACATTAATCGATTTTGATTATTTGGCTGTATGGGGAAGGGATAATAGGAGTTATGGACACGCATATTTTATAGATACACCAAATGATGTAAGTTTTTAACTTTAATTAGGTAATATTACATTTTAATAAAAATGATTAATTTGTAGATGGAAAAATATATAGGAGAACAATTTGAGGGTTTTGAAAACATCGAATACGGTTTAAAATCCGGCCCGATTATTCGTGTCAATAAAAACACCATTTACATAACGAATTTTTACTATAGAGGATTTGGTAAGGAATACTTTTGGGTGGGTTTAGAAAGAAACGATCCCCATGTGGGCAATTCCATTCCAAATCAATTAGGTGAACATAATTCCCCTATAAGTAAAGATTCTTCTGGTTCTTCTTTCTATTTAACACTATCCGAATTATCTGAAAATGAAGTTTATTTTTTTGGTATTTGGGATGCTGAGAGCACCGCTTTAATAGTAAAAATTAATTTTATTGGGCGTGGTGATGATGTGCCGGCTAAAATAACGGTAAGATTTTAAATCAAAATTAATTTAAAAAAGTGTTTATTTTTATTTCATGATTTAGGAGGATGGGAAGCGAATAATAAGATATCCAAAATGTTGTCAACATAAATTTATGATGACCGATAAAGGATGTTCACAGACAGACTTAGTTTTGGATAATTCCATCCCGGTTTATTACGCAAATTTAACACATTTAAACAGCGATCCAATGATTTCTGACCGAGTTATGTACGTTCCTTATTTGAACAACTTATCATGTCCCAGATATATGCTTAATCCATACGAAGAGGATGATAAATTTTATTATTTATCTTCGGGAACTTTATTATATCCTGGTAATCAAGAACATTATATGCAAGACGATTTTTGTTTGGATATTATTGAAATTGACGGTGAAATTTATCACACTACATTTATTTGTCACTCTCAATATGCTATGATGGAAGGATGGAGAATAGCTATTTGCGTTTGTATGTTAAAAATCTTTTAAAACATGAATAAACTGTTGAATAATTTGAATTTTTTGTTGTAGGTGTTTTTCTTTCGGCGATTTGCCTTTTTATCACAACGGCAACGTTTTTTTTGGTAACGGATAAAGACGATATGCGCGGAACTTCCGTTGCTGGTTTCGCAGGATTTATGGGGGTGGCATTTTTCTGCTTGTTTTTAACACAAAGCGGGTTGGAATCGGAAAAGTGGTGCAACGCGTTAGGTTTTATTTTCCAATTTTTTATTGTATCTTCGTTGATTTGGTTGGATGCTCTTTGTTACGAAATGTATTACAATATTAAGTGAGTTTAAATTGGAATTACATCAAAATGTATATTAAACATATTCATTTTTTTAGAAATTATAACACGGATAAAATTATAGGCACTTACAAAAGGCGAGCTATAACTTATTTTTCAATCGCAATCATTTTCCCTCTAATATTCGTTGTATCTGCAATTATAATAGGCGTTCCTGTGGGATTAATTAATGTTAATTTAGATAAAAATTGCTTTTTAAACGTTTGTAAGTATCTTTTATGATTCTTTTTAGATCGATTTATTATTGATTATTTTTTTAGCAAGCAAAAAATGGTTGCTTTATTCACCGATTTTAGCTGCGATTCTAATTGCTGTTATTGGAACTATTTACAATTTGTATTTTTATCGAAAGACTCATTTGAAAAACAGAGGTGATTCGCGAAATGCTATGTTTTGGAAACATTCTAAAAATGATATAAAAACACGGTTTGTACACTATTTCTTCATAATTTTTAATTTTAGTTTCCTTTTTAACTTAAAATAATTTGCATGTATATATTTTTTAAATAACCACTTTGCCAGATTTGCACAGCTTTTATTATTATTAGAACTGTACATAGTAAAAATATGCTTATTCATTTGCTTTATCATATTTTTATATAGCTTAAAGCTTGTAAATAGCTTTTTTATTACAGTGCAGTTCTGACATAGTGTTTTAAAAAAATTTTTATTAACACCATTGGTTTTATACCCAAAATAGTCAAGACCAGCCATTCACCGATTGGCAATTGTAAGTAACTTTGTAATATATTCTATCTTATTTATGTTTTATTTATTATGTGTTTCTCCTTTGCTTAATAGTGTAATATGTATGTAAACATAATCTAGTTGAGCACCAGTAGTCGCCATAAAGTTAATTGTATGCTTGTTTCATAATAAACTGATGTTTGACTAATGGAAGATACAGAGTTTTTCAGTAACTCCCATTTGAGCCAAAATTTTTCATCAATATGTGGTTGAAACATTTCCTTTGAGTGAGAAATGTATGTTTTTGTTGTAATTCCAGAATCATGTTTGAACTTAAAACTGTTCTCTACCAAATCATATCTCAACTTCGTTAATGTAGCTAATTGTACACAAAATGTTAATCACTGTACGCAATTTTTATTTAATTATATTTTTAATTTTATTAATTTTTCTTACAGTTTGGTGCAGTCCGCATACTTGGTTGTTTTTACCAGTGCTTTCTGGTTCTCTGAAGTGATTACTTACGCAATAGAAAGTCCTTGGGACGCTTTGGATATATTACACGCTCTTCAAGGAGTTTTAACGTTAGTTATCGTTTTGACAACCGGGCAAACTTTCGCGAAATTAAAAGAAAAGTTTGGTTGTCAGAAAAAGTCGAATAGTAACGGTAGAAAATATCATGACGAACGTATGGCGACGGAAGGGACTGAACTTACACTTATGAACAATAACACAAGCGTTAGTAACCCATAAACCAAATAAACGAAAATTAAAGAATGTGTACTAGTCAATATAAGTTACTAAATACGTTTGAAACATGTTCATTACCTTCATTTATACTTTTTTAGTATTAATCATATTATTGTTACATTACACATTGTTTTAAGACAATTATTTATTTTTCATATATGTTTTAATCTTTTTTTTGTAATATACATAAATATTTGTAAGAAACTAGGTACCTTATTTGATTATTTTTTCTAATTTTGATAAGATGAAACTTAAATACATTTTAATGATTCGACAAAAACTTGGAAATAAAAGAGAATATTTAACAGCAATAAATAATAATCTTTATTAGTTGATTTGCAGACAAACATTTTAAAGGCAACTTTACTATTTATTATTACAAACTTTTATCAAGTTTTCTAGGCTTTAATTCGCAATAATTACATCTGTGTTAAATGTGATCAACAATAAACTATAAAACTTTATTAACTAAATTGTTCATAACTTTGTTCTTTGTATCCCATCACCCTTTATTTATATCCTAAAATCAGTTTTGGCCAGTCAAGGAAGAATAAAAGTAACAAAAAAATCACTGGTTTCAAGTTAAACAAAATGCTCATAAAAAATGCATACAAAATAATCTCTTTTAAAAGATAGTTGCACAGCCTAAATAAACAACCAACATATTATACTAAATAATAATTAAAAAAAAGTTTTTTTTTTAATTTCTTTTTGTGTTTACCCTACAGACATAAAAACTAATTTGTTGTTTCAAAGCTACCCTTTGTCATTGTACCTTCGTGATAAAATACCATATTATTTTCAAATTTAAACTAAATCCCATTTCTATTTCAATCATTTTGTTTATGCCTTAATGGAAACGGTTTGCTCACACCCAAAACGCTTTGAACTTTATCTTCAGTTTCACTAAAATAAACCAATTGAAACAAACCGGAACCGCTAACTGGAGCTGATCCCAATCCGTTAAAACGAATCGAAAATTCCTTTGGTTTTACAACACCTCTTGAAGAGGCATTCCCCGGATTTCTCGGTTCCGGAATGGGACTGGATTGTTTATAAACGTATTCGTAGGAGATGTATTCATCTAAACTACTAAAGTTGTGCTAAAAAAACAATAAATATAAAGATAAGAAAAAGGAATAAATATAAAAGATATATAAATACCTTAAAAACTCCAATCCAATCTTCTTTCGTTTCAGATATTTCTTTAGTAATGTAATAAGTTACCATGTTATCATCATCAGCCCACCAGAAAGTAATATCTTTGAATTGGACAACTTCCTCGTCGTAATCTGCAAAGACCTGAACACCTCGGGTTCTCATTGAATCCACTTTATGACTGCGCGGAATCTAATAACACATTGTATAGGTGAATCGGCGAGAAATAATAAATAGTTAGTAAAAAAAATTCAAATGAAATGATATTAATGATTAAAAAAAGACTGCAAGACTAATTATTAATTATAGAAGTATGTATAATCTTGTCGTCTCACCTATACTCCTTATAAATACATGTTTATTTCATTTTAATATAAAAAAATTTAGTGAAAATAAATTTTTGAAAAACAAGAAATAAACATGTATAAAGATAAGGATGTGTTAGTATAATGATAACAAATTTAAACGCAAATATGAATGAAAAATACCTTGATTATAAAATCGGAGGAAACAGGGCGATGATCACTCAAAACATATTTAGGATGAGACTTGTAGCTTAATTGGGTTATTTTCAATTTGATGTTATCGTAATTATTCGGGCTCACTTTGTACAAGATGCGATCAGTCCAAGCTGGTCGTCTCCTAAAAATTTTTGCGAATTAAGATCGATATTTTTCCAGATAATAAGATGTGAAATCTTTAATAATTAATTGTTTTAATATAGGTGTCCCACATAACTGGTTCGTTAGAACTAATCATATAGTAGATTAGTTATTGTTATTAATTATCTTTTCATGTATTTGTTGTCAAATTTTAACCGATTTCGTCACTTCGAACTTGTTTCTAAAGAAGGTTGCAACATGGCATACAAATTGGACCGCGTTATGCATCACTTGACTAAGCGACAAATGAATAATGTTGAGAAAAACGGGATTGTTGCTTTCATCTCTCTAAAAATATAAGACTTCTCAGAATAGACAGGCTTAAACTATTGAAAATTGTTTGGTGCCTGTCTATTTTTATCACAGAACACTGATGAGAGCCATCACAAGCACAGAGTGTTTCTGAAGTCGTGGCATAAATTTAATTACAAATACTAGAGTCAAAATGATGTTTCGTGTAAAAATTTTTGAATAAAATTATCTAGATTTTGTACTTTTCAACTGGTTTCTATTTTATATAGAATTTAAATCTAACTAGTTTCGGCCTTTGGCCATCTTCAGAGACAAATAGATTAGGATTAGGATAGGATGAGAGACATCCCTCATCCTATCCATTTTACAAACAAGTTTCTTAATATTTCTTTTTCTTTTGGTAAAAAAGTTACTAATTTACAAAATTAAAGTTTAAAAAGTTGTAAAATTGAATTAAGGACGAAGTGTTACAAGTTTACAGGTTAAAATTTAAGAACGTTCTTTTTTAATAAAAGAAATATTAAGAAACTTGGGAAAAATTCAAGAATCATCATGTGCCTTAAAAATCGACGATTCTTTTTTAATCAATGCGAAATGACCCAAAAAACACGTTAAAAATAAAAAGAAAGTGCGGAAAAATGACTAACACTAGATAACTAACTTCACGTTTAAAATGTCAACCTCAACTTTGACATATTTGTCACCTTCATTAAAAATGCTTTAAAATGAGTACAAACACGACATATTTTTCTTCAATATTAAAGAAGTTATGATCAACTTCCGGTTAAGAATGTCAACGTCAATTTTGATATATTTGTAATCGTTGTGAAAAATCCTTTAAAATGAGTCCAAGCATGATACGTTTAATTCCAATATTACTTGAGATATAAGCAACTTCCGATTTGAAATGTCAATGTCATTTTGACATATTCTTAATTTTTATAAAACGTCTTAATATTTGTCACAAAAACAAAAATATCATAAAAAAAAAAACAAAAATTAAGGTTGGTATTAATATTTAAAAATTAAAGTGTTATCTTGTTTATCATTGTTGCTAACTTCGGGTTTAATGTTTTTTTATTCTAACTTTTTTGTTTTTTGAGATAAGTGCGTCATCTTTGGACTCATTTAAGGTTTTTTTATGAAAATGACGAATATGTCAAAATTGACGTTGACGTTTCAAACCGGAAGTGATTGTATTTCCATTAATATTAAAGTTAAATATGTCGAGTTTGGACTCATTTAAAAGGATTTTGTATGAAGTTGACAAATATGTCAAAATTAATAGTTGAAAGTTCGAACTTTTTGGTTTTTTGAGATAAATGCGTCATATTTAGACTTACTTTAAAGGTTATTTTATGAAGATTACGAATATAATAATAAAATTAAAGTTGACATTGACAACTGAAAGTGTTGTTGATAAGATGAGAGTGTTGATAAGTCTAGTGTTACTTCTAGTTTTAGTTTAAATATAACATTCCGTTTAAAATAACGAAATTGTGACCTACTTCCGGTAGATCTGATGTAGTAGCCATCTTAAAACTATTTTAGATCGACAGATTTAGATGATGAACTAATAGTAGAACCTAAAAAATCCTAACAAACCAGTTTTTGGGACACCTGTATATAATACACATATTACTTGAAATTATAAACTTCACTGTCTTCTTCGAATTTAAATGTGGGCGGAAAATCGATCTCGCCCTCTTCCAATTCATTAAAAGCTTCCCCTCGATTCATAACATATTTTAATTGGTCGAAATTTAGGAGTTCTTTTAATTGGCCTCGTTTTATCATTGCTGAGAGTTCCTCGGGTGTTTTTTCATATTCTTCCATTAATCGAAAATTTAAATCTCCCATCCAAAAAACATAACTAATTAAATAAAAAAAATAATCAAGTTTATTTATTAGACAATACACAAAACATACTCGTGGAAAAAGACTTCATTGTGAGCATCAACATGAAACTTTTGGTCCTTCAAAATAGAATCGTAATCGTCAATTCTAGCTTTTAACATGTGATCGTGAGCGCTTAAATGTGCATTTACAAAACAAATGGAACAACCGTAAATGCTTAAGCGAATACTAACAGCTCCTTTATTACCCTGAAAAGAAATTGATTTTAATTTTTAGTTTAAGACCTTGAAACGCTTTTATCTATGTCATTGTATTATCTATATATTGATAAGTTTTACTTACCCACATTCCTGATAAACCCGTTCTAGTATAATCAGATTCAATATCGCGAATATTTAATAAATGTTTTCTCAAACTATAAACGCTCATAACCAAACCTTGTAGACGAATCGTTTTTAATTTGATATAATCCCTAGTTTCTAATAAAGTACGGCAAGTTTTTGTCCATGGGTCATCGAAGAAAGCGTTTAATAATAAATTTTGCGGTTGAGCTTTCACTTCTTGCAAACTTATTACATAAAAATCTGGCAAATATTTTTCATGTTTCGTATCTTTAGTTAGAGATAAAAAATCTTGGAGATCTTGCTCAGGATTTGAAGTACCAACATTAAAAGTTACCGCATAAACTCTAAAACATATATTATGTAAAAAGAATTAAAAATAACCTAAAATTATTAAAGAAAAAGCTTACCGTAAATCTTCCATCTTTTTTAATGTGATGATAACCTAAATTTTCTTGTTTAGGTTTTAAATACTTGTTTTGGAAGTATCTATTTAATATTTTCTTAATAATTCTTGTATTAAATTAAAAAAATTATTAGCTTTTCATACCTTCTTCTTCTATAATGAGTCTGTTTATGAAATTTGGAGAGTTATATCCCAGTTACAATGTCTATATACAACTCCTCCCGTCTCTGGTGAGCCCCGTGGGTTCTAATAGTGGAAACTAAAATTATTAAAATAAACTAAAATTACTTGATTTTTCAAAAATAAACACTTCAACCGTCATAAGCAAACAAAAAGCGAAAAGCCTGTGGGTGGCATATTAGCTACCAATTTGCATGTCAATAATTATGTAAGCAAACCAACTTAATGAAATTTTACTTGTTATAGCAAGGCATAAAAGCAAGAAAAAAGACAAAAACTCTAACAAAAAGCCAAGGAATTAAAGGTAATATTCACACACACAAAAACTCCTCTCTTGAGTCTAGGGGTGGAGGCCCTTTACACAAAGGTATCAAGGTTGCCCCTCGGTCTGGGACTAGACGGGTATCATCCCTGGAACTTGGAAAAGAAACAACAGTAATCACCATTTGGTAAAATAAAGATTAATTCTTTTATAATAATATATGCTCAAAAATATACTTTTGCTTCACCTTAAACGATTTTCTCAGTGTTTTTCATACCTTGATTTATGCTAAAAAATAAACTTAACACTGTCAACTTGACAGTTGACAGATTAAAACGAACCCAACCTCAATTATGAAAGTTTGGTTAACTACTGAGTCAAAAACATTATCTAACTGATAACGACGACTTTCAAGTTCTACGTGTTAAACCAAAAAATGCCTAATATATTTTTCTTTAGAAACAAATTAAATGGATATTTTATACCGTGACATTCAGAAATGAGATCATAAACCTTGAACGTTAATTAAATGTGCAATCGCTTTTCATATAAGATTTGGCAATTGTGAGATTATAATAAATTGTTGATTAAATGATTAAATAACACGTAACGAAATCATTTATTAATTAAATTTAAATAATAATAAATCTGCAATTATAATAATAAAGAATAATATAAAATATATTAGCGACATCTGTTATTCAATATTAGAACCAATTAAAATATGATTAATTTGAATTCTGATGTAAAATTATGTAAATACATAAAATAATAAAAATAAAAAATTAATTTCTATTATATTATCATTGAATTAATTTCAGGAAAAGACGCTTTCGTTTTTGAAGTAATTTTTGTGAAATTTAAATACGTCAATTAATTTATGATAGTTGTTAATAGATGGCGCAGAATCGATATTTAAAAAAAATTTAAAATTTGAAAAATATTAAATAGTTTCAAATTTAATAACAAATTAAAAAAAAAAGTTTGTTAAATTATAATCTTCGATTATAATAATTAAGAAATATAATTTATATTCTTAACCTATTTAAAGTATTTTTTAAAATTTGTTCCAATTTGCCGTAATTTCTCAATAGATTCTTTTTAAACATCTTACCACAAATACGATGTAATAACATCAATTAATTGTTGTTGTAAAACACTTAACGGCAACGGCGAATCGTTTCTGTCGCATTTATAAAATGTTGGTGACCACAAATACATGTTTACCACTGTTAAATAGCATTTACAATTTTAACTTTTAAACCCACTGTTATCATTACAAATTATTTATCTTTTTCTGCGGTCGGAATGTTCTACGAAGCGTATTTTAGTAGTGGTAACTCACTTAGCGTGCAACGATTGACTTTGGTGCTCGAGAAAAAGTTTTAAAAAGTGCTGTTATTAATTAGAAATAAGACTTGAGAAAAATAAAACCAGGATGTTTATATTTGATCAGGTAAAAATGATATAGTTGTTAAAACGATTATTTATTTTTTTTGTTATTATACATTTTCGAAGTTTACCTTACATATTTTTTATCATTAGTTGTGAATTTCTTCTTTAAACAAAGGTTTAAAATGTAAGGTTTGTTATTAAAATGTAGGGTATATAAGAAAAATTGATTCGAATTTTTCTCCTGCAAATCAATACACTTTCTAAACACAGGTGTGTTTTAATTGATATGATTGTGTTTACAAAAAAATATGCTGGGTTCGATTATTTAACTATTTTTTTATATGGAATGACCGAATTTGATAAATTTTTTGATAATGAGAATATTTGTATCCTCAATTAATGTGTGGACAACATCTTTGTCTTCAAATATCATTAAACACTCTCGTGGTTGAAGCTGACCAAACGATTACAAGCAAAAAAAAATGACATAGAGGACAGACATTTCGTTGGTTTTAAAAGAGATCTCAGACGAGTATTGCAAATCCAATATGAAAATTATGTAGTTAATTCAAAAAATAATACTGGGGATAATGGTTAAGTTATTTTGCTTCAATAGCTGGAAAGATAGAGTTATTCTATGAGCAAAACTTTTTTTTAGTTATGGTATGCAAAATCAGTATTCGAACAGGTTCGAACACTGTTATACAAGACTTGTAATCGCATTTTGTCCCTATTTTGATTGTTAAGCACTGCTTTTTTCAAAAAACTTTAAAGTCAGTTGAATTGTTATAAAAATTGAGGAAAGTTCGAAGTGGGTAAGTCAACTGAACTTTCAAATGAACACCTTTGAGGCCTCCCAACTGTTGATTACTTGTTTTAGGTGTCTATTTTATAGTCCACAACCGGGTTGGGGTCCAATGTAGGACCCTCATTGCCCTCAATGTCGTGTACTAATTCACAGGGATACTCTTTCATTTAGTTTATGAACTTCATTCAGTCATAAATGATAACAAACTCACTCCAATTATCTGCAAGTTTAATTTGTTGATAATCGTTTTCTATTTAATTTGGTTATATTATCAACATTATCTGTAAATTTAACCGGATCAATTTAATACGATTTGAGTCAACAGAAATAAATATTGATAATATCCATTATTTTCTGTCAATAATTTTCAAACACTCAGTATTTTAATAAAGAAATGTCATCTGTCAAATATATTTTTTTAATATTATACCATATCTATAACATTTATACTTACTAATTTTTAATAAAAAATCTTTTTCTGAATCAGTGTATCTCCATTTTAACAAGATTGCGTTTTGGGATAGCTTTTAAAGTGACGCTACTAATTACGTCAATCTTAATTATATACTTAAGCCACTTGGGCACATTTAACTTAACAGTGATTCGTCTCAACCTTTCATTTCATTTTTAATTTATATCTAAAGTTTCGTTTTAAACATTTAATTAAGTTTCTTGTTAAAAAAATTGTGACTATTTTAGTAAAATCACGAAAAAAATTGGTTTTAGTTTTAGATAAGTAACTTTGAGGTTATGTTAAATTTTTGTTATTTATATTTCAAATATTAATTTGCGCATTTAAAACACGATGAAGTGATTTTTGGATTTAACAAAACGAAATGTTTCGCCTTGTAAATATAATTTTATTTTTATTGTTATAATTGTTACAACATAGTCGATTTTAATTGTTATATTATTTTTTTTTGCAGATATTTATTTTGGTGTTATTGAATTTCGTTTTGGTGAATTGTAAAAATTGTGATGAACATTGTTTTTCCGATTCATCTAAACCATGCGAAAAAGTTAACGAACCAAAATGTTTTATTTCAACAATTTGCCAAAATGCTGTTGTTTGTTGTCGATTAAACGACAATTTAGATGAATATTTAGTTTCGGATAATATAAGTAAGTATTCGTTTTTTATTAAGAACAATAAAAAGGCGTAAAAGAAACATGTTCTTGATTAAAGAAAACTTTAAATAAATAAATCAAAAATTGTTTTTATAATAGGCAACTTATTTGACATATTTTAATTTTTGTTAACATTTTCTTTTTTTAGCATTTAGTACAAAAAACATCAATTATTTACATATCCTTAATTCTAATTTTAACAACTTTACGTTAAGTATGAGTAAATGGTTGAAAAATTTAAAATCATTAGCTGTTACAAATGGTCGGCTGAAACAATTTAATCCAATTTTGAAGAAAATGTCGCCTTTGGAATGTTTAAATTTATCTTCAAACAGTTTAACAACTGTTGGTAGTTTAAAATATGCAGGAAAGTTAAGAACGTTAGATTTGTCGAATAATAGTCTACCGGACATTCCTGATGAAATACCACAAACTTCACCAAATATTAAAATTGATATATCAGGTTATTTATTTCTTATATTCAATTCATTTTTGGTTTCAAACTAATTAACTTGTTTTTTTAGATAACCAATTATCCTGTGATAATTTATCAAAAGGATTAAAATCATCAAAATATAAAAATTTAGATTTTGAAAATCCAAATAACACATGGTGTATATTAACGAAAAATAAACAAATTTGGATTGACTATCCAGGACGATTGTCATTATCAGCATTAGAAAAATTAAGTGAAAATCAGGTGCTCTTAACAATAAACTGTATAAACAAAAAGTTTTAGGTTAAAATTTGACAAATTCGAGAAAACTGTTTAACCGACTTTGTATTTTGGGTTGCATACTTAAACATTAATTTTTTTTTTAGACAAATTGTGCTATTCCTAATTGTAAATGTGGAATACATCGTGTGGATACATCAAACTCAAAATTATGGACTACTGTTGATTGTTCAAACGCTAAGTTACAAGAATTACCAAAACTTTTACCTGAAAATTGTTTCTCTTTAAATGTATCTTATAACAATGTAAATCTTATTGGTTTATAGTGATCTTTTCTTAACATTTTTTTGTTTAGATATCTTCATTAAAAGGTATACATAATCCATCCTACGATAGTTTATCAGAACTTGACGCTCAACACAACCTTATAACATCAATTGATGATTTAGAAGGATCCAAATTTATCGATAACTTTAGGCGATTAGATTTACGAAATAATTCTATAACATCAGTGAGTAAAAAAAAAAAATAAAATAATCATTAAATCAAATAAAGGAGGTTTAACGAACGCCTTAACAAGAATAAAATATTGCAAATCCATCTCGAAATGATTTCTCAATAGCAAAGTAATAAATTTTTTAAATTATTTGGATTGATAAATCAATGAAATAACACCTTCTCGTCGATTAATGTTGTTCTATTATCGATTTGGCAATTTAATCCAGGGGATTAAAAAACTTTATTTTTAAAGAGATTATATCTTTCTTACAATATTGCAACATTTTTCGTGATAATAATTTTAGAAACATTTATCTATTAGTTGCGATTTATTAGTTAATTTTTAATATTTAATTTTCCTTTCCAGATATCAACCCATCCTTTTAGATTTGATCGAGCTTCGCAAAAAGAATTAAGCTTAGGTTACAATTACATTGAATGCGATTGTAACGTGGCTAAAACTTTAAAGGTAAGAGTTAATATTTTAAAAATAACAACGTTTTTAATTTAAATGTAAATAAGGATGACAACATCAAAAATTAAAAAGATAATATCTGCGTGTTAATCATCAACGTTATAATTTATAATTATAATTAGTTCTAATAAAATGAAATCATCTTCGTGACGAATTTTGCAAATAAAAAACGTTAAAATTACTTTAATTTATTTAAATAAAGAGCTTTTTTTAACATTTAACACGTGCCAAGAAAACGAGGATGTAATCAACCAGATAAATGGAAAAAGTGGTACTTTTATTTCATATTCGTTTGAACGATAAAAATTATGGTTCGTATTTAGATATATAGGTGTCCCAGAATATGTGGGACTAAAACACATTTCAACTTTTATGATTAGAGATAATTCGATTAAATTGATGAATCCATTTCATTAAAAACTGCCGTCAATTTTGTTGATTGTAACACAATTGTTTGAAGTTGGAGAAGGTTCCATGATTGATGAAATATTTTCGTTATGTTAATGGTATTATACCTTTTTCTTGGATTTCATTTTATTGGATTGCTGATGTTGATGAAGTAGCCAAATGGATAGGTATTTGCGTTTAAAATTTTTTTATTTCATTTTTGCCGAATATGTATGAGACCTTGGTGGTTTCTTGCGAACACAAAGCGTCACAGAATTTTTGTAAGGCACTTTGCCAACTGGTATGTTGGAGAATTTATGGCACTGACATGGTAATCCATAAATTCTTTATGGTGCTAGGGCCTGTACAAACAAATTTCCTGGAATTAGCTGGATCCAAAAGGCTCGTCATCTTGTCATCGTATCCTTTCTTGTCCATGACCACGTTGTCATTTCCTTTGTCTGCTGGTACAACGATGATATCTGCTTTTTTTTATGCACCTGCATACTTATAATAAAAGAAGTTTGCTGAGATGGGCCACTTTGTCATTTCTTCTTAATGATGGATTAATAATTAATGGGTTAATTATAATGGGGATTTTACAATCATTTTCTAAATTATAATTTTAAGAAGTTTTGAATGAATGCTATTTTTAGATCATCCTGTAAATAACATTTTGGACGGGCCTCTTTCTTAATCACCACTTGAAAATGCCTCGTTTTTATCTTTCAAAAAAAAATTATTTTCATTCGAATCCACTTAAAAAAAAAAGATTTAAGATTTTACCTCTTTCATGATCCAATCACACGGTTAACGAAATACAATCGTACCGTTTTCACGATGTTACGAAATTTGTGCACGTGATGCGGAGGTGTGCACCGTGTTGTGTTTACGATCATTAAATGTACCGATAAGATATTTTTCGATGTCATATGACTTAAGTAGAATACATTTATTTTCCTAATAATTTCTAAAGTACAAATTAAATTAAGTGGGTAAATTAGAATGAATCAGAGTGGAACAAAGGTACTTAACTTGAAATTGATCTAAAAAAATTTTGAAAATTGTAACAAATTATTAATAAGGGGTTAAAAGATTATTAAGATTAAATATGTAATTGAGATAAAAATAAATTTAAAATCAGTACAAACGTGAAGGGTGGGATTGGTGTAATGATTTTAATGCCGATGTGTTTTGAACGAATATTCACGTGAAACTTGGTATCTCGTGCAAAAAGATAACGACGATTTTTTTATTATTATAATGACAATAAAATTATAAACGAATAAATTCTACCGCGGATCGTTAATTTAAATTTTTATTGGGGTATTTTATGACTCTATTAAAAATTAAGTCCTTTAAAATAAGTTAACAAGACAAAAAAAATGATGCCTAAAAATTATTAATTTATGACCGAACAAAAGTCACACTGAAATTAAATATTATAAGTACACTCCTAAGGTCATTCAAACACACACGGTTTATTAGTGTTAACTTACGTTAAGAAATTTTTTCAAGGCGAACAATTATTTTTAATTTGAAATGAAAAGTCTGTTTTCTTACAGGAATGGTTACGTATCAATGATAAAGATATCAAGGATAAAGAAGAAGTTTTTTGTAAGGGTAAACTTGGGAAAGTGATTGATTTAGATCCGAGCGAATTATGTAGAAAAGATCCAAGTTTAACCGATTACATTTATTATATAATAGCAGCAGAAGTTTTACTTTTAACTTTATTGATTGCCAAAGTTTCTTATGATTATTGGGTTTTCAAAGGAACCGGATATTTGCCTTGGCCAGCGAGTAAAATGCCAAAATTACCATGCGATTGGCTCTGTGAATAACATTAATTAAATTATATCATGTGTTTTTATTTATTTAAAAATGGTTGTGCTTAAATTGTTTAAGAAGATATAAAAATGGAATTTTTTTTAAATGCGTTGTAAAATGTGCCTTAATGTAATGTAAATTACGTAATAAAAAATAAGTTATATTTAGATTTGTTTTTCTTCTATATTTTCTGTTAATATTTCACTTTTTGCGTATCATTCTCGGTCATAACACATTATAATTATAAACGCAGATAGACGTCTGATGTTTAACACAAAAAGAATGTTAATAAAATTTGAATGATTACAGAGCGATTTGAGGGATATTTCGTCGATTCATCGTTCACGTTTTTCGCACGTTTACAAGCATCGAACAAAACGATTTTATTTATTTATCGTACCAGACGATCGTTACTGATAGGAAATGAGTCGGCTGCCAATAAGCGTTAATTCACGTGAACCAACTTGAAAGTTTAAAATTAGTCCCATCTCTTGAATAACTTGTTTTTGTCTTTTTATATCTCTCTTTTCAACTTTAATGTAAAAGGAATGATTAATTTTTTAGCTGATTCACTTTTTTAGTAATTCAACCACAATTTAATACCTCAGTTGCTGAAATCACATGAATTATTACCTTAATATCTATATTGTCTCTGAATAAGAAATGATATTTATCGTTTCTTATTCAGAGACAAAAAATGTATTAGACAAAAATTATCTCATTTCGATTTTATCCGAAGAGAAAGAAGCTTGTATCATATTATTACTAACTTGTTGTTTGTTTTTAGTTGAAATATTTTCTGATTTCATAATATCATATCAAGTAAGTAAACACATTGAAGTAATTTGTTTTCCCGATATATTGCTTTAACCATTTTTTTAATTAATTTGTTTCAGTATAAAGTGATTCACGTTAAGATATGTTATTGTTTATTGCGTATATCAAATTTCATGTCATCATGAGATTTTAGTTTTATACAAAAGTTTTACATTCTCATTCACACATATAAAATCACACCGTATAAAATGATTCATAATTACCATTTCAAATTCCATAACAAATATCATCATTAGTAATACAACAAAATGCTTATTAAACATTTTTTGTGTTGGTCACGAAAAAAATGTAAATAAAAATTTGTTTTAAGAACAATGCACAATGGTTGTGGATCTAAACATTTCTTCAAAATTACGTGTAATAAGAGATATATGTTAAATTAAATTTTATTGAAATATGTTCCTCATTTTTTTAACATCAACATACAGGGAGGAATATTTAGAATTAACTGATATTTGTAACATGGACAACAGAATAATTAATGATAACGTATAAAAAACTTATTGTTGGAAGTTAAAGGCAGAAGATTTAGCAAAAAAATTATGGAAAGAAGTCATAATTGCTGCAGTAGATCAAAAAGGATTTAACTTAAAGCAGCAAGCTGAATTGGCTTGTTTTTTGACACAGCCCATAAGATATAATAAGTAATCTTTGTTGCTAGAGCGTTAAATTTTAGAGATTTATATTTTGCAATTTTGGAAAGAACCCATAATTACTGCAGTCGATTAACAAAATGTGCTATAAGGCCGTTTACACACGGAGCTACTAAAAAGGAAATCAACAGTGAGGCGAATTACTAATCAGTTTACTTAGAGTCACTTCAATCAACTCATCTGTGATTCACGGAAAACAACTCAACCTTTTGCTCGTAGCGGATGTAGAAAAACGTCCGATTTTATGGGTGGATCCAGAATCTTCTTCTGTCCATCCTTCTTCTAATATAATATAATATAGCATGATGGTTTCATCGTTTCCATCATGAATGACTAAACTTAACAAACTACAGGTTTTGATCGCTGATGAGTAACTTCGTGTGTAGAGCCTGGTCACGAGAGGCCATGTAAGTCCATTGCAATGGCGACAGAATTAACCATTTTATCTGTGCTTCCTTGAATTTATCTACCATCTCATTCAAAGCACTGGGCAGGAATCACATTGCTATATCATTGTAGCCATTTTTCACAAAATTTGTTTATAAGAATGAGCAAGCGAAATGATTTAGACTTCTGAAAATACCAAATCAAACAATGTAAATTACTTGCGATTAATCTTGAAGGTTAGGTTTAAAAAGTTTTTTGATGAATCTGAATTTGATAAAATCGTACAAAAATCATTATAAATATTTTAGAAACTGTAAAATATTGAAAATATTTTATATCAACTACCTGATTTATTTTTAGTTTGGTATTTATATCATTACAAAAACTTTGCGTAATAAAAAAAAATACCGAGGATAATTACAGCCTGAGATGCCTTGCGTACCAAGAAAAACGAACATGATTTGCAAAAAAAGCAAAACATGTTATTGTTACGTTTGTAGTAACAAAGTTTTAATCTTCTTTTTATAATTAACTCAAAGTCTCTTGTTCCTACTTTAAATAACACTTTAACAATTTAAAGATCTAGCTCGATGATAAATACCAAATTATTCAATTTATTACATCCGTCTGTCTTTCTTTTACTAGCTCATCTATAATTATTAACAGCCGAAAAAAGCTAAAAATAATAAATTTTTACAAAAACGGTTGTAAAATAAATTTCTTATAATTGCTATTTTAGTAGTAGGTATAAAATAAAATAAGTCAATAAAACTTTAGAGTTTAATAAGATAATCCTATATTATTATATTATTCCTATCAGATATAACCGATTGAATAGGCGATAAAAGTACGATTAAAATCTAAATAGTTAATCTATAGAATTAGTTGAAAAATGTGGTTACGCATTTAAGTTTAAATAAAATTACATTGACGTCTTATTCGATCGTCATTATACCTGTTAATCCATTTTAAGTCCTTAATCTTCAATTGGAGATCAATAGCTAGGATTAACTAAATTTTTTATCAATTTTAAACAGCTCCATTAGTTTTTTCTTATACATACATATATTTGGAATTAAAAATGAAATGATTTTTATATCCAATATGATGATCAAATACGAAATAGAAAGTTGGCAAAGTCAATGAACTCTTTTTATAGTTCAATATTTATTATTATTGTTTTATTTTCAAGAAATTGCATTTTAAAAATGAAAATAAATAGATACGAAAATTGTTTAAGGTAAAATTTTAAAAGCCGACTTATATAATTAAAGAAAACCAGCGACTTTAAACTGTTAATTAATAAAGTTAAATCAGATAAGCAAACATTTAAATCAAATGAATAACAAAATAATAGGTAATAACAATATATATGGAGGTAGTGTTATGGCACGTTCGAATATAACACGAGTTTCTAAAAGGTAAAGTCTCGAGGTTGTTGCGGTTTTATTTTGATCAACAACGCGTACCGCAAACATTGGGATTCCCAACTGAAAGGTGGGTTTTCAACAGGTAGAAAGAGCTCGGGTTAAAATTTTGCGCAGAATATAAAACGAAATGACCCAAGACAGATCCGTATTCAACATATTTTAGTATTAAAATATTTTCAATATAAATTAAAATTTTTAACTCTACGTGGTAACTTTATTTTCACGACAGTTTTCCTTGTTTTAGTATATTTCTTGACTCGACCGGATTTTGAGAAGTATGCAATGTTGATGTGATCAAGATTGTGTGAATGGCAATAAAGAAGATCATATTATATTGTGTTATTGTGAAATGTTTAAAATCATAATATTTATTCTACGTTAGTATGGGTTATCTCAGTTGTTTCAAGAATAACTGGATACTTGGTAGCAAGATGTAAAATGTAAAGAGGCTGCCAAATACGCATGACCGTTGATAATCACCAGATCTTGCATTAAAGTTTATGTATCGTATTCATCAATCCCTCGTATTCATCGTCCCTCATCAAGAAGACAGTCTTTAATGGTATCCACATAGATATGGAGTAGAGAGGACTTTGAAAACTGGTTGTTGTTCTCTGACTATAAAATTCTGCATTGGAAACTACAGATTCTACTTTATATACACCTAAGAAAGAAGTAACTCCACTAAGACTTTGCATGACCTATAATTTATTGCCAACGTGTTCTGATAAAGATATGAGAATAACTTTTTTTTCGTTTGATTGATGTCAAGAAAGCATTAAATTTGCTAAAGTTTATATTTCAACATTTGAATTTTTATTCTGAACCAAAGATTTGAATCTTTAGGCGACTCTATTGGTTTCTGCCTTCATCAGAAACCTTTATATATCTTATTATACAGTTAGATCTAACAGTAGATTAACAATAAAAATTAAAATCTATGTAAACCATCATTGTTAGGAGTTATATCCACCATCAGCTTCGTTTATGTTCTTATTATTTTTACTTTTAACCATATTTTAGCTTCAGACATTGCAAAAAACAACAAATACTTCAAATAAGCCCAATGCTACTTAAAATCAATCACTGATAAGAATCAAAGATCGTGACAAATCTTGTAATTTTTTTTTAAAGATGAATAGATTGTTATAAAGTAAAAAAATATAATCCTTTAATTCCAAAGGGACACCACAATTTTTTAAGACTACAAATGATCTTCAGAAACTTTTCGATTAATAGGAGTTTAAAGAAAAGATGCAAATAAAAAGTTATAATTATATGCGTATTTAAATTTGGAATTAGTAAGATTGCAACATTGTAATAACGAATACTAATCTTTTTGTAATAGACAAATTGATAATAAGACGTAAAAGATTAATTTTTGATGTATCTAAAATCTAGATAAATAATCATTAAAGTAAGAAAAAATGTATAAAAACCATAAAATAAATTAATAAAAATCTGAAAAATCCATTAAGATTTTATGACTTATATACTATTGTTTTCCTCTCATAGCATTATCTTTATTATATTTGAATATATCTATATATATATATAGTTATAATGCAGTACATTCGAGAGGCATACTTATAAACGAAGTAGAGAGTTCGAGTAGAATATACTGTCGCGTATATTACCTGGTGCAAGAAGCGAGCGGGCTTTCAGTTTGCGGCACACCGTCGTTGCGCGTAAACAGCGCGAGAAACGCGTTTTATAAGAGAAGAAAAATATTTTAAAACATTAATTTCTCTTCCTTATGGAAGTTGTTTAAAAATTAACTAGCCTTTAATTAATTATCAGTATTAACTTTATTCTTATTCATTCCAAGAAGAAATCTCTAAAATCTTAATTTATTTTAATAATTCTTAATAAATCCCAAATCAATCGAAAAGAAGAAATGGGGTACGCTACAGAAGCAACGATGGAAAAAGTGAAATCAGAAGGATGTTGGTCTAGAATTAACCCAAAATGTAAGTACTTTTATTTGATGTTAACTTTTAGTAGTTTAAAGAATACATGATTTACGGGAGAGTGTAATAACTATTTATTCAGCTTAAAGTTTAAATTAATCAATTTTTAAACTAAAAACCTAAATTTTAATTTTAACCTTAATTTTCTTTTTATTATATAAAAATAGAACTTTATTAAATTATCGAATGATAACCTTAACCGACATCTACCGATAATTTTATCGAAAATTAAAACAAAATTTTAACAATAGATTCCTAATCCATCATTTTTTGATAAGAGTTTGGTCAAATTTTCAGGAAATTATAACAGCTAGCGCCATCTCTATAATTAATCTACGAAATCGGATGATTCAATCAAATCGATTAAGATGTCGCTTTTAATCCAAAAACGGTTTCAAAATTATAATATAAAAATGATAAATGATAAACGGTTAAGATAATAAAAGAGCGATAAGTAACAATGAAACGCATAAAAAAGTTAAATAAAAGATTAAACTTTAACATGAAGTATTTGTTTATTATGCATTACTTCACTATCTATTGACATAGACAAGTAACATTGCGGTTTTTAGTTGAACGTGACATAAATTATTTAAGAATGAAATTAAAAAAAAAATTCATGGAATTTTTTTCTAGTTAATATATATGGAAATATGTCACGGTTATTTTATTGTTTTTTTTTGTACTGGTTTGTTCTGGAAATTTTATTTTCGTCACGATTTTAAAAATACATAAATAATTAATGTCATTAAAAGTGATTTTCTTTAAATTTAACAATCTATCTGACAGGTTCATGCTTCATTTTAAATTTAATATTTTATCTGCTAATATGAAGTAAATCTCGAGATTATATTAAATTTAATATTTCAATTTAAAATTTAAATTTGACATTTCATCTGATAATTAAAAATTTATTCTTAATTATATGAAATATCGTAATTTTACTATACGTTCTAACAAGAATTTATTTCAAATTTGAAAACAATCAAAAATTTATAAATCATAAATAAATTCAATTTAAAAAGAAATTTATTAAAGTACCTAGATTTACAAAGTACGGCGGTTCATGACGCCTGTTTTCGAGCCAAAATGGCGGTTTGACAACTTGTCACTGCATCTCACCACTTATTTACAAAAATATTGGCGTCTTGTTGTCTTTAGAGTTGCAAAAATAGTAGTAAGAAGGGCTTTCGACTCTTAAGAGTACCACGAGAAAAAAGAAAGGAGTTTTGGCGTAATGTTATCAATAGAACGACATAGTTTTAAATTTCCCGCTTGATTTTCGAGCCAAAATGGCGGCAAACCGTGGTGTAAATCTAGGGACTTTAAAATTTATAATTTGAGGGCGCCATCTCGTAACGAGTGAACGAGGCAACATTGGTTGTTTCTACATAACCAAAAAAAATGATTAATACTGAAATGACGTTTTTTAAAATCTTTTTATATCTTCTATGGATTTAGTTTTCACTAAATTAACATAATTATAATGTTATTTTCTGACGCACAAAGATCATTTTTATAAACAATTTAATTGAGTTTTAACATGGCAGTAATAGAACATTTTTACTTTCTGATTAGACGCAGAGTCAGCATTCCATCAAATTAATATGACGTTGATTACGAGTTCTATGATTGATAGAACTGAATATTTCTATTTTGCAAATTGTAGTACTCGTATCTTTAATTATTGTTAATGACCTTAATTAAAGTAATAAAATCAAGTTTCAAATCAATTAACATAAAGTTGCAACTATTAACGCTTCCCTTTAGCAAACGAAGCCCAAGGGTTCCTACAGCCTCTGTCGCATCACGCATTTCGATCAATTTAATCTGTCTGGTCCTTTGAATCCAGGATGTATTAACCTCTCCTTCTTCTATGTTGAGGTACATATCCAAGATCTCTTTTTTTGGCCATCTATTTTCCGGCATCCTTATCACATGCCCATACTATATCAACTGTTTAGTTTGATGGGATGCATCAATTATACATCAACAAGGTATATACTTGTTCGTCCATCGTCTAATTTCCTCACTTTGGACATGTTCTAGTCTTGATACTCTGCCTGTTCTTCTTAGAAAGTCTATATCAAGTTCTGACACATATGTTAAAGTTGATTCTTTTACTGATAGATTGATTCATTTGTTACTACAACTTGAACTTTGATCTTACTTTGATCTTGATAAATAAGCAAGCTTGTTGTAGACACAACAAACATTTCTAAACCAGTTTAGACATTCTTTTCTTTTCAAATAGTTATATCATTCCATTTTTACATACAAATATTATGTGTTAAAGTTTGCACAAGTTTTAAAATTTTACTTTTTATTAAGCATTCTATTCAAGAGTATTTCAAAAAAGAAAAATTTTACATCTGCCTCTTTTGAAGATTTCAAACCTCTTATGAACGAAGTATTTTACGAATATGTCAAGTATTTGTAGTTAACGATTCATCCCTGGCAATCGAATATTGAGAAATGCTAATAATTTTAAATTACATCAATTACGAATCCGGTTTTGCAAATATTAGTCACATATGAGTACCGTATAAAAACCAGTTTTAGTTACAGTCAGGTAGAAATTCCTTTCAACCCATGACGTCGATAACAAAAAGATTTAAAAAATAAACTTGAAAAAAAACAAAGATCATCATGATACCGTTATCCATAATAATTGCGATATAATCACCTTACAACCGTCTTTCTGCATTGCAGATGATAAACTTTTTATCATAATTTTTTATTATTTTAATCGAGATAATCTTAAAATGCGAACGGTGGTTGTAAATAAGTACCTATTTTTAAATCGAGGGTCATAGTACGGAGTTAAAATCGAATTAACGTTTGTTAAAAAAATCGTACTTGGTGATCTTTATTCAGTTAAAAACGGAGCAATTTTAAAATTAAAAACAACTAGTCCCGATTGTTACTTCCGCTCTTTAACATGACCGTTCTCTTTATATTTTTCCGACTTTTTCAATCTAATCTTAAAGAGAAAAAAATATATCACTTTAATATTATTGTTTCAAAAAATTATCGGAAAATTTTCAGATTGAGAAATAAAAAAATCAATAAAAATGATGATAATTAATTTATAGCAACTTTGAAAGGCAAACATAACCTTAAAAACAATTAACACTTATTAATCATTGCAATGTTTATCTTTATATTTAGTTCTTTTTAGTTTATCATGTTTTACAATTTCACAACGTTTTAAAGTCACGTCATATTATTCAATTTTACAGTTGGTAATAAAATCGAAAAAATTCTAAGAGTCTAATTCTTCAAACTCAATCAAATTTATGATCTTAAAACAATAAATCAATAAAAGATGTCATAAAATAGACAAACGGAATTAATATGTTGTAAATTTGAAGTTAGATTAACATCAATAACCAATAGATCAAAATCAAAATGAAATGTCATAAAAGTCATCGTACACCAACGGTTTTTGCATGATCTCTAATAAAATAGTTATATAATTATTCATTTTAAGCAGATTTATAAGTAAAAAACTTTTAAACTCAAGAAAATAGCAAAATAACTTAATAATTCTTTAAACGTACGAAGTAACAAACTTTTGGGACTAATTGTAAATTGAAATAAATCGTTTTCAACGTTCAAGGTGCACCAGGGCAAACTTTATTGTTGTTTAAAAAAATTATTTTAATTATGAAATTTAATTTAACATTAATGTGCGTAAATCGAATTTTAAAAAAAACAATTTATTAGCAATAATAGGCCAATTATACGATAATCAATTCAATAGCTACCAAATTTTAATCATTATAAGAGGGTGTTGTGCGTAATCCATCTAAGATATCAATCTATAACAACCTTCACATTACCATGATGATCAAAAGATTACAAAAGAAAACTTTTAATATACTATTTCAATTTTAAAAAAATTGTTTTTTATAAATTTAGCAAATTTTTAAACTAATTTAACCAATTTTTTAAATTTTGTTTTAAAGCAACAAATTCGATTATTTATTTAATGATCCAAAACTATTTTTCATCCCCGTATACAAAAAATCCATCGCCGTATTTTGGGTTGCATACTTAGATAAAAAAAACTCATCCCGGTTTTACTATATAAAGAAAATTACGAACGTAATTGTTAAACTACGATAAACTGTGGTTGTAGAAACATAACGCGATAATCGTAATCGCAGTGTTAGGTTTCCTTTTTAAACATTTTTATTTACCGCGTTGTTTCGTAGTCGCGCGTTTACACTATCGCCAACCATAGAAAAAGGAAAACGAAAAAAAAATAATAAGAGTGAGACACAAAAAAAAAGTTTAGCGCGCACGTGTTACTTTACTTCATCTAATCGTGCGTTACCTTTGTCGCGTCAGTTGTGCACGTGGTCCTCGCATCTCCGGTATAATACGTAGCGTGTAGAAAAACGTGTAGATTTTTTTGAAACGACACTTGCATAAATAATAACAACCGCGACGCGACATAACCTCTTTATTTAAGTTTTTATGAGTAGCCAACTTAAAATTTAAATTAAAAAAAATATATTTTATTTTTAAATTGACTGTGAAAACTAAGAAAAAGTGTTTAATTAATTGACTTTAGTGTTATCATTAAAATGAGTTTAAAAATGTTGGGTTAGGAAATTTTTTAACTTAAAAAATAGTTTTGTTTTTTGTATATAAAATAAAAATTTAAAGTAATTAACATAAAAAATGGTGCAAACTCCAGAAAATCTTCAAGATAGAAATAGAAACGGTTATATTGGTGTTTATGATCAGGCTGATATTATAGATGGCAAACCGAAGAAAAAACAGGGTTGGTAACATTTATTTTTATTTTTGAAAATATCATTCTGACATTGACGTTTTGATATTTAGACGTCAATATTTTTTAATTATTTTTAAAACTCAATTTAGAGATAATTGTTATAAAAATGTAATCGAGTTATATGGCATAATAAATTTTTTTTAAACAATCATAAAAGTCAGATTGAATCATTTTCAATAGAACTGTCTAAAATAAATTAAAGAAATGAAATTCCGCAATTTTTCGTCTAGAAGTGACGAAATTATCTCTACCGCAGTGATAAACAGTTATTACTCTCCTCTCGTTATCTACGACAAGATAATTCTTCATCGTCTCCGTCAACATCATTACCCCTTTAACTCACTTTTTTTTTTAAATGGTTCTAATCTAGTTTACGGAATTTCCAAGAATAAAAAGCAGGATGAAAATATGTTTGTTGTTTATTACATTTTCCGTTTTAGTCATTTCAAGGATAACTTATTACCGACTGTATTTTAAATATAAATAAATTTTTTTTTAAATTAGTATTTATTTTAATTTATTTGTAGCATGGTTTGGAACAAGACATTGGGTAACATTTATGCTCTTCTTGGGAATGGCAAACGCTTATGTTATGCGAACCAATATGTCAGTGGCTATCGTAGCTATGGTTAATCATACAGCCATCGGTGGTGGAGAAGAACTTGTCGACGATGAATGTGATGCTGAATTAGGAAACGAAACATCAACCCATAATGTAAATACATCCACTTTTATTACTTAAAATATACTAATATATTAATGCTACAGAGTGGAAGCGATGGACCATACGCTTGGGAAACTGATCTTCAAGGTTACATTCTTAGCTCATTCTTTTATGGCTATGTAATCACTCAAATTCCTTTTGGAATTATGGCCAAGAAATACGGAAACATTTACTTTTTGGGAGTTGGGATGTTAATCAATTCGGTCTTTGCCTTCTTGGTGCCGATCTCTGCAGAATGGGGAGTTGGTTGGTTAATCGCTATTCGTTTCATTCAAGGTTTAGGAGAGGTAAATTTTAATTAACAACGTACAGGAAGCGAGATAATTACATTTTTCTATTTTCAAAACGAATCGTACGAATGTTTATTATTTCGCGACGACATGATCACAAAAATGTGTTTTATCTCGTTTTTGTACTGTTGCCTCGGTACTGAACCGTAAAATTTCTCGTTAGGGACCGATTGTTCCATGCACACACTCCTTATTGGCAAAGTGGGTCCCTCCCAACGAGAGAAGCAGGCTGGGTGCTTTCGTATATGCAGGTATAATTTAAAAAAAATTAAAAATTACTGTTTTAAATCAGAAAATATCAAAACCGTTAATGATTACAATAATAGTAGTAGCCAACTCTTTAATAACACATAAACATCTCGAAGGAGTTCAAAACATTGATCTTGTGTTGTAAATAAATTTAAAAGAAAAAAAAGTATGATTAATCTTTATTACTGATTGGAATAAAACAACAAAATACAAGTAATGTAACACATCGGACTTTATGAATGACTTTCTTTGTTTTTATTTCATTGGAGACACATCACATAAATATGTTTACACTGATTTAATTTTATTCCGTTCTAATTTCATATTTCCGAATATCTAACGATTACTTAACAATTTTATTAAACATTTTAATAATTTGAGTATTAGAGATATTAGTTTAAAATAGAATTTATTGAGTAAAGATAAAAAAAATTAAAGTCATCTCGAAACAAAAACTGCTAAGTAATCTATCTCGTTTAAAAAAAAAATTATAATGCATTAAACGTTTTTCTCGTTACAATGCCGTGAACAATTTTAACATCAGTTTCGGTGCCAAAACATATTTTTATTATTATCAAGCTGACATTGAGTGTACTATGAATAGTGACAATACTTAAAACGTAAAAATTTATAAAAGCGGGAATGTGCCGACATAAATTTTATCTACATCAATATTATTATTATCGATTCTATTCACTAATATTGTTAATAATGAACTTATCTTTATAGTACTTTGATAATAATGGGCTCGACAATTTATTTTATTTTTTAAATACAACCAGGATTATTAAAAGGATAAAAATATTATGACAATTGTAGGTGTGTTTAATTACAGGTATTAATGCAATAATTTATATGTAGTAAATTGTGGCGTTTAAAAAGATGTACTTTCATGGTGGTGTGTTGATAATATCTTCTTAATTTCTTTTGTTGATTCATGATAATTTCTTTTCGTTATGAACAGATTCTATGAATAACATTTGTCATTATCGTTTTTAATTTTTGAGTTATATTTGATTTTAGTACCAAAAATTGTTCATACTAGTTATGGATTAAATATTTCATTTGTGACAACTTTTTGAACGGAATTAAAGTGTTGCTGTGATAATCCAATCAGAATTATCATAAAATATCAAAATTGAGAAAAGTTAATGAAAAAGAATTTAAATACCAAGTCAAACAACTTCAGCTTGGCTTAATAATATTATAATATCGAAGAATATTACTCGGGTATTTTGTTTTTAGAAATTTTCTTGATTTACAATTTCTTTTTTGACATTATTGTAACTTTCTATTTACAACGAAGTATTAAAGTATTGTATAGGCCTTGAGTCGATATCGACGATAGAGTAAAGGTTTAAACGGTTCAAAATACATGTGTTATGTTTACTGCAATGAATAATTTTATTGCAATTTTATTCGAAAACAGAAACATCTATATTTTTAAGAGCGATTAAGTATTTTCTAAAAAAGAATTTAAGAAATTTAAGTCAGAATCATTATTATGTTTATTTTTCCATGAGTAATTCCCGCATTAAATTTTATAACGCACAATAAATTTAAATGATACAAGATAACATTATTCATCGTTTTTCTTAAAACAAATACTTAGTTTTTTTAACATTTTATCTAAATTGTAAAACAATAAACGTACTATTACATACAATCAAAAATGAGAAAAACGAAGTTTTGGTAATGACTTGTCATTAAAAAGTATTAATTGCTGCTACGGTTCTTTTTTTCATATCTTGGTCTTTGTGAAAGGAATGTGTTGTGGTGAACGAACTTCCTAAATTTTTTTGTTATGAAATAAAATGAATAATCAAGTGCCATTTAAAGTTGAAAATACGGAAGGGCATCTTATTTTTTAATCTGGAACTGTCGTCATTATAAATAAAAAATGGTATAATTATAATTTTTTATCAAAAATCTAAAGTGCTTATTACATTGTATGTTTCGATTAAAATTGTTAGATTACATTCTTATTTCAAGACTCAATTTTTTTAGGAAAATTACGTGTAGTAATTACACAGATAAATTTATTATTAAAAAAACTTACTTTGTTTTGTTTTCTAAAAATAAGAAATGATATATGTTTTATAAACATTCTATATGTATTTATGAACACGAAGAGATAGCACTTTTTACATAACCCAGCTATAAAACTATCAATTCGATTATACAGACCCGTTAATTTTTTTTTCAAACAACATGAAAAAAATAAACTTAATCACGACAAGTCATAATTACGTAAAAAACATCACGAGAGTCCAAAAGTCAATATCGTAATCGGTAATCATATTTTTAAATGTATAGTTTTTCCTAAGTCAAACATCTTAATCTATTTAGATCAATTTTACTTACAATTAAATGCTGACGTCAACGCTTATAATTTTTTTTTCAATTTGATTCGTCACCTTACAGTGACTTTGTTTCGATTTACAAATTTAGATGTCTAAATAGGAACGATCCGCTAAATATAGATTAACTTTGAAAAAGATGCAGTGGTGGTAACCTTACTTATAATAACGCCGAGACGACAAAATAGATTTATGTCACGGCAATGCTATTATCTATTTCAATGTCATACGGTTTTCTCCTTATTTCTCTATGTCAACTTATTACTTAACAAAAAATACTTATCTCTACTGTTCTCATAAGGAAAATAGCTATATATTATTCATATTTCGTTCTTTGTTAAATAATAAGTTATAATAATTGTGGTAATAAGTAGAAATAATGTTTTAGAGAAAACTATTTAAAACGCGGTATCAGATTCAGTGTAGGTATTTTTGGATCCTTCCTAAAGCGTTTTTGATTTTCAAGAAGAATGTTTAGTCGATGTTACAATTCCTCGGCTATATAAAATAAAATGCACAATAAAGACTGCATGATTTCGACCGATTAAGCTGAGGTAGTTCAAGTAACCTCGTCTAAATAAACGAAAATGCACGATATTACTTTATTAAGCCGAGGTCGCTTGCGGCCGAGGCGCTACAGTTAATATTTATATATAGTTATATATAACAATATACACAAAAATGATAAAATGTAATTTTGTCGGTATCTGCAAATAAGATGCAAAACAACAGCTTGTTGTCTCAATTTTGCTTATAATTATATAACAAATGTTTTTGATGCAACAAAACATATTAAAAAATTATGGATAATGGAGTAGATGTGGTATTTTTGTTCTTGATGAATAAATTTTAAAAATCATTTTAAAATCAAATAAAAAAAATGATTAATTAATGTATAAACTGAAATAAATTTTCTTTTTGTTATTAGGAGCACAATTTGGAACAGTTATTTCGATGCCTCTAAGTGGATTACTTTCGGCATCTGCAGCAGGTTGGCCATCAATTTTCTATGTATTTGGTGCTGTTGGTACCGTTTGGTGTATTGCATTCCTTTTATTCATCTACGAAGATCCCAATGCCAATAAGAAAATGGATGCGGAAGAAAGAAAATTTATTTTGGATTCTTTATGGGGGACATCACAAAATACGGTAAATATTTTTTTAATTAAAACTTAATTCAATTTAATTTCAATTATTATTATTATTATTTTTTAATTATTTTAGAAAACCCCACCAATTCCATGGATGTCAATCATCAAATGTTTACCATTCTGGGCTATCCTCATCGCCCACATGGGCCATAATTATGGTTATGAAACTTTAATGACAGAACTTCCAACCTACATGAAACAAGTCTTACATTTTGACATCAAAGATGTAAGCAGAACTAAATTGAAACAACCTTAATTATAGTTCTAATTATTATTTATTTTTTCAGAATGGATTTTTATCAGCTCTTCCTTACTTGGCTATGTGGCTCTTCTCAATGGCTATAAGTCACGTTGCCGATTGGATGTTAGTTAGTGGTTACTTTACTCATACAATAGTGAGAAAAATCATTAACGGAATCGGTATGTTAAAAAATTACGTTTTAGGAGTATTATTTATTTAAATTAATTTTTGTTTTATTTCTCTAGGTCAATATGGTCCTGCTGTTGCTTTAACTGCAGCTGCTTTTACTGGTTGTGATCGTTGGTTAACCATAGCAATTTTAACTATTGGTGTAGGTCTTAATGGTGGTATTTATTCCGGATTTAAAGTAAACCATTTAGATATTTCTCCAAGATTCGCCGGTATTCTTATGTCATTCACGAATTGTCTTGCTAATCTCGCTGGTCTATTAGCTCCGATTTATGCAGGAAATATCATTAAAGGAGAGGTAAATAAAATGATATTTTTTTAATTTCATTTATTTATTTATTTTTTTTTAGCCAAGTCAAGCTAAATGGAGAATAGTTTTTATAACAGCCGCTTGTGTTTATGCTGGTTGTTGTACTTTCTACACAATTTTCGCTTCTGGTGAACGTCAATCATTCGACAACCCGGAAAATGATAAAAAGGATGAAGAATCCGCTGAAAATGGAAACGCAAATGTACAAGATACTCGTACTTAGACTAATATTCTTTTATTTTAATTTAATTTTGATTATTAATAACAGGACATATCCGGTTAAGTGCTTAGCATTAAAAAAACCGTGCTCCTAAAATTTTATCCACAATATTTGTGCCACACGCGTTAATTGTACACATTAATTTTAATCGTTTATTTCTTTCGTTTGTAATTTAAAAATAAGAAAGTTATGATTCAACTTACATAATATTTATTACTTTTAAGTATCATTAATTTATTTCTTGTTCTGTTATTACTATTTTTTTTTTAGTTTTTTAGTTCCTTTTTGAACTTTTGACTTTATCAACGTAGAAAGAAAGAAACATATTGTACAGATTTATACTTGAGTGCCTTATACTGAGAAATAAATATATTATTATGCAAAGTGATCAATGTGGATGTAGCAAAAGTGGATAATTTTTGTGATTGTTTTTAAAGAATGTTGAACATTGAAATTGTTATTTCCTTATTTCAGGTACAACGGAGAAACTTTTTATTTGAAAAGAAAAAAAAATACAATAAAATATCTGTGATATTCATTATGATGAAGTAGTTTTTTTATTTAACCACTCAACGAATGAATTATGTTATTAATCATAAAATGTTGAAACACTTTCTGGCTTTCTTGCTTTTAGAAAGTATTATTCTAATTTATCTTCTTAGGATTAGTGTTAAAATATTCAAATTAAATGCAATCGTTTGTCTAGCTGCAGCGGGCTGAATCTAGGTGTAGTCGCAATTTGGCTTTTAGCCATATCAGTGTTTTATAAAAGTTAAGTGGTGGCTACATCTATTTATTAAATTAATCGAAATTTTATGGAATCTCAAGATTAACGTTAAGAAATCTAAAACTTCATCTAAAATCAATTTCTTGAAATATTTCCTGTTCAGGATGTATATCGTCGTTGTATAAATATGGTGGTTTTGCTCTAATGATAATTTTGTGTGAAAACCAAATAATATCAGCTTTTGTAAGAGGAATTTAGTAGATAGACTAGAAAACTTAACATTATTCTTAACAAATAAAAAGAAATATCTAGTCTTCTATTAGTAGTATCCAGTCTTCTGTAAACAGTATCTAGTTATCTATCAGAAGCATTATTTGAGAGCAGTATATACTCTTTTAGCAGTATTTAATCTTCTGTCAGCAGTATTTAATCTTCTAACCGCATATGTAGTCTTTTTCAAGTAGTATTAAGCCTTCTAAAAGCAATATCTGGTCTTTCATAAGTAGTATCTAATCTATTTCCAGCAGCCTCCAACCTTTAATCAACAGAATCTAGTCTTCTGTAAGCAGTATTTGGTTTTCTATTATTACAGCGTCTAGTCTCCCATCAGTAGCATCTAACTAAATTTGGCAGTAGTATTTAGTCTTCTGCTGGAAGTATATAGTATTCTGCAAGCAGTGTCAAGTCTTCTGTAAGTACTATTTAGTGTTTTATCAGTAGATAGTTTATTTATTTTTGAAAATTACTTTTAGTTTTTGAATTCAATTAATTTTACTGAAAATTAAATAAAAGACTTTTTACAGCCGTCAAAATGATTTATATAAAAATATAAAATTAAAAAGGGATATTTACTACAGAGTCTGTTATTGGATTTTAAAAATAAGCCCTGTTCACCTCAGTATACACAGAAATTGCGGGGCTTCTCTCCGCTTTGTGTTCTATAATTAGATTGACACACTTGACCGTTTCCATCAACGCGATCATAAACGCACCATGATAGTTATATGAATAGAGAAAAATTATTGGAGTTCTCATTTTTCATTGATATTAGTGGATGTTTTTTGTTGAAATAGGAGAATTAATATTTTTAGATCGATGCAATCCATCAATCTTAGCAACGAGGTTATTTAACAACGAAACGATCGTAAAATGCCATTAGCAGACAGTGGTGCAAGCGTGGAAAATTGCAAATCCCCGGGGAACTCTTAGGAGTGGATAGGAAACCATAAACTTCCCGCTTGGTTCCCCTTCGGGGAGAGTTCCAAATCGAGATTTTATTCGTTCACCAACTGCGAAAAGAACATTTTTTCAAAGAATCGATAATACTCTAAAATTTTGTTGAAAGAATTTTGGTAATTTATGTAACCAGTTATAAATCCCAAAGTTAATTATTAGTAACCGATAAGTCCTCTTGTAGAAATTGTTGAAAGTCGAACCCTTTCTTTTTATATCTTTTTTTATTCCAATCTTTTGTTCAAAACTTTTGTTCAGAATGTTTGCTACAGTAATTGGAAAACTCGTCGATGCGCAATTTTCTTCTGGCATACAATGAAAAAATACCGAACAAATCCTCCTACCATAGTTTCGGTGACCACCAGGTTCTCCTAGTTTTGGGCATTGGAAAAACTAAAATCGGGTAAAGAATCGATGTAGGGGGAGAGTTAGTGCGCACGCGGTCGTCATCTCCTCGTGACCTTTTACAAAATTTGCCGACCCTTTCCAGCGCGCGCGTGTGTAAAACGTTCTTCCGTTACGGTCTCCTTTTTAACAAAATGAGATTCAAAGCCATAATGAGGAATTCTTTCCCGGTGTTTACCATCGATGATTCCCGGACGTGGTCTGCATAAAATCTCAATTTTGCTCGTCTATTTGACAAGATTTACAGTTAAACCCTTTAGTTTTAAATAACAAACCGATTGCAAAAAAAAATGAGACAATTTTGCTTACCACATCCAATCCATTTGTTGCATAGAACATGTTAATTATGGTTGGTGGGATATATAATGTAATGCGATATGGGGTTTACTATAATTATAAAGATAATGTGAGCGCATAATGTAGGAGTCACCGCAATGTTATTACGCGTTCAACAGCGTAAGCTGTTAATTATAACAAAATAAATTAAATTTTTTTCATGGAAATTGATAATATTGTAAATTAATTAAGTTTTAAAAACTTATTTAGATGATTATGATGATAATATCATTATATTATAATGATTTTTAAGTGAAAGATTTTGAACTGTCAAATTTGACATGTAATATGACAGCTTAAATTAAATCTATTTTTTCGTTTATGTACCGAGTTGAAATGGACACTGTGGTTGCGTTTCTGCATACATTTCCATATTGGGGACACAATACGAATAAGAGTCCACTGGTGCGTGGATTTTAATTGAATATTTCGTTGCTGTTTTGAATACATTGGCGAAAAAGAAACTTCAACGAAAACTCTAATTATTATTCTTTATTAATTATTATCACTACCAGTAATTAATGCTCGATAGCAGATTGTCCTGCCTGAACGGCAGTCCTGGATCGAAAAGGAAAATATAAGATTTGATGCCTAATCTGACTCTTTTTAAAGTCATAAGACTCTCGTCTATTGTTACATCTCTCTCGAGTTTAATCACAGAAGAAAATTTTTGCTTTAGATGTTCAATGACATGCCATAATTTATTTAGTTTAGGATGTGGGTTGGGTTGGGTTGCAGAATTTGAATACCAAAAAAAAAAACAATCAATTCTCCATTATCTGTCGATTTCCACTTCTTCAAACGTGAAATTTTTTGCGAAATTCCAGTACCACATTGAACTGCATATCTGGTATAATTTCGTAAATAATTGAAATAGAACATATTATGTTCATTAACATGTTTTTTTGGTAATTGGATTAGCTATCATATGTCAAAATTTGATGGTGAGCCAATAAATCAGCCTGTATACAGGTGTCCCGAAACTCAACGCTAAGTTTTGGTAAAAATAAGAAAAAAATTCCATGTCTCTTAGTTAAGTGGTAATAGACATATTTTTGAAAATGTTAAAAATCATTCTTCTACATCATATCTTTAGGTACTACGGTTATAAATGTTCGTAATTTAATAGTGATTTTTTTAATAATGTATTCCTTTTGAACCATGATTCTATAGCAGTCACAAACTAAACAACAAAAGTATTAGTTTAATTGAGTTAAGGTTGAAAGAATTTATGTCTATTAAGTTTGACACACGATTTTTAAACAAAGGAGTAGTACAACACCCTTGGCAAGTTATTTTAAAAGGACAGTCATAAATTCTTTCAACCTTAATTCATCAAATTAATTTTTTTTTTTTGCAAAACTAATGACTTTTGTTGTTTGATTTCCGATTTCTATTGTAGCAAGGTTCACAAGTAATACATTATTAAAAAAAATCACTATTAAATTGCGCACATTTCTGACCGTAGTATCTAAAGGTATGACGTACGGGAACGATTTTTCACATTTTCAAAAATATGTCTATTACCACTTAACTAAGAGACATGGAATCTTTTTCTTATTTTTACCAGAACAGGTATGAGTTAGCCTCTCACCCGGTGCCCGCTTGGCGTTGAGTTTCGGGACACCTATATACATACATAGTTTGTTAAATTAAAATAATTAATTAAAGATAAAAATTGTGAAAGCGTACTCAGGCTTTAATTAAAGAGACGATAGTTAAAGAGAATGTACGAGACGATCCGATAGAAATTCAATTAATTAAGGGATGGCTGGAAAACCGACAAAGCTTTAAGGTGAGGTTTCATAAATTGAAAGACGTGCAAAATCATACTTTACTTATTATATTACCAGGTTAATGGAATTTCAATAGAAAGTCAAAGGATAATTTAAAAATAATAAAATTTTAATGAACTTATTGATTTCTTTTTGGATTGTAAGTGTCAAAGCCCTCAACAATATAGATTTCCGTTTTGTCCCTATTTCCCATTCAACTGACTACCAAAGTTAGTACACGTGTTTCGATCGAGTTCAACTACTAGAACTTGTCACAACAGGTAACCTAAAACAATTGTATAAACAGGTAAATCACAAGGTAAGCGGAGACGACGAAGTAGATTTTATAAATGGCTACTACAGAACAACCACAATATCAACATTCAAGGGTACGCTCAACTTGTTGGAACAGCGCGACGTCGTCGTCACGACGCCTCCGCTTCCACCACCGCCTAAACTTTTCCTCCTACACCTCCATCACCTATTCCCAACCGCTGACGTCGGTTCGAAATTGTTCGGTTTTATCGAACAATATGCAGGATGCGCACACGGTGATTCGCGCAGGCGTCAGAAAGAGATGCGAAACGACGGCGACGCCGTCACCGTAGCTGCGTCCTTCTCCGTCGGTCTCGCGGCCGCCGCCGTCGCCGGCTCGCGGATTATACACCAACCCCAGTTATTGACAGTTTGAACGTCGTCGGTCGAGAACGTTTTTTATATTTTTTCGTCGCCGTCGCGAGATTTGATACGATTTTTGCAAGGAGTTGTTAGTTTTCCGAACGCGATGGCTGACGACGATGTCTTCAACGATGACAAAGAGGTCCTCACCGGAGCTTTAGCTCTGCGAGGTCGTAAAGGAGCGCTCAAGAAGCGGAACGTTTACAACGTTAAGGATCACAAGTTTATGCCAAGGTTCTTCAAACAACCCACGTTTTGCTCTCACTGTAAAGATTTTATTTGGTAAGTAAAAAATATGTTCTTTTAAATGGTAGTTTTGATTTTAAAAGAAATTTTTTAGGCAATGATGTACTTTTTTTGTGATTTTGAATGTAGGTCGATGCGCTTTGTTCTACCTGTAGCTTCACTTGTAACTTGTATTTTAATAGTTTAAGACTCATCTCAAGTTTTTTTTAAATGTTATTAATATTTTCGAAAATTCTTAATATTCATGAACTTTATTGTTGAACAATTAAGTCATTCCATCAATCACGTAAATCTATCAACCATATCGAGTATGTCGTACTTGAATGTGTTGAAGACTTGATTTGTATTTAAATTATTCTTACTTATAAAAACATAAACAACATTAAACAATAAAAAAAGTTTTTCTTCGGGAGATAATAAAAAAAAATGTAATGCATAAAAAATCTTGTTAACCTTAAATGAACTTAACACTTTAAAATGTTCCCTTGACCCATAACATACATTGAAAGAGAAGAAATGGATAGTCAACTCTACACAATACCCACAGTTATTCCGAGGTCACATTCATGGGATTCTTTTAATGTGTTTATGGGTTGTTTATAAAAATAAAAATCGCTGGATGTTTTAAAGATGAAGAAAAAATGTTTTATCTATTAGAAATAGAAATACTAATTAAAAAAAGAACGAAGGGCATAAAACACTTATGTAACTAAAAATAATGTTAACCTAATTTCCCACCGGAAAACTCTTAAAGTTCAAGAACTTGGGATTCTACGTAATGTATGTGTGCGTTTCTTGTATACATTTTCTCCTCGAAACTGTTTTAATAGAGTTGGGTATAAACAAGCAGGAAACTATTTGTTTTTCATCATCGTGGGATTCTACTCAACGAACTCAGTTCGTGCTAAGTGAATATTTTAAGAAAGAAAAATAGTTTTTTTTTAACTAAGAAAATCGTTTTTTAAGTGAATGAAATTTTTCGAATATCAAAAATTTTCTTATATATTCTGATAGTATTTATAAACAGCTGGCACACAATTACGTTTCTAGATAGTTATCAGTAAAGCATATTTTACACTTTTAGTAAACTTTTCGCTTTATTTGATATTTATAAAACATTTTCAAACATGTTTCTCGCAAATGTAAATGAACTAAATTGATTGTGAAAATCAAGAATTGATAAAAATACCGCTAAATATCCGGTGGAGAGGAAGAAAAAAATAGAAATAAAAACCGCAATACAAATTAAATACAATTTTCTTTAACGATGTAACGTGCCAGTAACTCTGTGTTGTTCTTCATTAATGAGGGCAATATGATTTTGGGCTTTAACTTTCGAGATTTAATAAGAGATGTTGTAGTTCAAACATCTCAAGTTTGGTGATAATTTCTGGGACACATTATGACATCGTTTTCCTTAATAAAGTTTGATTCAGTGTAGGTATTACCAACATAATTTAAAATTTGAATGAATTAACATGCAATTTCAGAAATGCCTAATTTAGTAATTACACTTAAATTCAATAGAGTGACTACAACGACTCTTAACTATTAGAAAATCCATTGCCATAGATAAAATTGTATATCAAATTTCATCAGCGAACCAACTCTGCTCAACTCAACCCAACCCATTCCAACCTAGTTTTTATACGCTGAAAAGAAGAAATGTTTAGCAGCGTACTGGTGATGGCAATGCTTCGGACTCCGCTAATTAAGTCATTTCCTCACTCTTTAAGAACTTGGATAACCTTCGCTGATCGCTCATTGCTCTAGATTGCCTTAGCGTAAAGTTGTTAAGTAAGTAGGTTTTCATTCTCTTCTTTCTAATACATCATTATTACTCTTCTGAGAAACTTTAAGGCCACGGTGTTTTTTTTCAAACTCATGCTTCATTTCTGCGTCCATCCTTTTCCTTTTTTGTGTATTTAAAGAGATAACCCAGCCTAATTCAATCAAACCCAACTCGACTCAATTTACCTCGATCCAACCTAACTCATTTAGTCTCTCTAATGGATAAAGTTGGGATGAATATCATATTCTCATTGCTAAGGTTAATTATTTGTGTTGATTTGATGATATGGTAAAATTTTGTATTAAAACGATTTTCGATCTTATAGTTTTGTGAAACTTGTTTTGGGCTAACTTTTGAAAGCAGCAACCTTAAATGTAATAAACTTGCTCAGCTCTTTCTCGCCGTCTTATTCAACGCAATGCGAAGAGTTGCTTAATTAATGAATTGTTAACACCGATAAAAAAATCTCATCAAGTTTTTTTTTGACCTAATTCGTTTTATTTATGTATTATAATCATTGATATTACTTGAACCGTTTAACAATGGCAATGAAGTTGAACTCTACACTCATTTTCAATAAACGCTGTAGAACTGGAAGACAGCTGGGGATAATATGGGCATTTGTACAGTTTGGTGCTGTATTGTATAGGTTATATGAGAAAAGTTGGGATAAGTTAGGATTGGTTTTGGATCAATTCGAATTCGTCGGATTCGGTTCGATTGAAGTAGATGTATTGGACAGATTCATCTTTGTTTGCAGTATTGGTGTCTAATCACTCTAAAATGTATGGTAAAAATGTTATTTATATTTTCAAGGATTGTTCTCTCAAGTCACCAATTTTGAAAAGCAAGGTGAAACTCCGAACGTAAAATGTCTTTCAGGTGCACTCATCTGAAAAGGCACTAAAGCTTACTTAATTGCCCCTAACGCCCATCTTGGGATTATTGATTAGCAGCCTTATTCGTGCAAACGTAGGCTATTCATAGATTAGTTTCCAAAATGCGTAGGTGGCTTTTTGTGATTGACCCCATTCATGTATTTCTAATGATATTCTTTCAAATATATTGTATAGGTATAACTGTCAGAAAAGCTCTTTCTTTCATTCGATTTTTTCTTCAGGTGAACTTCAGGTTATGCTGATTCCGTTCGTTTTTCCTAGCAGCTGGTAGAGTTTCTAAGGAAACCTTTCCAACGAGATTACTGAGAACTGGTTACATCATTAAAATTTGAAAACAAGAATCATTAGGGAGCATATTTAATTCATAAGTAAGCAAGTATATCGAAATAAAGTGTTTACAATAAAGTGCCGAATTTTGTGAAAATTTTAGATGAAAACCTTGCCGGTAATAAAAATGTTACAACATTGTCCGGTTAGCTCTGAAAATTGTTTATGTGGACGATCATCTCGTTGCCGAATACAAAACGAACATGGTTGCAATAAACACGTTTAATGCGTTTTAATAATGGCCGAGGTAATAAAGTCCGAAAACGTCGCCAACCGTTACAAATAAAACGACAGCGAGATGGCGTCGCGACGCTTATCGTTAAATATCGATTTTGCGGTAGACGATATATTTCTCCGTTTAATTACCATTAAAACTCACTGATGTACTTTATATTACTTTAAATACAAATTTTTTTATTTAAAAAACTTTGATGGTTTCTATGTAAAATGGATACTAGTATTAAAATAACCAGGTTGTATATGTTTTCTAGATAATTGGGATATCAAAAATATAGAATTGATGTTGATATAAAAAAGAACATTTTGATTATCCTCATAAATTATTGCCATGAACTACTTAAGTGATCTAATGATCGCGTCATGTTCATAAATTCACAACTTTGCCAGGGATGAAGCAGTAACTGTGTTGCAACATTTTGGAAGCAGACGATTCTGTATGAAATGGTCTAAAGAAAGTGATGCTAAAGTCTTCCTCTAGTCTGATGGAATAATAGATAGTGTTTTCATGTCTGATAGCAGAAGGTCGATCTGAGTTATAGGCTATCTCTTTAGCAAAGGATTTGAGAAGGAAGGTCACCTAATCTTGTTAAAAAGAATCACAGACAGTACTCCGGGTAGCATCATAGGCCCTTTATTAGTTAATTATTAGTAGTATGAAAGCAACATACAGATTTTGTCTCGTCTTTTAAGTCTTAAAGATCTTCTCTGCAGCATGACCTCATTAACCTGTCTCATTACTGCCAGTCTAATTCTATTAGCATAAATTGATACTATAATATGATCAAAACCGTACTTGCAGCAGCTTCTAATAACAGAAGTAATCCTCCTGTGTTGTGACCTATAGATAATAAAGTAAAATTTAAGCGAAATAATATAATAAATTCGGAATTTTGAAATGAAATACACATATTTTTCATTAATAATTATATTTGAATATTTTAACAATGCTTTTATTTTTTATTATAGTTGTGAAAATGTACCCATTATTGGCCGACCGTTAAAATTTTTGGCATTGGATAAAACGAGTTGTCGATAAATTTAATAATTTCATTTACATTTTACTTCTCATATAAAATTTAAATTACGAAATCATATAAATATTCTTTGTATTATATACAAATGCAATATTTTGAAACATTTAGGTTATGTTACTCAATAAAACTTTGTTTTGAATCATAAAATTATGAAGGGATAAACATTAAATCTGTCAGAAAAATAATATCCTGTCTATTTTTATCTTTTATCATCTATACTTTTAGGATTATGAAACATTAAAGCTCTACTCTCCCTGTAATTAATAATGCAAACACCGCATACATAAAATAGAGCTTTTCCTAGTGCAAAGGACGATTTGCACACAATGCATATGTTAGGCCCAATTCCAATTAGCTAAGTAGTTTAATTTTACAAATGGTGTATGCGAGTAGTAATTAGTGCAGGTTCTGTGTAAAGTTTGCCGTTGTTATTAAGGTTATATCAAGCTTAATTTTAATAATGTTTCATGAAATAATCGTTTTTTATTAAAAAAAATATGATGTTAAGATTTTAAAAAACACTTTTAGATTTATGATAGTATGTTAAGAATAGCCGATAGATTAAAAATTTATACCCTGAATGGTTACAAAAAGGAAATTCTTGGTAAAAAATTTCCATATTCTATTATCTAAGCCACGTAATAAAATACTCTTGGGGATGTGGAAGGAAATTCCCAAGGGCAAACTTTGAATACCTATTTTTTTGTATTTTATAAAGCCTCAAAAAGGTCAAGGTTTCTAAGCACGGTATCGAATCGTGTCATTCCTTATAGTGTTTGAAATGATCATAAAACCACAAAAATATATGCGCTCTTGCGGTAAAGTGCTTCGCGTTACGTTGGCCAAACGCCAGAGTCCTTTATAGGACGACCCTGTTTATAGTTTTAGGAACTCAAAAAAAAACTCGTAAATCATTACGAACCAGAAGAAACATTTTTTAAAATAGTGTTACTATTTAACGGGTTTTAACATAATCTCAGCTCCAATAAATCGGGAAAGTAGATAACCTTGTCACTTAAATAGATTTTTTTTAAATTTTAAAACCAGTTTATATTCACGTTGTTTATATGCATACTCATTATTAATTCATTTCATTAATTTATTTTAATTCATGAGAAATGATGGAGTAGTATACAAATTTTATTAGGAGTTTTTATAGTTTCTTAAACTTAAATAAATTTTAACTTTAAAGTTTCGAGTCAGTTCCTCATTTGATTTGCAAATTGTGTCGAGTGTTGTAAAGATCGTTCATATGAAGGTTCTTATTTTCTTCGTTGAATGTTACGCTCGGATGCGTTACTTACGATAAAACTCACTTTACCCATCTCTCTTTCGTTCCCTCGATCTGCCATTCCAGGAAAACCCTATAACGTCATGATTTAATGCCGGTTGGCGTGTCGTTCTATTACACTTGTTGAATGTCATGCCATTTTTAGCACAACACCATTCACTTTTTTATTTTCATTTTAATAAATTCAAACTTCGCGTCGTTGGTATACATTAAATAATTTTTTATTTATTGAATAACAAATTTAAGTTTATGTAAATCAAAAAAAAAAACAATAAGAAAGTGAAATACAATAAAACCTCGATATAACGGATCTCGTTAGAACAAAACAAAATAAGCACAACGCCAAGTGTGGCAATGGATGTTCTGCTTGACCTATCTCCTTTGCATTTGTATATAGAGAAAGTGGTTAAAACTACCATTTACCAGGTTTTAATGGGCTGCGGAAGACACTATAAGCACTTTGTTCTATCAATGGCGTCAGATTTGACGGGATCACTACCAGTGATTAATGCTCGATACCAAATTGTTCTGCCTGAACGGCAGTTGGATCGAAAACGAAAATTCTCTGGTTCAGGCAGATATTTGCATGTTCACAGATGAATCAAAAACGCCGGAAGGGGTCGGGGCAGGAGTATACTGCCAGACACTTCGGATTAAGCAAGCTTACAGCCTGGGTACGTACTGTACTGTATTTCAGGCGGAAGTATTTACTATTGATATGGGTGCTAAAATCCTTCTTGAGAGCTGGTGAAGAACATGACAGTATGATTTTTTCAGACAGTCAAGCCGTTCTTACTTAAGAACGTTAATGACTGTAAAAGCATTTAAACACACTCAGTTGAGATAACAGAGTTTCTTTGATCTGGGTCCTAGGTCATTCTGGGGTTGATGGCAATGAAGCGGCAGATCAGCTAGCACGAGAGGGCAGCGCTAAAGCGATTGTGGGGCCAGAGCCAGCAGTTATTTATGATTTGCTATGGCCAAACATAGGATTGGACTGTGGGCTGAAAAGAGACTTCGCCTACTCTTGACCAGTTCTCCTGGAATGAGACACGCTAAGTTGTTTATCAACATCGCCACTGTCAAACTCGGGAATATTTTAGGACTTGCTCGTAGCAGCATTAAAGTTCTAATGGGTGTCTTTACTGGGCACTACCGATTAAAGACTCACCTCAACTTGTTGGACCTAGCCGACGATGTTGAATGCCGACTATGTACGGTTAGTTCTAGTTTTCATTGTTATTCAACGCCAGATTGTTCCATATTTTCATTGAAATCAAACTAGAACTAACACTAGACCTAGAACCAGAATCATGTCTCTAGTTCTAGGTTTAGTGTTAGTTCTAATTTTAATTGTTATTCAGCGCTGGATTGTTCTATATTTTTATTGAACTCAATTTAGAACTAACACTAGACCTAGAACTAGAAACATTCAGGTTAAGCCGTATGTGTTTTAAGACGGCTAAACCCGAATGTTTCTAGTTTTAGGTCTAATGTTAGTTCTAGTTCTAGTGTTAGTTCTAGTTATAATAGTTTTAGTTGCTAACTAATACAGAACGCACGGTATTTGTGTATTAATCCGTTATATCGGGATTTTACTCTACTTGAAATATTTGATAAATAATTTATGATAGAAACGAGAAAATTGATGAGGATGTTTGTGTTTGAAAATCGTTTTCGTTTTCCGTACGACGATCTCGTGCTTATAACGGTTTATTGCAATTTCAATTGAAAGTGTAAAAATAGATCGGGTTGTTTCCGGAGGATATTTCTCTTTGCTGAACCCAATGAGTAGAGTGAGTGTTAATTAACAAACGGAACGACCTCTCGAAACACAGAACTACGTAATTACGATTTTAATTTGTGTTGAGTTTAAACTGAAACAACTAGTACAATTGCTTTTATAATTCTCAATTAATATTCTATAACTGCGTTTAAAAAACTTTTTTGTTCAATAAATAATTAATCTTTTTAATCTTGTTACAGGGGATTTGGAAAACAAGGATTTCAGTGCCAAGGTAAACTTTTAGGAATAAGAACGAGTTTTAATTTGAATCTTTTCCAATAAAGTCGTTCTAATTGAAAACAATCAAAACTGATTATTTGTTTCTCCAGTATGTAGCTTCGTCGTGCATAAACGCTGTCACGAATATGTCACCTTCAAATGCCCCGGAGCGGATAAAGGCGCAGATTCCGATGTAAGTTGTATACAGCTTTGTTATGTAAAAAAAAGAAAAATCCCACGTATAACAAAAACACGCAATTTTAATTGCTTTGTTTATCTCCTCCTGTTTAATTATATATTTATTAAAATAATTGCTGTATTTGATTAATAAATCCTTTAAACTTTTTCCAACCTATCATTTATGTAGTAGTCTATTTCGAGAAAGAAAAAAGGATCATTTTAGGTTGTTGGTTTAAAAAAAACGTAAAGGGTACAAAGAGAATACTGAATCTCTGTTGGTGCTTTGAAGGTTTTACGGGTGGAACGCTTCATCTTTCCGGAAAGTCTTAAAACTTTACGATTATAGACCGTACACCTGAGACAAAAACCACTATTTTTCTCATTATTTTCATTCTCATTTTTATTATTATTATAATGGACGTTACGTGTCTAGAAACTTTTCTAAAGCACAATTTTTATAATTACCTTTTTTGTATCATTTTGATGCATTCTCAGTTTTAAGCTTCTAGTGATGAAATTCATTAAGCATTGTTTAAAACAATGTAATCCTGATTATTTGATGAATACCTTTAAATAATTAATAATTATTACATCGAAATGAACGAAATTTTAATTGGATATATATAATTGAATAAAATCGATCGCTATGCAAAATACGCTTAATTAATTCAATTTGTACTGGTTAAGCCGATAAATTTTATTAAACAGATACTATTTTTGAATTTAATTCAAATATGTTTCATTGTGCGGAATGTTTCAAAACTCAAACGATAAATTTATGACCTTGATAATGAAACAAGCCAACGCGGCTATATTTAATGAAGGGGAGAGAACATTTCAGAACCAAAATTGTTTAACTTCCATCGAGGTACGTTTTCAAATTATTGACTGAATATATTAGAAAAAAACTTGCTATGTCAGTCATGTCAGTCTGAGAGATAGAACTAATTTCCTAGTATAAATAGCAACTCCATGCAAATTGGGCGTGGATGTAATATACAAAGGAATACATCTGATGATCTCTCTGTTTTAAACTACGCCGTGGCTGCTTCAGGTGGAGATTAATACGATATTGGGCAACACATAGTGCCGATCTCCGGTTAATGTTCTGAAGAAAATATGTTTCGTTTGATTATTTCTTCCCCAGCCTACTGCATAGCCTTCCCTCTGATAGCCGCAATCTGCGTCAGTGTCTCTTCCCATGTTGTTCTTGGTAACCCTATACGTCGCCTACCATGCCTCTGGCCTCTATGTACATCCGTGGTTTCCTCACCTGACCCATTCATCTTACGTGGCCAAACCAAGACAGCTGTCTAGTCCCCTCGTCTCTTTCCTACAACCCTCCGGAGGCATTTCATTTGGACCGCATTAACCCTCCTGCTGTCCTTTCTATTTGCGGTCCAACGTTCACTGCCATAGGTAAGTATAGGGTCTATGACGTCTTTATAAACACTTGTCTTGGCCTTATTTTATCCTTTCGAAACACTTACCGATTCAGAACATAGTAAGCCTTGGTAGCCATATCCACTCTGTTCCTGATCTCTTCAGTAAGCTTGATTGTCTGGTTGATTGTCGTGTCTAGATATTGATAGTTACTGGCCTTGTTAAGAAGTTGACCATCACATTCGATGTGGATGTTCTTCTGTCCACTTCTTCTTCTGTCCTCGTCACCACCATAACTTGTCTCTTCACCTTGTTCAACGTTCTGATTATGTCGAACTTAATACAATTGACTCATATTATTACAATTTTAGACACATTCCAGAACGCATCTGCTTAATAACACAGTAACTTCATTTTAAACTAAACCGAGGCATATAATCGATATCAATATTGACTCGGTGTCAAGCGATTTTTTTCATCTACACTTTTTTTTTATTTACACTTATAACCTTAATAATCTCTGTTAGCCTTAGCCTGTCAAGTTAAATATCATAAACAATTTTTTTTGTAATATAGCATCATAAAGGATTAATGTATTTGAGGTTAAACTATTTGAAATTGGGTAAATATTGTAAGTAGAGTTCGAGTTGAATCCAGAACGCTACTAATAATAATATTTATTGGCGTTAATCCCAGACCATTTACACAAGTCAGAAACAGAATTCCAAATAAATAAATAACAGTCTCCAGAGATATAATCATAACATTATCAACAATGTAATTCTGAAATGTTTAAGCGTGTTCTTTGTGGGTTGGTTTTGTTACACTTAAATTATTGTGATGTTTATGGACCATGTCTCAAGTATAAAAGATTTTCAAAATTCATATTGCCGATGTGTTTTTCAACATCTGAATAAAAAAATAATGTTATTAATAATCTTTTTTAATTATAAAAATTAATTTTATTGTTTAGGACACAAGAACTCGTCACAATTTCAAAAATCACACGTACAGCTCACCAACGTTTTGTGATCATTGCGGATCGTTATTGTACGGGGTGATTCACCAAGGGATGAAATGCACAGGTGAGTTTATTTTTTAATGGTGTCTAAAAGATGAACCCGATTTATCAATAAAAGTAAATTCTATTACCTTGAATCATTTAAAAATAATTTAATTAAAAATTAATTAAATAAAAATATTGAGGATCGATAAAGAAGTTGATCCAAAATGTTTCCTACAGCATTTAGAGATTGTATTTTTGCATATAACGGTAAATGCCTTCGGGATGCACTTTCGGGTCGAAAGTTCCCGTGGGAACGACCGTCAACTCTACAGAATGGCCAGTTCAATTATTCACGAATCTAAAAATCCATTTCGAATAAAGGATTTTTCAATTTTTTTATAAAAAAATATAAAATGTTTTATGTATTACATTTCTTTGTAACACATTTATAACAAAAGTGAAATTTTTTGTGAATGATTTCATAAACATAGGAAAGTTATAAATTTGATAGTTGAAAATTGATCAATTAATTTGACTATGAGAGGAAAACGAATCAACTAGTTGGGTTGGTTTTGAATAATAAACGATCTCGCTGAAAATCGAAAACGGTTTTAGTCCGAGTAGGGACTTTTACGACCCGGCCATGATTACAATTTGAAATTTTAACGGTATCGTTAATTAATTACGTACGTTTACCCTTTTCTCTCTCTCTCTCTGGCTCTATCTATCTATCTCAACCCGTTTAGGGTACATACTCTACTGACCTGGTTACTATTCTTTATTGTTTGCTTTGTTACATCACATCCAATTAAAATATTAAAAACGAGAAGAACCACTTAAACCAGTTCTTTCTAACCTTTTTTTTTCAACTAAAATATTTATATAACCTAAATAATTAATCAATCAGTCAGTTTTTAATAAAAAAGCATGTTTTAACATCGAAAAAAAGGTTATCTTTCCTCATCTTAAGAGCTAATGCATGGATATTTTTGAAATATTTTGATCAGACGATTTTGAGAAGAACTTTATAACACGCTGGCCAAGTTTGAAACTACATAATAACGATTTTAGAATACACAGATAAGTTTTCAAAACACTCTGAAAATGTTGCCAATTTCTGACATCATTACTAAGTCTGGAACTACACTGATTGAGATTGTAGTGTCCAAGAAAAATGTGGAATTATACTTATCGAACGTTTAGACAGTCTGGATTAGATTTTAACACTAAGAAGATGTATAGAAACGCATTTGCTAAGACTCTAAATTGCATGGATAGCTTTGAAACATTTTGATCAAACCTAAGACATCGAGAAGAAGTCTGGAACGCACTGGCCAGACTCCAAAATCAAGTTTGAAACTATATAGTTACGATTTTAGAATTATACTTATCATTAGACACCAAGAAAATGACTGAAATTAGCGTGCTTAAGACTCCTCAATGCTAGAAAAATCTGAAATTATATAGATTAGACTTTACAGCCCAATAAGTTGTCTAGAAATACATTGGCTGATGTTCTAAAACGCAATTAAATATTCTGATCAGAGTTAAGACTTCGAGATGATATCTGGAAATACATTGGCTAAGACTCTAAAACTTATGGATGGTCTTGAAATATTCTGATCAGATTTAAGACTTTGCGAAGATGTCTGGAATTATGTTGTAGTAATTACAGAAACAAACTGAGACTTCTAGAAGAAGGAGAATACATAGGCCATATCTCAATGTAAAAGGGTGGTACCGGATTTGAGCAACTGATTGTGATGATATTAGATAATAATGGTCGGTTTGATATTTTTAATTAAGTTTCTTTATTATTTTAGTTTATTTTACTTTACCATTTCTTTTTGTTTCATTAATGTTGTTAAGATTCTTGGGCAAATGAGTTTTAGTTGATTTCGATCGGTGGTTCTTACAAAAGAAGACCCCCCTGAGTCGACGTCATTGTCCGGTTCAGGTTTATCTGATTATACGTGCACCATTGGTTCGAATAACAATGCCTTTCAGCGCGCTTTCATGCTACACGTACCCAGTTATCGCACACTACAGACGTTCAACGTCGTCCTTTCCCCTTCGTTAACGTCATTTTCTAAACTGAAATCTGAAATTTACAATCTCAAAATCTTCATATCGAACGACAAAAAAATTATGAAAAGGAAATTTTTTTTTGATATTAAAAAAAATGAAATAAATTATTATGGTTCGATATAAAAATATTCTATTTTTTTTTCTTTTTGTTTTAACCATCTTTTAGATCCGAGTATAAAACCGTATAACTTAGCGAATAAAAATGGATCTTTTCTAATATAGCATGCGACATGAATGTGCACAAGAGGTGTCAGGAGAGCGTCCCGAATCTTTGCGGTTGCGACCACACGGAAAGGCGGGGTAGGATTCAACTGAAAATATCCTGTACCGGAAACAAACTAACTGCAGAAGGTAAGTAGTTGTAAAAGCGCAAACGGCATAAAACCAAACCAACTACAACGCAGTGTTTTTTTTGTTACCACTTCTGTGTCGAGTCGAGTTTTCACGGAAGTAAACGCAAAGTGTTTACATTTTGTTTGTACAAACTGAAAACATCAAAGAGACTAAAGTGAGTCTATTTTTGTCCGCAACATAAAATGTTTTACGTCCATTAAAGGATCTAAAAGCTAATTTTAGATCGCCTTAAATCAACATTCAGTTATTACATTACATAATGATAAACGTTTTTATTTACTTTACTTTTTACATCCAATTTAATTTTAATTATTCTCCATAAATTTAGTTATTCAAGGACGCAATTTAATTCCAATGGATCCGAATGGTTTGAGTGATCCTTACGTAAAACTGAAGCTTATCCCCGATTCGGATAACGTTAAAAAGAAATCAAAAACCATTAAAGCGTGCTTGAATCCAGTTTGGAATGAGACGCTCGTTTTGTAAGTTAAAAAATCTACTGGATTAAAAAAATAATCTTAAACCTTTCATATTTGATCTTTATAGCGATTTAAAAGCAGAAGATAAAGATCGACGTCTATTGATTGAAGTTTGGGATTGGGACAGAACCTCGCGGAATGATTTCATGGGTTCGCTTTCATTTGGAATTTCTGAAATTATTAAAGCTCCATGTAACGGTTGGTTTAAACTTCTCACTCAAGAAGAAGGAGAGTTTTATAATGTTCCAGTTCCGGAAGAAGGTGTTGATTTAGCTACATTTAAAACTCAAATGAGGGTAAACAAAATACTCCTATACATTTATGATAAGATTTATTTACTTTGATTTTTTGGAATAGAAGACTTCGATCACTAAGAAACCTTCAATAATTTCCGATAAGGATGTTCCTCATAATATGGGTAAAAAGGATGTGATTCGTGCCACGGATTTTAATTTTCTCATGGTACTTGGAAAAGGATCTTTTGGAAAAGTAATTATAAAAAATAAATATTTTAAACCAATGTGTCAAAACAAAAAAGAAATCATTATTGAGTTGTAACAATTTTTATGAAATTGGGCTTTTTATTCCTTTTAAAATATCGGGCGGTATAAAGCCCTTAGAACTCAATACAACAATTTGGCCACGCTCCACAACAGTTTGTTTCGTTCTTTTAGGCATTATTAACTACTTTATTGCGTAATAAAACACCAATAAACACGCGCACATGCAGTTTTAAAATTATCCACGCTTTACGACCGCGTACTCTGGCAGAAATTGATACATTGAAATACGATTGCTCGCATAAACGCGGAAAGCTGCGGAAACTAGGTCGTGGGGATACACAATATTAAACACATCATTAAAGCATTTCCAATAACATATTTATGCCTTTAAGTAAAATAAAAGAAGTTTTCAAAGTATTTCTAAGTTTTACAACAATGTTCAGGTTTTGCCAAACATTTTCAAGCATTTCCAAAGGTATTAAAGGATTTCCTTTAATTCTCTCTAATACATTTCATTTCAGAGAAACCCAGAGTTATTAAGAATTTTCAGGGATTTGTAGCTGATTTCAGGAATTTTGAATGATTTCTGAAGAGAAATTTTATTTCAGTGATAAGAATCCACGTGGATGACAATCTTCGTCTTTCGGGTTGGTCAAAATGATCAAAAATTGTATTTGATATTATTCCAAACACGATCATGACGTTCCAAATGCCTTCAAAATGATTAAAAATTTTTGGAAATTATTTAAGACTTGTCTTAATGATTGGTTACTGGTTTGTAGCTATTTCATGTTGTTCAAAATGATTGAAGATTGTATTTAATACTATTCCAAACAGCCCTATAATGTTGAAAGTGATGAAGTGTTGCTTGGAAATTATTTAAAATTTGTCAAAATGATTGAGAACTGGTCCGTAACTATTTTAAGTTATTCAAAATTATTGCAAATTATATCTAATATTGTACCAACCAGGTTTATTGACTTATAAAAATGTTCAAAATTATTCAAAAATTGTCTAAATGATTGAGAATTGGTTCGTAGTTATTTGAGGTTGCTCAACATGATTCAAAACTGTATCTAATATTATTCCACGAAGGTTTATAAAGAAAACACATTTTTCAACACCGTCTCTGGCCTTCCTCGTAATTGTCATCAATCATTTATGAAGATAAAACATATAATATCGTTTTTAGATTTCCCTAACACTTTCTAAGATCAACATCGTCACTGATATTTCTAATTAATGTCTCAAAGTTGAATGTTGTCGAGCACGTGGCGTTTATTGTGTTAATAATAATGTTATAGTCTGTAACTTGTAAGATTGTAACTTTTTGACACACCAGTTGAATCAACCAAGATTGATTAGAATTAAAGAATGATTACGTTAATTTTCTAGGTGATGTTGGCTGAACGTAAAGGAACGGATGAACTTTACGCTATAAAAATCCTTAAGAAAGACATAATCATTCAAGATGACGACGTAGAGTGTACGATGGTTGAAAAACGGGTTTTAGCTTTGTCGAATAAACCTCCATTCCTAGTACAATTACATTCCTGCTTTCAAACTATGGTAAAGAATTTTTTTACAATAAAATTATTATTTTACAGTTTAGGTGTAAAAACAAATTAATTTAATTTTTCGTTTTACAGGATAGATTATATTTTGTAATGGAATACGTTAATGGTGGTGATTTGATGTTTCAAATTCAACAATGTGGAAAATTTAAAGAACCTGTTGCTGTGTATATAAAAATAAAATCAAAAAAATTAATAGTACACTTACATAAAATTATTTTTAGATTTTATTCTTCTGAAATCGCTATCGGTTTATTCTTCCTGCATTCACGAGGGATTGTTTATCGAGATTTAAAGTTGGATAACGTTCTTTTAGATCAGGATGGTCACATTAAAATCGCCGACTTTGGAATGTGTAAAGAAGGAATAATGGGTGACAAAACTACAAAAACTTTTTGTGGGACTCCAGATTATATCGCCCCAGAAGTAAAAAAAATCAATATAATGAAATATATCGATTTTTCAAATTTATTTTTTAAAGATCATTTTGTATCAACCGTATGGAAAATCAGTTGATTGGTGGGCTTATGGTGTTCTTTTATATGAAATGTTAGTTGGTCAACCTCCATTTGATGGTGAAGATGAAGAAGAACTTTTTGCAGCAATTACAGATCACAATGTTAGTTATCCTAAAAGTTTATCAAAAGAAGCTAAGGATGTGTGCAAAGGGGTAAAGCTAATAATTTTTTTTAAATGGTTACATTTTTAATTTTTAAATCATCAAAATCTAGTTGTTGACCAAAAATCCTAATAAAAGATTGGGTTGTGGATCTCATGGCGAAGAAGATATAAGAGGGCATGCATTTTTCAGAAGGATCGATTGGGAGAAGATTGAAAATCGCGAAATCCAACCTCCATTTAAACCAAAAATTGTAAATATTATTTATTATTAAGTGTATGTCTCTTGATTTACTTATTTATTTGTTGTAGAAACATCGTAAAGATGTTAGTAACTTCGATAAACAATTCACATCTGAAAAAACCGATCTTACACCAACAGATAAATTGTTTATGATGAACTTGGATCAAACGGAATTCATGGGATTCTCATTCCTCAATCCAGAGTTTGTTCAACACGTTTAAACTCAATTTCCATTTTTTTAAATAAAGTTTAATATACTCAAAGAAAATAATATATAGTAATTTTCAATTAGGGTTAAATGAATGTAAATACAGTAAAATTTCGATAGAACGGATTAAGACAGGGAAGGAAGTGTCCGTTATGTGAAATATAATATTTGATAATAGCTATCAACACCGGTGCGTTCTGTATTAGTTAGTTCTGCTTTTAGCTCAATAAACATTTACAAAAATCTAGCGCTAAATAACAACTAAAACTGGAGCTAGTAACACCAGACCTGCAATTAGTAACTTGCTTGAAGCAGTTGCAATTGAATTAGATCTAGTGTTAGTTCTACTTTTAGTGCAATAAAAATGTTTAAGAATGTAGCGCTGAATAACACTTAAAACTAGAACTACCATTAGACCTAGAACTAGAATCATTTGGGTTTAGCCACACGTCTCTAAAGACGGCTAAACCCGAATGATTCTAGTTCTTGGTCTAGTGTTAGTTCTAGTTTTAAACTAGCACTGTTACTATGTAGAATTAACACTATATCTAGAACTAGAATCATTTGGGTTTAGCCACACGTCTGTAAAGACGGCTAAACCCGAATGATTCTAGTTCTAGGTCTACTGTTAGTTCTAGTTATATACTAGGTAACTATGTAGAATTAACACTATGCCTAGAACTAGAATCATTTGGGTTTAGCCACACGTCTCTAAAGACGGCTAAACCCGAATGATTCTAGTTCTTGGTCTAGTGTTAGTTCTAGTTTTAAACTAGCACTGTTACTATGTAGAATTAACACTATATCTAGAACTAGAATCATTTGGGTTTAGCCACACGTCTGTAAAGACGGCTAAACCCGAATGATTCTAGTTCTAGGTCAATGAAAGAAACTACAATCTTTGATTTATACATCGTACAGACAATTCAGCGAATACCCCGAGTTTATCTATGAACATGGAATAGAGCAACCTGGGAATAACCTGAGTCATTCATAATTCTATCTATGGGCACTAACATTTATATTTAAATATACTGATGTATTAACTAGATAATATTGATAATATGACTTAAAGAAATTTTGTCCGTTCTAAGGAGGTTCGTTATGTTGAAGTTTGACTGTAATTATAATTTGATCCTAATTAATGGAAGACTCTCGTTAAATAAGCTCGTTCAAAAATGAAATATACTCTTCGTTTGATATCAATAATTAAATTTAATAATAACACAAGTTTACACAGTGTTTTGGATGAGAAAAGATAAAACGTATTTTTTTATTTTCAAGGATAAAATTATTCAAATACTCTTTATTTTTTCGTATCCAAAAATAACCGATTAACCGATGCGAAACCTGTGTAATTTAATGTATAATATTCCTTCACTTGTACTTTTAGGTAAAAATACTATAAAAACAAATAAGAAAAATAAGTATTATTATTATTATTGCGTAGAAGAAAAACGTCTTTTTCTACTACAATTTCTCAAAATTCTTTGCTGCATTTTTACGCGGCGTAATAACTCATTGTATAGATAAATTTTTAATTGTTATAAAACTAAGAAATAAAAAAGCTTTTTGTGATGTCAATCTACCCACTCTCTCTCGATTAATACTCTTGAGAAAAAAAAGTAATTTTTTTCTTCTGCATAGAAAAGAATAAAAGAATCTCAACCGTAATTGTATTAAATATATATAGTCTATATAAAGCAGGAAATATGTTATAATTGTATCATAAATTAAACTACAATGTATTTCTTCTATTTATATTCATAGTAATAACGTAGATAAATAACTCAAAAAATGTAAACATTTTTTGGGCAAAAAAAGACTTGTTTTATTCTTTTTATTGGAAACAAAATAACCGGAAATTGAATTAACTACTTTAAGAGCATAGACAATCTTTAGGCAATTCGATAAATTGCCAACAAAACAATTCGTCTCCTAGATTTTGATTCATCACGCAGGTTTTTGAATTTTTCATACATTTTTCATCAATAATGTTAATTAATTGGTTTCTTTTTAAACGGCGACAATCACAAGAAAAGCCAAATAAAAATCCATAAAACAAATAATAAAAACAAATTTAGTATGAAAACAAATCTAGGAGACATAAATCGCACTTATTCGAATAAAAAAATATTCTTAAATTAAACATATCAATACATAAATAACACATATTTAGTGTTTCTTTTTGTGAAGCAACAAATTACAATTGTTTGGGCCAAAAAAATAATCAGGAATTTTTGAGAACCTAATTGAATAAATAAGTGCGATTTATTAATAAAATGAAGGTAAAAAGAAATTTTGATGAAAATGATGATTTTATAGAGTCGATGTGTTTAGGAAATTTTAAATAGTTTTTAATGATAGTGCAAACCTTATCCACATAAAATTTCACATCTTCCATGTATACCTAAATTAGTATCCGGATCGCATATTATGAAATTACGTAATAGTCAAGTTTTGTCTTAACAAAAAAAAGTGAGTAATAATAACAAAATAAACGTTTATATTCGTTCGATAAATTTAATAATTATATAGATTCGACTCTCGTTAAAAAAAAACTGTTTTTAAACAATTCCAATTTGTGCTGATCGATTTGCCAATCATTTAAAGAAAAGTGTCGATAATAAATGTTTTTATTTAGACTTATAGTTTATTTTAATATAACCACAATAAAGTTAGCAATATAACATTGAAAATATTACTAGCTGTAGGAGCTACATTCACAAGGATTTCCTCATTTAGGATTATGATGAACATTTTTATTCAAAAATATTACAAAATACGTGATTGAAATATATATCTTTTAATTACAACTTATAATAGAATTTCAAGTCAAATTATTTTATTTCGATTCCTGCCGCTGTAAAATGATAAAGATTTTCCTCCTCTTTGATTCCCAACGATTTCCAAAATTCGTAAGCTCCCAAACGTTTCGTAGATTTCATTTGAATATCTTCAGGATTTTTAATAAATAAATATTTTAAATTTCCTTCCTTGGCAACTGGGTTCCATTCAATACCATTAGAAGTTGGTTTACTACAAGAAATTTATGACATAAATGTTTAAAATTTATAGCATTTTTTTTAAACAAACCCGGTTTTAGCAAAAGAGACCAAAAAGTCTAGCATAATATCTTTCATTTTTTCTTCTTCGGGAGTTAATCTTGCACCCATCAACATTTCAAAATCATAAAAGAATTTTGCGTCATATCCATGTCCAACACCCTCTAAAAAAATAATTATATAGTACAGTATATCAATTTATTATTTTAATAAAGATTAAATTTATTAATTAATTTCTTACCCACTTCTGCGTTGTATAGTGTCTTCATAGGATTATCAGCTCCAGGATAACCAAACATCAAAAAGTAAACGTCTGAATTTGAAATATTTGCTTGCATTTTGGCTGATTTTTCAGCTCCCATATGAAATAGACGTTGATTACAAACCTTTAGGAACGATTTAAAATTAGATTTAGTGATGTTTTCTCCTTTAAAATAAAAATCTTTGATTTTTTTGGAAATTTCTACCCAATCTTCTTCCGGAGCATGGTAAAATTCCAACATGTATGGTGCTAATTTGTTCCAATCTCTATCAATTTCGTCTAAATTATTATAATATACTACAACAAAATTTTTTACAATCTTGTTTTATTAAGATTTAAATTTTTTATTTACTTGCTGCTGGTAACATTCCTTCATCTGTAGTTTGAGAAATAATAAAAGGTCGATCCAAAACATGCCCGCTTTTAAGTTGCACGTAAGGTGGAGTTATCAAAAAAGGATCTTGATTATTCGTACTCATTAATTCAGAATTTGGCGCAAAAGGTGCTAAAGGCAACAACGGCTTCAAATAAATCCCTTTTACACTTTCGGCAATTTGTATAGCAGTTCTTTGCCTCATGCATCTCAAAGTCACTTTTATATTTTCATCTTTACATCCAACGTCATTAATTAATTTCTTTGCGTTTGGCCAAGAACTCATTCTTACCGCCCAAGGATTTAAAGCGGCCCCACTTTGCGCCCACCCTTTATGGAATAAAACCTCCTCAGTATCCCAATTGAAATAATGTAAATGAACACTAGCTCCACCAGCAGATAAACCAATAATTGTAACTGAATCTTTGTTCCCGCCAAAATGTTCTATGTTTGCTTGAACCCATCTTAAAGCTTGGATTTGATCCTTCATTCCGTAATTACCATGAAAAACGTCGTCTTCGGTTGCTAAGAAGCCAAATGGGCCGAGACGATAATTAAAATTAACTAAAATTACATCGCGGTCCATGATTTTTGATGGACCCGCGAAACTGTGACCGCTTCCCATCATGAAAGCACCCCCATGAATGTGGACGATAACATTCAATTTGTCTTCTCGATTAATTTTTTCTTTTGGAACATAAACGTTGATGTAAAGACAATCTTCTGTTCCAAATACTTTATCTCCTGCTAATTGTATGCATGTATATACTTGATTTGCTGGTAAAGTTCCGTTCCATTTTTGTGCAGGTTGTGGGGACTAAAATATAATGAATAAAATAAAAAAATTTTAGATTATAAATTAAATTACCCTAAATCTGTATTTTTGTATAGGAGGTGTAGCAAAAGGAATTCCTTCAAACGAAGCATATTTACGTCCGTTATAAGAAGTTTTGTAAAAACCCTCCACTAAACCATCTTCAAGTTGAAGAATAAGGTCTTTTTCTGCACCGGTTGATGCTAAATTTATTAAACAAAATTTTTTGTTTATTAAAAATTTTTGTTAGAGAAACTTACCAAAAATTAGTGCGAAAAGTACGAAATAGAACATGTTGTTTATCAATTTAAACAACGTTTCGTGTTCAACTAAAACCACTCGAGTGGTCTTGACGTGTAAAAAATTCTATCGTTAAAGCGATTATAATTTGAAATGATAACCTCGACGAGATGATGATAAAAAAAGTGTTTTTGGGTAAGTTGTGTAACCGGATAAATTGATAAATACTCGTAAATGCTTAATGAGAAAAGTACTGAACTAATTGGGTCGTATTGTTGCTAGAAAATTGCTTCCGGTGATTCATGAGTTTCAAAAAAGTAATTAAATGTGCTAAAACCAAATTTGGTTCGAATCAATCAAGCGAAGAATCATAATAATATGGGCTTTCTCAGGATAATTGAAGTTTTAAAAGAAAATTAACCTCACCCTACAATGTAAAACTGTAAGGCTTAATATTATATTGGTATTAAGAATAATAATAACCTTCATAAAGAACCTGGAATATCATTTTTCATGTGTAAAAATAAAATAAACAAAATGAGAAAAATTTACAACAAAATATAACATTATATTTTTTGGTTTGTAATTATAATAAAACTTCATTTTAAATCATTTTATTTCAATTCCTGCCGAAGTAAAATGATACAGGTTGTCCTCTTCTTTAATTCCCAACGATTTCCAAAATTCGTAAGCTCCCAAACGTTTTGTAGATTTCATTCGGATATCATCCGGACTCTTAATAAATAAATATTTTAAATTTCCTTCTTTAGGAATTGGATTCCATTTAATATCAGCAGAAGTTGGTTTGCTAAAAGATATTTATAATGTTAAAGTTTTGAATTTGAAGTATATTTTTAAACACAACAAACCCTGTTTTAGCAAAAGAAACCAAAAAATCTAACAAAATATCTTTCATTTTTTCTTCTTCCGGAGATAATGTTGCATCTTCCAGTATTTCCATATCATAGAAATATTTTCCGTCTTCTCCATGCCCCACAGCCTCTAAAAAATTAATAAAAAACAAATAAACTTAAATAAATATATTAGGTAGCTTCTTACCTATATCAGCATTATAAAATGTCTTTATTAGATTTCCAGCTCCGAGATAACCAAACATCAAAAAGTAAACGTTAGAATTAGAAATGTTGGCTTGCATCTTTGCTGATTTTTCAGCTCCCATATGAAATAGACGTTGGGTACAAACCTTTAGAAACGATTCAAAGTTAGATTTGGTGATATTTTCTCCTTTAAAATAAAATTCTTTGATTTTTTCGGAAATTTCCACCCAATCTTCTTCTGGAGCATGGTAAAATTCCAATATGTATGGTGCTAACTTATTCCAATCTCTATCAATTTCTTCTAAATTGTTATGATACACTAAAAAATTTCGTTAACAATATGCTTTGTTATGATTTCAATTTTATGAATTACGTGCTGATGGAATTATTCCCTCATCCGTAACTTGAGAAATAATTAAAGGTCGATCCAAAACATGACCACTTTTAAGTTGCACAAAAGGTGGAGTTATCAAAAAAGGATCTTGATTATTCGTACTCATTAATTCAGAATTTGGTGCAAAAGGTGCTAAAGGCAACAATGGTTTCAAATAAAGCCCATTTACACTTTCGGCGATTTGTAAAGCGCTTCTTTGTCTCATACACCTCAAAGTCACTTTAATATTTTCATCTTTACACCCAACATCGTTAATTAATTTCTTTGCGTTTGGCCAAGAACTCATTCTTACCGCCCAAGGATTTAAAGCGGCCCCACTTTGAGCCCACCCTCTATGAAATAAAACTTCCTCAGTGTCCCAATTGAAATAATGTAAATGTACACTAGCTCCACCAGCAGATGCACCAATAATTGTAACTGAATCTTTATTTCCGCCGAAATGTTCTATGTTTGCTTGAACCCATTTTAAAGCTAAGATTTGGTCTTTCATACCGTAATTACCGTGAAAAACGTCATCTTCGGTGGCTAAAAATCCAAATGGACCAAGACGATAATTAAAATTAACAAAGATTACATCACGGTCCATAATTTTGGATGGACCTGAGTTACTGTGGCCATTTCCAAACATAAAAGCACCTCCATGAATGTGAACGATAACATCTAATTTATCTTCACGATTAATTTTTTCTTTTGGAACATAAACGTTGATGTAAAGACAATCTTCAGTACCAAGTACTTTTTCTCCAGCTAGATCTAGTTGTAGGCATGTATAAAGTTGATTTGCTAATAAAGTTCCGTTCCATTTTTGTGCAGGTTGTGGGGACTAAAATATAATGACAATAAATAAAAAATTTTAAGTTTTTAGATTAAATTACCCTAAATCTATATTTTTGTATAGGAGGTGTCGCAAAAGGAATTCCTTCAAACGATGCGAATTTACGTCCGTTATAAGAAGTTTTATAAAATCCCTCAACTAAACCATCTTCTAGTTGTAGAATAAGATCTTTTTCGGCGCCAGTTGATGCTTTAAACATGGAAAGTTACAAACATTGGTGTATTTATATTTTATTGTTAGTTATAAGAATCTTACCAAAAATAATTACGAAAAGTATAATACGGAACATGTTACTTTTTGATTTAAACGACGCAACGTTGTGATTCCAACTAAACAAATCCAGCTTCAAAACGATAACCTAGATATGATACTAAAAAAGATACGGTTTTTTAAGTGAGTTGACTAAGCGATTAATTTATAAACACCTACTTGTAAACTCATGATAAAAAAAGTATTGAAATAATTAGGCGTTGCTTGAAAATTTATCTGTTATCAAATAGATATACCGGGAATTTTATACAGGGTGATTTATAACATACGGAGCAGACTGAAAGAGTAAGTACTAGAGGTAAAACTGAAGAGATTTTCTTAATAATGTTTTGTTAAAAACTTAATAGTTACATAGATATCGCATGTTAATTTTTTAAACAATTTAATGTCCATTTTTGAGAACCACTGTTCAGTAAAAACAATTAAAATACTTATCAACGCCATCATCATTTTTGAAGGAGCTGTAAAACAAGACAATTTATTATTTCAGTAGTTTTGTTATTTTAGATAATAGGTAATTTGTTAAAAGAAATAATAGATGTTAATAAGCGGGAACCAGTCCTTGCACCTTTTGTAAATGGTAGGGGTATAAGCCATTACTTTGCAATGTACGCCAAACAATGTTCTGGGAAACTTCGAGTTGGTGAGAAATTTGACGAGTATTAGTACTTGCATCTGCATCAACAATTTCTACAACTTCTCCTTCTACATTCACTCTATATCTATTTGATCTACCGCCACCAAGACCTTTCTTAGGTTGCCTCTCTAACCGAAGAAAAGTGTTTTCTGAAGGCATCCTGCCATTGTACTTTTTGATTTGTAATAGTTCTAATTTTGACGTTAAATGACATTGTTTATTAACTGTTAAATGACATGTCCGCTGCTAAGTAACCAAGTTAACTGGATTGGCAGTAATAAAAACATGGTATCAGCGGTTCTCAACAAAAAAAACACTAGTTTTAGAGCGTTTTAACACATTTTTAAATAGAAGTAACTGCTATATTACAAAGATTTTATTATTTTTGTTAATTATGCATTGTTTAAGTAACCCCAAACTATTCGCAGTTTGAATTTAAACGTAATGTAATACTGTATATGGTAAGAAAAGCTCGGCCATTAATTCAACTTTAACGTTCTATATCTTTGTGATTATTAAGTTGTGATAAAAACATTATTAAGAAAATATTTTTAATTTGGCCCCTAGTACCTACCCTTTTAGTCTGCTCCGTATGTTATAAATCATCCTGTATAACTCGCAATATATGAATGCAGTTACCATAGTTGCGAAACTACTAGGCACTTGCACTGTCCCACATAAAATGCAACATAGCTTAATAGTATCGGCATTGGGTAGCTTTGCAAAGAAAAAGTTATGCTTGGAAAAAGGTGACAATCCTGAATTTTGACGCACGGCTAAACCCGAATGTTTTTAGTTCTAGGTGTAGTGTTAGTTCTACTTTTCGTTCAATAAAAATATATCACAATCTAACGCTGAATAACAATTAAAACTGGAACTAACACTAGACCTAGATCTAGAAACATTCGGATTTAGCCGCACGTCTCTCAAGACGGCTAAACCCGAATGATTCTAGTTCTAGGTCTTGTGTTAGTTCTAGTCATAGTGCTAGTGCAAAACTAAAACTAAGACTAGACTTAGAACTAGAAAGTCTGAAGACGCATGGCTAAACCCGAAACTTTCTAGTTCTAGGTCTAGTGTTAGGTAACCCAAAAAGTTTGTAGATATCTATCACAGTAGAGACATCTCACGTCGACGCTTCTGATGTATGTGTTCCTAAATTATATAGGTTTTTGTAAAAATTTCAATAGGTGTCACTACTTTCCCTGAAAATATGAATTGTTGTAATTAATTTTCTTAAGTCTATTTTGTTAATCAATTAACAGAGATGAAGACTCTGAACCGATTAAGAATTTATCTTAAAATAACATCGCGAAATTTTCTGGAAGTTATACACTTTTATCTTTACGTTTAATATCAATTTATTACAATATAAGAAAAGGTTTTGCATTAGTGCAAATGTAAAAGATAATATTGGGCTTCAAGCTCTTCTGTTTTGTATACACAACATTTCATAAATATTAAGTGAGAAATCTTAGTATGTTTGCATCAAATATTTCTTTCAAATTATGTTTTTCAAAGTCACATCTAACCTTTAAGTTTAATACTTAAAATTTAATATATTTTTTTTGATTTTTGTTGGTTGTGTAAATCAAAATTAAACTTTTCTACAATGCCGATAATATTCGATGATACCAATTTGGGGGCGGCTTTTGGAAAACCCGACTTGGAAAGGATTGGAGTATTCATTGATGATGGTCACTTGTCTGTTAAATATGCGGCTCAAGGTATCAAACAAAGTTAATGAATTATAAAAGTATATATACGTATATATTTAATTTTATAGGCGCAAATTATTTCAAGGGAAAAAATATGTACCCTGGCGGTAGAAAGCTTAAGAATGGTACTACCCACGGTTATTTTGACACCGAGTTTAGGCGGATATACGAAGGCGAAGGAGTTAATTGGCAGAAGAAAAAAGAAAAGTATAAAATTAGTTACAAAAAGGAACAAATTAATGAAATTATTTTCTTCTTATAGAGGCGGTAAACCACAAAAAACTCTCATCTTTGCTCCTGTAGGCCCTGCAAAATTGCATTCAACTCCTAACGATTATTTTGGATGTTTCACGAAGGGAGCTGAATATTTTAGTGGCGTCGAAAAACCAAAACCAAAGTATGTCCACGAGAAAGGTAATTTTACTACGAGACCTGGAAAAAAAGGAGGATTTGGTTATGCAGATATATGCTTATCTAAATATCCAGAACACGTGTACGTTTTTGTACTAATATATTAATATTTTACTTAATAAATATACGCTCCCTTTTTTTAGGCCAGACCCATACACTCCAAAACCTAAAAAGGAAAAGAAAGATAAAACAGGAAAAAAAGGTCCATCTCCGCCTTTGATTTTAAAGATACAGCCAAAACCTTATTTCGACCCAAATCCTTTTGTGGATCCATCCGGAAAAATTGGACCTACATATGTCAAACCAAAAGAGAAAATAATACCATTCAGAAGTAATTGCTGGATGCCGAACGGACCATCGAAATGGGTAATAATCAATACCGTTCTAATTACTATTTTAATAACACTACTTTTTTTATAGCAAGGTGGTATGCATGCAGGTTGCTTTAGCCCATTCCCTGAATGGATAGCGCCGAAAAAAGATAAAAAACAACCGAAGAGACGCAAACAAGCTCCTGAAGTATTTGTATTTTATCCTCAGTCTATGGCGTTAAAGACGATGTATACAACACCAATAATACCAAAACACATGGATATAAATATTTGTCAGGATAATTATCACACTTACGAAGCTACTTACGTAAAACATTTACTCGATAATAATATTGTTTTGTAATAAAACGAAAATGTTGGTTATAGTTTTACGAATAAATTTATTTGTAATAACCAGCACTACAGTTTACAATCATCAAATAATGATACACTCGAAAACACAAAAAGTCACTGATAGTAAGTAGAATATGTGCAAGAAGTTTTTTAACAAGAAAAATAAAAATAGAAATTAGTAGAGCATATATACATAATAAGTTATCTTACTAAAAAATCAAAGAAAACGAAAAACATCTCGCATCTGTCGATCCAGAATCTGGATCCAGTCGAAATAGTTCGTAGGCAAACGGTGAATAGTAAACCTTCAAATATTTACACAAAACAAATAAACGAAGAAAACATCATCTTTTTTTATTAGTAGTGTCTTAAAATTTAAGCAATTGTAATAATATATTATGTTACAATTCGTATTGATCTTAAAAATCGGTAAATGGCGATCTGGGTTTATCGAAAGTTACCGGTTTATAAAAATCCCTTATTTCACCCCATCCCCGTGGTGCGGTATTATAATTTTGAAGGGAACCTACATCCAATTTTGGGGTGGATGATGGTAAAACTTGAGAGTAATCTTGATAGCCATAACTTTGTTGAGAAGAATAACTTGGTTGAGGTGGATAACTTGATAACGGAGTTGATGTTTCTTTAGGGATAAAAACCGGTGGTGTTGTTGCTGCTGCTGCTTTAAAACTTGGAGATGGAGGAGTTTTAGTCATCGTTCTTGGAAGAGTGCTTGAGCCTAAAAAAAAATTTTACAATTTAAAAAAATTAAAAATTGTACATATTACATAATAATACATAATACACAAAACATCACTTAAAATAAAGCAACATTTATTCTTGCCTTCAATATATGCTTGATTGGCATAACAAGCTTGTTCGGAAAAAGCAGCAAAAGCAGAGGAAGTTTCTTGCGTTTCATATTTTCTAAAAGAACTATTTTCTGCATGGTTAAAACTTTGTTTTTTATCAGGGTAAAAATGTTTAGTTTCCACGTTTGTATTAGCAATATAGAATAAATTGTCAAAATCTTTTTCGGCTTGTTGCAAATATTGCTGTTCTTGCACTGCCGGTGAAGTATAATATTTAGAAACATCAGTTTGCGAAGATGAATGGTCGATGGAAGCTCTTCGCGAAGAATTTAATTTCTCCACTACATCAGGAAGTGGATCTCTAATTTGTTTAACTCTTAAAGCAGGCATAGCTGATTTTTCAAAATTTTTAATCAACGACTTAACAGGAATTTTCTTGTACTCATCTTCGTCTTCTTGAGATCCCACATTTTCTTGATACGAATACTCAACTGATTTTAATTTCGATTGTTGATCATTAATACATTTAATATAATCACCATTAGTGATGTGTTGGCCATTAGTAGGCAATTTCGCTTGTGGTTTATGAATAAATTGTTCTTTACTCGTCGAAAATTGTTGAATATTAAATTGATTTTGTTGCTGATACTTTTCCCTTTCAATCTTTTCTACGTTCTTCTCTTGAATTCCGTACGCGTAATTCTGTGGAGGCAAAATTTCAATTGATATTTTTGGCGGTAACTCAACCTCTTGATAAATTTGATCATCGTTTAATTTTGTGTAACATTTCACATTCGACGTGAAAGACGGTACGATAATTTCTTCTTGAATCGTTTGATAATCAACTTCGTATTCTCGTTCTCTTTGATAATAAATCTTTTCAACTTCCTCATTTTCACTAATATTAATTGTTTGAACTTGAGCAACTTCATTGGTGGAATATTGAGACGACATTGATTCATTAATATTTTGCACATTTCGAATTTCCGCGGGTACCATATAAGTTGATTGTTGATGGGCTTTTCCTTTTTTCATTCTGGATGATTGACGTAGATCAACGGCTTTTTTAAATTCCTCATTAATGTTTAGTTGCCCAAATAATGGACGAGCCCCAATAATTGTTTCTGGAGGTTTTTTATATTTTGGTTTTTCAATTGGAGGTGGAATTTTTTTCTTCGGGGGACTTTCTTCCTTCTTTAATGGAGTTTCCACCATCTTTAAAGGACTTTCTTCTTTCTTTAGTGATACATCTCTAATTTCTTTTTGTTTTTCATTATTTCCATAAGAAGTGCTTGTTTGATAAGACGAAGACGACGAAACTTGCGAAGTACTATACCCTCTAATTTGTATTTGATCGTTCGAGGCTTCAAAAGTTTGCATTTTCATATCGTTTTCTTTCAGTTCTTGTTTAGTTTTGTATCCGCTATCTTCTTTAATAACTTCCGAAGCTTCTTTAATTTCCGTTTTGCGAGCTTGTTCAATTTTCCCACCTTCTGCAACTTCTTTCAAAACTTCGCTTCTTACCAAAGTCTCTTCTCTCGCTTTCCGATTATCTTCGTTTATTTCTTCAACTTTGATTTCTTCTTGTACTTGCTTATCGTTATCCACACCACTCCGTGTAATTTTCATTTTATCTAAAATCTTTTTAACCTCATTATCATCATCGAGTTGTGAAGTTTTTATTGGGAGTGGATACTTAGATACCATGTCATCGGCATCTTTATAAGCGTTTTTGATTTCTTTCATTTCTGAGAAGCATTCTTTTTGGGAATCGATTAGTTTTCTTGTTTCTGGATCGGCGATATGCATTTTGGTCATATCTTTAGGTGGGGTTGGATCTTTTATAACTGGTTGGGGTTCAGGTTCTGGTTCTGGTTCTTCAGGAGGAACCGGTTCTGGGGATTTTGGAATAAACACTTTAAACGGCGAAACGCTTCTAGCGTTAAAATGACCTTGACTTTCAAATATTTCCGATTGCAATGATCGAATTGAATTTGAAGTGGTTTCAGTGAAAACATGCTCAGCTACTTTAAAGTCAGTATCGGCTACGGCAAAATTAAATTCGGCTTTTTCCATTTCTTCCTCTTTTTTCGGCAAAGGATTGCTTGGTAAACTATACTTTTTGTTTAAGTTAATAGGGGCGTATGCTTTCTTTGGAGTGAAAAATGGTTTGTAATTAGGATCTGGTACAAATGAATCTTCCTTTTTTGAATAATCTGGTATTGTGGGAAATGGAATCTCCATAAGATCTTTGATCTCATTTTGCTTACTTTTAGGAGTTACGTTTTCAACAACTTTTTCCACGTTTTTAATTTCCAATATTGTTTTGCTCTCCTCGATATTTTCCTCAATATCAATTTTAGTCTGTTGTTCCAATCTAGGACTAAAACGAAGTTTTTTTACATCATCCTCAATTAAATCAGGATTTAATTTTACATCCGCTATCTTTGGAAACGGCGAAACTGGTCTATTTGGATCGACAAATTTTGCAGTTTTAAAGGACTCAACGTCTTTTTGCACAATTTCGGGTTCGGTGGTAACATCTGGTATGCTTGGAAAAGGGGAAGGCGATCGAGGACGAGGGGGTGGATCGGGAATGGGATCCTCCACCTTTCTTATTGGGGTTACAGGTCTTATTATGTTTGATTTCGTTTCGGCTAAAATTTCTGGGGTGGAACTAACATCTGGTATGTTTGGATATGGTGATGGACTTCTTCTTGGTTCCGGTTCTGGTATCGGCACAATAATAGGTACACTACCTAATAAGCATAAGCAGAAGCGAAAGCGATTAGTTAATCAAGCTTAAATTTATTTAGATAAAAAATGGTGGTTTAGATGAACGCTTTTAACTTACTATATTGAGGTTGCTGCGACGACTTAGAATTCCAAGCTTGTGGATGTTTGGGTTTGTACACGTCAACGTTACTCATACCCTTTTGCAAGTTATCAACAATCCTATTGATGCTTGTGCTGTTGTAAGCTGGATTGTGGGCGAAAACTTTTTCGGGTTGCATCCCATATCCATTCGATGGAGAAGCTCTCCATGTCGACAATGAATCTCTTCTCAAAGCTTGTTCGTACGAATCCACAACTGGAGCTACATAGTTTCCTTTGTTGGGCCAAGCTGGTGCTAGATTTTCAAAAGCTGCTTCAACGGATCCAGTTTCCAAAGCTGCATCCCAAGGTGATTTTACAAGCTTTAACTTTGGTCTCGTAAATCGCTCCTAGAAAATACAAAAATTAAAACTTATTATTTTAAAATGTTTATTTCATACTTGGATTTCGTCTAATTTTTGATTGTGTTGCATCCTTTGCGTAGTTTCTGGCAAATAACCCGGGGTTGGTAAATTTAATGGAGCAATTGGCGGAAGAACCGTAACAGGTGATGGGGCGATATCCGGAATACTGTTTTCTTTTTCCTTCTCACCGTTCGTATCACCACCAACAATCCACTTTTCAGATCTTTTACGACGTTTAGCAAAAAGCTCTGCTCCTATTTCACAAAAAAACATTAAAATCATTCAAACTAGAATCTTTTTAATAATACCTTTTCCTTTCGGCGAATTTAAATCTTTAACGATTTCTAAACAAACGTCCGGAGATAGAGCAGATTCGATATCGTATCCTTGTCTTCTTAACGACTGTATATCATGAACTTGACCATGGGGGTTCATAACCAGCCTTAGAGGCGATTTACTACGCGTTGTATCTCTGACGCTATCCCCATTTTGTGTTCCATTTGCTTGGCCTGAAAAAAATTTGAGGAAATTAATTTAGGATAAATTTAATCAAGTATTTATTTGGAATTTATTTTCTAGAACACGATGCCACATATCTATCTAACGTAGGTTGCCAAATATTTAATGCCGATAAGGATGGGTATGGGAAAAATCCCGTGCCCTTTTAAAAACAGATCGTTCGATACATTAACTGTAACAAAAATAATCATAACACAAGAAGGAAAATACGTCATACACATAATTGACGGTTACTGATACTCAGACGTCACATAATTTCAACAGCGTACGCTCAAACCTGATACCCCTCGAGTGCCAACTAAATCTATTAATAAATATTTATATCTTCGGAAATTGCGAGGGCGTATAGACTCTCTTCTGACACCTTAATAGCAATCTCTTGTCAATGGTATATCTAAAACCTCGAGCTCAACGATTCGAAACGCATCTGTTAGCGCAAAGCGTAGCACATTATCTGCGTGTATTTTTGGCTGCACTGGGAGTCCTAACTTGCGCAACTTGTCGATAGTCGTGGCACATGGCCAAAGCCGAAGATCGTAGCCGTTTTGTTCTTTTGCTTCCGGAGCTCGAAAATAGAGGCTAAATCGCGCTTATTTACAAATAGTCGTTTTGGGACGTTTTGGCATCAGCTTAGAAAATAAGTTGTCGTTGGTGTCGAGAGAAACTTTTCACCACAAACAATAAAAACAATTAAATTTATTACCTTCACCTTCATGTACCCATTTCACGGATCTCTTCTTCCTATTAACATACATCGATTGTCCTTTACTGGTTTTGTTACTGATATCGCTCAACGAACTGGATATACGTTTAGCAAGTTCAACTTGTTCTTCCATCGTCGGATGTAATCCTTTAGCGTAGAAAGACGACGAGGCAAACACTTTCTCTGTGGGTAAATATCGACATAAATTTACAGAAATAAGTATCAAGATCAACTTACTTGTTGATTGAGGTTGTATTTGAGGAGCATCATCTGCAGGAGTAAACAACTTCTCCAAACTAATTGCCGGACGAGGTCCTTGGTTTTCATCCTAAAAGATAAACAAGAAAATGGGTTAACTACCTCATTAAACGAAGAGTGACTTCGATGATGTAAATAAAAACAAAAATAGTTTTAACTAATTTAAATATAAAACTTTAGAATGATAAAAATTTATACCGAAAGTAATGGATTAAAGAAACATAAAATCTGATCTCAAATTGTGATTATGAAAGTCAACCTTACATTATCCAAATTAAGGGTTTCTTTTGAACAGTTTTGTTCAGATCATTTTAAAATTGACGTTGTGATGACAACTCTTAAAGCAGAAGACGAAATCTTTTTTGTATTATGATCTTTTTGGTAAGAATTTTGAAAAGGAGATTTGGAAAATAAAACCAAAACAGGTGTCTACTTGATGTGTATGACCAGACACCTAGAGTCACGGAACAAAGAATAACGAGAAATAAATCTTCTCGAATAGCAGTTAGTTCTATGCTTTGAAAGTTTTTGCCAAACTATCGGAACATCAAAAAGTAGACCCTTACACTTACATAGTTTGGATATTCCATTTTGTCCACTCACATAGCATTTCCTCATAATTGTGACACATAATATGAGGACCGGACTTGTCGTGCCGATCTATATGAGACGAAAGGTGGAGTGAACATGTTCCTAAATTTTTCAAATCAAAAAGTCATAACCAAAGGAATGAGAAACCTTGTATGATGAGAAAGCTTGTAGAGGTGAATTTTACGAGTAATATTAGTGAGCCATAGGATCGCCGTTATCAGCACCGAATGCTCATTTTTAAATGGAACTATTCGTAGAAGCTGATTTAGAAACCAGTCTTTGAAAATCAAAGTTTGTGAAACCAGTTAAACATAGTGACCAAGTTCAAGAATGCTCAACTCAAACAGGATCTGTACATCCAATGTGGAACAAAATGTATTCTTCTAACTTACTTATTTTATTAAATACTTATTTAATCACATCACTCTTTTCAAAAAGGTCCAGGAAATTATACGGTAGGAAAAATTTAAAGAATTAAAACGTCGAATGTTCCAACAAGAAGAAGCCACAGACAACAGATTTTGTCCCTTTGCTTCAGGAACACATTTTCTGGACATGGGACAGCTAGTAAGATAGGGAGTCAAAGGATTCCTTTAAAAGAGTGTAGTCGTATACCACATAAAATAGATTTGCACAACACATCAATAGTTGCTATGAAGTTACCAAAAGATGACCACAGAGGTTTATTGCCATAAGAGCAATAGAGAAAAGTCTTGCATTTCTTGGTAGATCGGAAACTGCTTTTATCTTCTCATCTTCTACTCCGTCTTTATGCTGTGATTTTTTAACTTATTTTTAAGTCAAATACATTAACTTAAAAGTTTATTAATATACAGTAAATTATTAAAGCAACCAAAACTGTGGAACAATATTAATTATTCTATTAATTTTATGTATCAAGATTAACAATTATTTTAATCCATGAATCAATTCAAATATGTGCCAACTTAATATTATTAACTTCTATTTTGACAAAAAACATAATTTATTCATTACTAACCCATTCTACGAAACCTAATGTGTCACGTAAATTCAGTCCAATTTAACCACCTGTTCGAAAACATCGTGCCAAATTAAACTTACCGCAAAATGTACATGTTTTCCATTTTTTCTTTTATCTTTTTGATCCTCACTCGATTCATGGATCACTGGAATAATTCTCTCATTGTTTTTGGAATACTCATTTTTTACTGAACGAATCTCACCGCCTAAGAACATGTTTTCTTAAAGAAAAATTTAAATACTTTCTTTGGGGCTTTGGAAATTTAGTCGTCGTTTAACGAAGGGTTCGATCGATTGGAATGTGAGTTGGGCCGCGTGTTCCGAACTTAACTAATAATGAAAAACACGGATTCATGCGTAGCTCGTACCCGAAACTAGACCAGCGGTTTTCAAGTTGATTTCCGTACGCCAATCTCGTGTAGTTACTACATCCGTTTATTTTTAGAGATTTTGTTTGAAAATCTTCGTCGAATGTAACGCGCAGTTTAGTAATCGTTTCGATTAGAATTTACCTATTGGTTGTAACATTAATGAAAACGAGTAGAATAATATCAAGAAGTTGCTTCAATTTTTTTGATGAAGATTTATTTAAATATCTAAATCTCGTGCCATAAAAAATTTAAGTTCCTTCAATTTATTATTTTAAAAACAACATCCGTAACGATAATTTATTATTCTAATATCTCGATTTATAAACAGGCTATAACGAAGAAAAATTTACAAAACGCAACCTTGAATACCCACTAAAAAATACTTTTCGAACCAATTTTTTTTTAAATCAATGTGGGAAGTTGGCTTTATGCCAACATAGAAAGCGTGAAATTAAAAGAATATTCTCAGGGAATATTTACTTTAGAGAACCAACGCTAAACTGAACGAAAGAGATAAGAATCTAAAATGCTTTACGTTGAAATCAAATTTTAAATATTTAGACTATGAATCTAGACACAAAACGGTTTCAAATGAAAGAATTTACCACCTGAAAATGTGTTAAAATAGTTTTTGCGTCATTCAATTTTGATAAATGTTATTTTTTGGTAATTGATGAACATAATTAAGAGATAACTTAAACATGTCCTAAAGAAATCTTAAAGAAAACTTAAGGATAACCATGTTATCCTCAAGTGATATATTGACCACATATTTTGCTGTCCATGAATATATTGAGATAAACCGAGGTGGTGTTAACGTCTACGGTATTTATAACAGAGACGAATATCTTTAAGACGACACAAATAGATCACGACCCGTGTCTCAATTAAACAGAATTTTACGAGGTGTTGTATTACGTCTACGTTTAAACGAACATTTAAAATGATGTTAAACGCATTTCATAACATGTAAGTCGTATTTATGATTTTAATGTTGCTGTTTGATCACCGCGTTTAAGGAATCTTCAAACAAAATCTTTCATCGTCGAAATAATTTCTTTACTTACCCCAACTTTAAAAACACGTTTCGTTAGGTTAGTTAAAAATTCTCTTTTTCCTGGATCATTTCGATCAGATGGTTTAAATCCTCGATTTCTATCCACTACGTCCGAACTACTACATCGTCTTAATCCAAAATTTGTAGTCGGAGTACTCCAGTGACTTGGTGTTGATGGCGCAGAAATATGATACCCACTGTTGCTCCTATTTAATGGAAAGAATGGTTTTGGTGCTTGTTGAGTTGTCGTTGATTTGGATCTCGCGTAATTAGGAGGAATGGGTCTCATTATGCCCAACTTTTAATCACTACATAAAGAGTCGTAAGATAACAAACATATTCTGGTCTAAAATATGCGGTAATGACGTACATAACTAATATTAAGTGCGTAATCTGATGTTTTTCAGTGTTAACAAATAACTTGTTCGACGTTGCATAGTCTTGGAGTATTTCTGCCAAGGTTTTTAAATAAGAAATAGAAACAGACAGAGTGATATACGTTCTTTCTGACCTATATAAAACGATATATCGTTCATTAAGATTTTAATAAGTTAAAAAAGCTTAAAAAACAACTAATTCATTAAATCCCTTTTCATTTATAGATTCTATATTTAAGTTTAGCTTTTAATTCAAGCTGCATTTAGAGATACGTTAAATCGAAATGCATTACATGTCAAAGTAACCGATGTAAACAGACCGGCAAAAGTACTGAAATTCGTTTGAAGTCTTAAACTAAAATCCCGGTTTTCGTGTAAATAAACCAAACTATTTTTTGGAAGTAAATCACACATTTGCGGAAACATGAAATGTCGGTTGCATCCGTTTTAATTCCCAAGAAACACCAGCTTACGAACGAAAGAAAAAAAGAGCATCAATACCGCATATAAGCAAACATCATCAACTCAATAGACCAAACATACGTCTGAGTTAAGAATCCGATGACGATAAACAGCTTCAGAAGCAAGGACACATGTATAATGTAATATTACACTTTTGAACACAATTAAACACACAAAAAATCGAAAAGCACCGGACACGAATAAATTACAACTGGACGATGCGTCGCGTTAAAAGTTATGATCCGGTTGCGAAGCTGCTCGGTCGATCTCGTAGATAAGAAGAGGTGAAAAATTGATAACGTTGCCGCGATGTTTGGCATGGAATCGGCAACAAAGTCTCGAACCCCAGAAATAATTCGCTCTCTGGGCCGATTTGGCAACGGGCTGGAAGTGTTCCAAAAATAGACGCTGAATTTATCAGCGATTGACGTCAGGTAATTGTTTTCATCTCTCTGTACAGAAAACAGATGAGCGCGCCGCCGTCGCTGATTACTGCAGACGCCCTCTACTTTTGGCACCGGTTAAAACGAATTTGTCCACTGCCAAAAAGTTCGGTACGAAAGCTTGGACCAGCTCGGATTGTTAGGTATTAGTTCTTGTCTTACAAACTATAATCTAGGATTTATTTAGCAATATTTGCGAAATATTTATGTGTTGGCATAAAACAAGTTTCATATTTACCTTAAAATTCCATTACAAATTTAAAATTCATAATATGTACAATAATTATTAAATCAAATAAGTTTCTATCTTTAAAATTGGCATAATTATAAGTTACATCGTATCATGTGGTGGTCAAGTAAATTAATAATAAGAAATACAAAGTGACTGATTTAGGGTATTCAGGATATCATCCAACAGCAGCTGCTTATACACCTACACCTCAAAATAACATATTTATACATAATGTAATGTTTAGGGGTGAATAGAACACCCCCAAAGAAGAGGAATTGATATTGTTTGCCAGCACCGCTTGAAGCCAAGGCTCAGTGATTAAGATATCAACCTGAAACTAGTCATCATATTGCGGCGTCTTGGCCGGAAGGGGCAACAAGATCTTGTATCTAATTAAGCCGAGGTAGCTTGCGGCCAAGGCTCAGGGAATAAGATGATATCAATCTGAAACTGGTTATTATATTATAGCCCCTCGGCTTTATTAGTTAAAGTTATAGATCTTTCAACCAATGAAGCCGAGACTCAGGGTTTAAGATTATATCAATCTGAAAGTTGTTATCATATTCTGGTGCCTCGGCTGCAAGAAGTCTCGGCTTTATCGGGTAAAGTTTTAGATCTATCAACAAACTAAGCCGAGGTCACTTGCGGCCGAGGCTCAGAGAACAAGACGATACCAATCTGAAATTAGTCAATATATTATGGCAACAATATATTGACAACAAATATAGAACTAACTATAAAATATAGACAACAAAACTGAATAAACCTCCACAATGAACTTCGAAAATTATGAAAAATTAATCTCACCAAGTTTTATTTTCCGAGGTGATTGACAGCCGTAAACAAAACTAACCTTACCCAATATTTTTTTCCGGGATGATTGACAGGCAGAAACAAAACTGACCTATCCTAACATTTCTTCACGCTATAATTGCGGTTTCTTCACGCTATAATTGGGGTACAAAAGAAAACCGACATTCCTTCACGCTATAATTAGGGTTCAAAAGAAAACCGACATACCTTCACGCTATAATTGGTGTTTCAAAACAAAACTGACCTATGATAACATTCCTTCACGCTATACTTGCGGTTTCTTCACGCTATAATTGGGGTACAAAAGAAAACGGACATTCCTTTACGCTATTATAGGGGTTCAAAAGAAAACCGACATTCCTTCACGCTGTAATTAGGGTTCAAAAGAAAACCGACATTCCTTCACGCTATAATTGGTGTTTCAAAACAAAACTGACCTATCCTAACATTTCTTCACGCTATAATTGCGGTTTCTTCACGCTATAATTGGGGTTCAAAAGAAGACCGACATTCCTTTACGCTATTATAGGGGTTCAGAAGAAAACCGCCATTCCTTCACGCTATAATTGGAGTTTCAAAACAAAACTGACCTATCCTAACATTCCTTCACGCTATAATTGCGGTTTCTTCACGCTATAATTGGGGTACAAAAGAAAACCGACATTCCTTCACGCTATTATAGGGGTTCAAAATAAAACCGACATTCCTTCACGCTATCATTTGGGATTCAAAAGAAAAGTGACCTATCCTAACATTACCCAATATTTTTTCTAGAGTTGATTGACATTTGTAAACAAAACTAACCTAACTCAAATTTTTTTTTCTGGAAGTGCTCATTTTCATCAATTCTTACTATGTTAAAACACATTCTTTGATATTTTGCTGGAACTGCGCAGAACAGGCAAAATAAATTATATGCATCGACTTAAAAACATTATTTTCCATCATAATAGTAATATGTATATGGTTATCACTGTAGCAATGCTAACTTTCGTTAATTATGAATTTTTAATTATAATACTCCATCTTTGGTAATGGAGAGTGGTAATACTTTGTTATTTTCGCAAATTTTTCAGTTTTTGCGGATAGGATGAAAACACAAGACGATAGCTGTTTGAAGTATTCGGCATTAGCAGTTTCCCGAAAAACGAGATCATGACATGTAAGCTACTTTTAATTTCGGAGATAGCTTAAGCGGACAAAGAATTTGGGAAATATAAATATTAATTGAAAATAACTCTATAGATTTGATATAAGCGTACCGGATTCGATTGATTTATAATTTATATTAAAAGAATGTGTATATTTGTATTGCAATCAATTACACGACACATCCGGTTTAGGTTTCGTAGAAATATTTTTCGTGTACTTAGACGTGATTATTATTGTTCTGCAAAACTTATATTAACCTGTTTATTCGAATTTGACCTCCAAACGAATTTCCTTCCACCACCACCACGATCCCAGTAACAAGTTTACGACTATTTTACACAGCCACAATTCAAGTTTATGAGTGTAACGCAAAGAAACTGCGTAAATAATCTATACTTTAATAATATAAACTTTTACGTTGTAAACTCACCTGTTCATCATCAATCTTGCCGACCTTATTCAGTTCTTGGGCAATCTGAAAATAGTAACTCGTAAAGTTTTAAGCTTAACTTATTTTTTAATGCAAATTTGTTTTTAAGCAAAACAAAAAAGTGATTTTATTCTTTTTTTTAGTAAATTTGGTGTTTTTGTATTATCTATTATTGTTGATATGTCTTGTGTACCTGAGCGCATTTGATGAGATTCAAAATATTTTCGGGCGGCAAAGATACCGGTCTCATTTTGGATCTAGCACATTTCGTAAAGCTGAGTGTCTGCATGTCTTGGCTGCGCGGTGAGTCACACTATAACATTTTCACGTGTCGACAAACATAAAACACTATTCTAAATGTAAGCTAGAAGCAAACAACTTAACACGCCAGTAATCAAAAAACAACGAAACACCCACCTGATTTCGTAATGATTGTTGTTCTTTAAAGTTGGGCGGTACATTTCCCAGATGTTGCTCTCCTAAGGAGTCTTTAAGATCTTTATCTTTTTCGGCAAATGTGTCTAAATCCGATATAATTTCTTTTAATGAATTTTTTATTCGATCTTGTTTTATTTCAGCGTTTGAGTTTGTTGTTGGTACTATTGGTTTTAGGTAATCTTCTAAGTTTAAAGGTGCTAATGGGACAACAGGTACGTATAATTCTCCGGTTGATGTTCTTAATTCAAAAGGTTCTTGATCATTTTCGTCTACTAATAAACTATTTCTTGCACTTGATTCTACATCACTTACAACATTATCTGATGTTTCAACAACTGGAACTTCTATTGTATTGGTTTGGGGTTCAATAAAAGTGCTTCCCCCTACATTACTGCTTTCTAAATCATTATTGGTGTCTACTTTATTGGTTTCTACAAATTTATCGCTTTCTACAACATTATTCTTTTCTACAAGATTATTTTTTATTGCAAAATTATTAATTCCCACAATTTCTTCATTTTCTTTTTTTGAATTAGCATTATTTTCAACAACTTCTTCGATTTCATTAACATTATTTTCAGATTTTAATTCATCAAAAGGTTGTAATGGTTCATATTGTTTAGGAGTTACATTAGATTGTATTTCTAGAGGTCTTATCAATTCAAACGATTTATTTGTATCTTCCATAATTGGATTGATTGAATCGATAGGTTTAAACGTTGATGCTGAGGCTACTTTTTCTTCCTCCTTTTCTTTTGGTACGATGGTGTTTTCGTTAAAATCTTTCGTCTCTTCCCCCGGGGTGATACTAGTTTCAAGTTGGCCACTAGATACTAATTGCTTTGCTAATTCAAACGATTTGGGAGTTTCAATTTGTTGTAGTGGTTCAAATGGTTTAAGAGGTTCGTATTTCTTTAGTGGTTCTAAAGGTTTGTATATATCTGGTAATTCTAAAGGTGGTTTGGGTTGAGTTTCTGCCTTAGATTGGTTCTGAAATTATTATTTTTATTATGTTAATTAGTTTTGAATTGTTAATTTTGAAGCTTCAATGTTGTACATCTTGATTTGATGTGTTTTCTTGATCTTAACTTGATTGAGATTAATTTTAAAATTAATAAAAAAGAAGGAATCACACTGAAGCTTCAAAATATTATAAATTATCTTCGTAATTAGATTTAATGATAGCTATATAGAACTGTGCGCTAAAATCGCGCATTGGCAAAAGATTCTAATAACATTTTGAAGCTCAGTGTGTGGTTCTAAAGGTGTATAAATCAAAATAATAGGTATGTTAGTTTCGACAAGTTTTATTGAGAGACAATGATAAAATACAGGGGCGGGCACATGTTTTTGAACAGTGTTAACAATCCACAAAGGCAAAATCGACGTTTCGACACACTCGAGTTGGAGTTAATTCAAAGATTTTATAATCGACTAAAAGACGTTTTAAGCGCCAGTTCTATATAACTTTCATAGTAATCTAACAAAGCCGCACTAGTCGGGAAGCTAACACATGTGTAGACATTTACAATGCGCACAAATAGGGTATAAAATCTGTCTTTTACCGGTTTATCACAACGTTTATTTATTTATTTAGTTTTTAATCGGTTTATTAACTAATTTAATTAGATTTTTATCTTAATAAATGCTCCCAAAATACAAAGTATTGAGATGAGGTCGTTCAAAAAATTATTTGACCACAGCCGTATAAAAAAATACTTTAAAAAAATCTATTTAAAAAATGTGCATTTAAAAAGAAATTGGATTTCCCGATTTTGATATTTAAAAATTATTTTGAATTGTACTAAATCTTTCTACCTTCTAAATTTCTACATGTGTATTTTATAGAATTGAGCAAGCAAGTGTTAGATATTATTTACAGTTCAATAGGAATAATGTGCTGCAATACACCTAAAAGTTACTTTTACGAACATCTAAATGTTGCCCTGAATAATATTAAACCACCATTTGATTAACAAGTATTTCCATCTCAAAAAATGAAATAATTCTTAATCAAACGGCGAATCCATATATAATTTTATGATAAGTACTCATCATGAATTTTTAGCAGCTTTTATAGCGATTAGCAATGAATATATTTTACAATTGATGGAATGAATGAATCATTTTTTTAAAATTTTGCACTTATCATAAAATTTATATTATTGAACAATGACGACGGGTTAATTTGAGCAAAACGAAAAATATGGCTTTTTGATCGTTCCCTATACTTTATAGGTACGTTTCGTAATTTCGAATAACCTATTCGTCCACTTCGTATTCATATTCCCCGGTCTCCTCGAACGAGTAACTCGAGGATTTGGTTGTTTTAGACGTAGTCACCTTACGGTTTTCTGTAACGGTTTGCGAGGACTGCTTTACTACCTTCGCACTGCACTCCAAATTTTGACTCGACGATCCAGTCTCCTCTACTACCTTCGACGAATGCGTCCCATGGAAACTAGCGGCATCTTCGGCTATCTTGGTATTACCCAAATCTTTCCTCACCTATAAACAACGAAAACGTTGTACTACCGGATTCGTGTAATTACTAAATGATTTACGATATATTTGGCATGATCCGAATGTGTACGTTTCTAGAAGTCATTAACTTGTTGTGTTACGAGAATAGGTCGTGATTTACGATGACAGGTGGGTAATGGCGAAAACCGATAAATGCGGACTAGCAAATAAAACGGCACGTTTAAACGAAGAGGAGACCGCACAAATTGAAGGACCTTTTGATATTCAGGAAATTAATGCGGCTAACACTTGCGCTGGCACAGGTAGTAACAGCCAATTAAAAGGTACGTTAAACTGTCATTTCGAAATTTAGCATCCGGCAGCTCGGTGTTTGCATATTAGCTTTATTAAAGATCCTCATTTTCAAACGATACGAAATAGCTTATAAATCTTTCATGTTACTAATTATAACAGGTGACAAAATTGATACAAGTTGGTGCAAAATTTATTATACAGGGTGTAAACTTATTTTTTTTTTTAAAGTGAATAATTACAAATGAAGTAAATTCTTACAGATTAGATATTTTTTCTCGAAGCATCGTCTTCGAATTTGAATTTGAATATTTATTGTACCTGTTTAAAGAAATAAAGGCGCGACGTCCAGTCTAGAACACACACCAGCACCATCTTTTCTGATTGGACGGAAGCCTGGACTGGAACTGGCTTATGAAGTATGGGAGAGCAAAAAGGCAAGAAGAATATATGCAAATAGAAATAAGGCAGAAGCACGATATAAACTTATGGGGGAATAGCTAGCCTGATGGTCTAAGAGTATTAGATTACTAATACCGTATAGCTTGGACAACAAGATTTGGAGAAGATAATTATTAAGATAGAAATAAGTAGTATTTTTAAATGCAATACCTTATGTATTGACTCTATTCCAATAATGAAATAATAAATAAGAGTAAATTAGGCGTTTCCATACTTTTGTTCTATTCTATACATAAATAGTAAGTGCCATAAATTCAGCATAATAGGATAGACTTGTGAGAAAGACTGCGTTGTTCAAAAACAAAAATGATGAAATTTTTTAAAACAGTTACTAAATATTATTGAGTTTATTTAGTTATTTCTGGAGTATATTTTAATAAATAGACCACACATATGTAACTTGTGTCACATGATTTAAGCTATTTTATTTCGAAAATCTCGATCGTATAAATTTTATCAAAGTGCACATTACTTACTTGCGACACAGATGTTTCCGTGCTCTGCTCGACCTCTTCTTCTTTGACTATGGAGTCGCCGCCGGACGGTACTAGGGCCATATTTTCCGATTCCGCAACTGGTTGGTGCTTCTTCTGGGAAGAGCGTGGAAGTGATGGAACGGAGCCAAGTGATAAATTTTGTTCTAGACCGCCCGCGTCCTCTGATGACTTCTCGGAGAGTCTGTGATAAGAACATGCATCGGCATTAGAAATATTAAGAAATACGTGCTCGTTAGTTACCGAAATGGACGTTATAAATTGTTGGATGGCGTTCAACCAGATTGTTAATGGACGGAAGTTTCGGATCTGTGGTATTGGACTTAATGGCGTTATTAGTGATTTATTTAAAGACAAGCATTCTTTAAATTGGATAAAAATTAAAAGTTTCTATAAATAATTTAGAAATTCCAGATGTTTAAAATTCAAATTTTAGAACTCATCTATCATCAATGTTTGTAATAAATGGACAATCGAAAATCTCATGTTTTAAACATAATCCATCAAAAAAATTTCTTTCACGCTGAACGATAATTTATAATTTTCCGGTAGGATGCACATCAGTATTAATAGGTTGAGTAATTAACAAAGTTTTAAATATAGCGTTTTTTCTCAGACATTAGCATTGGTTAAAAATACGCATAAAAATTATACAACTGTCCGTTTGGCATTTGGCCAATCGGGGCCAGAGCAACAGGCAGAAATATACGGACGAGACGTGTGTACACCGTTGAAACAAATATTGTTAAAAGTGGTTCGCATTTAAGTGTCAACGCGGATAAACCGCTAAGGGTATTGTATATTATAAACGTAATAAGATTTGACTTGGTTTTATATACAGACAATAAACAAGACATTAAATTTACCTAACTAAAACATTTACAATACAAATAAAGAAAACTACCTTTTAAAGAATCCCCATAAAATTAAAGATACCACCACGATTAAAGAAAGTTTTTTCTCGTCTCTAAAAAAAATAAAATCGAAATAGAATTAAATTTATTTCAGACTAAATTATAATAAATAATTAAATATTAATTGGCAATCGTGAGGAGAATTTCTTTGATGATACGGTAAAAGAAGACGAAAGTGCACGAGAAATTTAACATATCACCCATCTTGCCCAATTACCGAGGGATATGGGCCGTAAGAAGTCCAGAGTTTTTACCAAAAAATCCCCGGGCTCGGTGAGTTATTGGAGTGTCGTGTGGCGCCCGACAACCTCTTGGAACGCTTGCCATTATTATTTCGAGCAGGATGCATATTCGGAGCCGTGTTTCGTCCAGGAGGAAAAGTAAATACAGGAAGCGGTCGGCAATTTGGAACCGTCTCCTTTGAACGAACTTGAGCCGGTGGTTTATGTTCTATGTTTTTTGGCAAGAGAATTTATCATAGTAAAAATAGATACGTCTTTCAGTGACGTTTCCACTAGAATCTAAAACTGTTATGCTAAACGTTTCTACATACTTTCAATAGTTAAAAACAAGTGGTTTTAAGTTTTTCAATTGAAGATAATTATTATCACCAGTACTATCACTCTAATAGCTGTATGATGGCTTCTACAGCAACAAATTCTTAAACATCAGCTGTTATTTAATAATCTCTGGGAAGAGAGCACAATATCGATAGATGTAGGTCTATGATCAACTTTCTCGTGCTTTATTAAAGACGACTTTGAGGTGTTCGATTCGAGATTCTTTTGGATACTCTAAAAACTAACATATCTTATGATACTTTAGAACCTCCAGGTCAAAATATGATAAGTAAATATGTTAACCACAACTACGCAACCTCAATTTATTAAATGACATTACGGACAAAAAACAATTTTGTTCAAAACTTTTGTGGTTATAAACTTTTTTATCCAAATGTATTGGAATTATGAAATGAAACTTTTTGAGGTTATACAGGATTATTTAAACTTAGGTTATACCAAATATTATGATTTCCAGGTGAACAATTCACTTCATATATTTTTAAAAAACTAACTAGTTTGATTTCAAGTTTGTTGAAAATGAGTTTAAAGAAAAACATTGTTTTCCCCTAAACTAGTAGGAATTAAGAAATGAATTTTTTTAAGATTATAAAAGAACGTTTGAGGTTGGGTTATGTAAAATTTTAAGTTTTCCTTATAAACAGTTTTTTATACAAAAATTTTTTAAAATCGATTATTTGAAACGAACTCATTTTTATATGGAACTTATAGACTAATAGACTGCAATGGCGTATACTCAATTTTCTCACAATTTTTGTATGGCACAATACTAGTAATGAAACGCTTAAGAGAAAAATTCTTTAAAAACGTTTTTCTTCAAAATTGTTTTCTTTGCAGCAATTTCAATGAAGTAATTTAATTTATAGATACGATAAAACGAATTAAAAAAGATTTACAAAAACTGTATATACATACATTAGTATGAATAGACTCAAAGAAAGACACTGAATGTTTTAAGTTATAAATAGATTTTTATAACCATTTTATTACCTCCACTAAAAAAACTTTAGTGCCCGGTGGCGAAATCATGGATTTGTAACAATAACAAAAATGTTATTTTGCACTAAAAAAATGTTCGAATCATTTCGCCAAAATCAATTGTTCTTTCTCCAAATTCCTGATAAAAATATATTCTTGAATGAAACCTTGTACTAAATACAAACCCGATTCATTCTTCGCTACATTTCATTTGACATTTCCATCTGACGTATAACGTGTTAAAAGACCGTCCATGCATAAAATAACGGACGACGACTTTGTGCCAAATTCTCTCGACTTGGAAAGTCGGGGATGTTAAACAAATATAAAAGAGTTGTCGTTTGCTCTCAATATGATAGGCGCCAATAAACCATGTCCGCCTAAATACCGGTGAAAGAATTATGTCAAGCTGTAACTGTACGCAAGTTGGTGTTCTGTCATGGTCACTGTATCTAAATTAAGACCGACCAGAAATACCATTCGCAATGTACTTCTTAATATCATTATTATGATCATGAGACATTTCCAACTTCGTCGTTTGTAAGGTACTATTTAATTCAGACACCTGTCTTTCTAAATTCTCTGCTCTTACTGCCCATTAAGTCGATTCCCTTCATTTACTAAGTTAGTTAAAACGACGTACACCGAGTTTACACAAACTAATTGTTTTAAATATAACACTACGACTCGGTTTGAATGTTTATTTGTATAAAAGAGATTCTTAGATATAGCTAAAATGTCAAGTAATAAAAATAGATGATTTAATATGAATTATGTAAGTGTAAGAAAATTTCATAATAAATTAAATTAATAGTCAAATACTTAGCTATTTTGAAAAAAAGTTTTTATGATACTTACCCCATCGCTATTTTTTGTGATTTATTAGTAAAAAAGCTAAGGGCGAATATCCAGATATATTGTAACCATTCCTTAATCATATTTTCACAGATTTTCACATATTTCGTTTAGGAAATATTGAGGAACAAGAATACGAACTGGACGAAAGGTTATTTAACTCCGCATTATGTCACCTGAGCCTTGCAACTCGTAGGTAGAGAATCTTGCCTTGGTTCGGAGCTCGGTCCAAATTCAGATCGGCCAAGCGCATGTCATCAAACAAAATAACAGAATTGGCATTCAATCAGGCCATAAGGGCCGTGATCGAAATGTTATTTATACAAACCGATTGGAATTGAAAATTTATAGATCGTATGATATTAAAAATTTGATTACTTAAATTTTTATTGGATGATATTTTAGTAATTAATTTGAATTCCATTGTAGGAGAACAAAACAGTACTTAAAATAATGTTCTCTGGTAACCTTCCAAAGATTGTAAAATTTATTATAAATACTTGGGCGTTATTAAAGGAAACTTTTATTAGAAATCTAGGTCAGCTTTTTCTCTTGTCGTCATTTCAACTGTTATCCGTTTTAATGTGGGTGACATCTTCATAAACGACATTCCCGAATCTGAATTCAAAGAGTTTTCTTTCAGAAATGTCTTACCTTAAATCGTTGGCATTAAACCATATTATCATGTCCAAGTATGTAAATAAGACGTTTCTAATCTTTGTACACAAGACATATTGTGGCAATACAGAAAGATGCCAACTGGTTGTGTATGTTTGATCCGTTTAGTTGTACACTAAAATTTTTATTTCTTATTTAATATCTACAATAAAGAATCATCTATAAAGGTTATTGCTATATGGTCACATTTTATAAAATAGTTGGCAAGATGTTAAATCTAGAGCATTACACTTTATGATAGGAAATATTATACACGGCAGCGAATTAATCACATCTGTTACTTCCAGGCGACATCACTCATTTTAGTAATTTTAGTGTCGCCCTCGAAACGCCGCATAAATTTAACTCAAAGCACAATTAACGTTTCCCAAATGTGCGCCACCCATGGCGTCAACACGACGGACACGGTGTTCATAATTTGAAACGATGATGACGAGAAATTCGTTTCAAATAATTAATGTTGGGGTATACCACATAATTATACATGTATACACATAACTTGCAATCAAAATCATTTCTTTTTCGAATGAGTATTTTAGGTATTCTATAAATGAGAAGAGTATATTTAATCGTGATCAGGAATGAATAAACAACGTCAATAACAACTTGTTATGTTACTAATTTTAATGTTCCCAATAAATAAATTCCAATTTGTTTACTCATCTTATATAACTTCTTGCAAATCCCATTGGTTTTATTTAATGTCTTGCTCTCATAACATTTGATCTATAAGTAATTAGATAAACTCACAATATCTGACCTATGTAATTTTTTTCTGACAACGTTGTTAATGATCAAAATTATACGTGGCATAAAACTTAAACATCAACAGCTATTACCTGATTAAGGCATTTATGAAGAAGAGTCCACCTGAAATGAAACTTAGACGCAGAATCCCGCAAATTAGATAGAGACTCAATTAGATGAGCAAAAATAACTCTAACAATAAATAAGCTGAAACTTTGTTTATATGTATCTCTATGATATTAATAAATGTATTGAATATTCCTCCGAGTAGCTACAGAGAACGTGAATACCATTGCATAGATTCAGTTTTAAATAAATAAATTACATAATTTATTAATTCACCAAACCATTTAAATTTTGGCAAAACTTTTAACTTTGCCTGTTAATTAAGAGGAACACAGTTGTGGCAAAGAATTTTATAAAACGTATTCTCTTGGTTAATATTTGGCTCAAAAAGTTCGGAAAATCCATTCTAATTCCGTTCTCAGATGTTCCGGCCAATGGTCCTGCCAAGTTTAAAATCTGTCTGTTGTCTGTTTTGTGGCGGATGTAAAATGTTTGTTTTGGTCATATGAAACAATAAAAAACAAGATTATATTCAATTTTAAGAAAACCATTGAATGAAATTAATTATTAATTTAAATAAAAAAACGTATAATAACCAGTAATAAGTGTAGATATCAAAAGTTGTAACAAAGACCCAATTGGTAGCCAACAATTTTGATCGTAGCCATGTTGAAAATGTTGAGTAAGTACAGTGCCAAAGTAAACTATCTTTGTACTCCCTAAACAACATTTTCATTAAGTATCTATTAAGATATATCTAACAGGAAAATGATATGTTCCAGCTTTACAAGGAGACGTTGCACATTCGACGTAAATATAGATGCATAACGAACGGGGTTTATTTACTCGAAATCGGGTTCGTGATCGAATAAAACGAGTGCAAAACAGCTGCTTTATATTTAGATTAATTGTATGTAAAGCCGCGCGATTTCTCGCTATTTATTGGGAAGATCTTGTACGTTATTCCAAAAAAAAAACGAACAAGATAGTGTTACGCTAAAAGATTCTAAATACTAAATATCCAATGCCAAAAATCTCCGACAATGAGGAAACTGACAGAAATAACCCAAAACGTTCATACATCATGTGCGTTTAGCAAAAACGATTGTGTTGGACGACGTTAACGAATTAAGCATATTTGAAGTACAAGTGGTCTTAAGTTTCAAAACAAAATAGTTTTATTAATAATTTATTTATTTTTATATGCATATCTTGATTTAAAAAGGTGATAACTCAAATTAATTAATTACTTTATTTTTTTTGTAATGCAAATCTTTTGAAAATTTTTGGGCGAAGTTTCAAAAATGCAAAAATCTGAGTCACGGAATTGTATTTGTTAGTTTTTACTTATGCAAGCGAGTTAAGGATTTGGAACACACATCTAACTTACATTAAATAGTATTTGTGGAATCTGGTGATCCTGAGCTATGTTTAAAGAGGCCGGCAGATGACTAATTCCGTCGTGGCGACTGTGATGACCGGCGTCCGTACGAAACGCGCCGAATCTACGCCGGAAATCGACGAACACAAATTTTTAAAAATACCTTTTCAGCTTTTTCAGAGGTCACAGACAACGTCTTATTGTTACTACCAATAAAAACATTCGATGGTTAAAACACATAGTATCTCCTTTAAATAATTTATTTAGGTTATCCAGTTGGTTTATCCTTTCAATTTTCAAAATGGAGATACAGGGTGGGAGTATGAAATTTTCATGGGATTATACATTATATAGTCTTCTGATGATGTGTCATCCAATTTACATTCTAGAAGGAGTGTGGAAGATTCTCGTCAACATAGATGTCGGCCTGAAAATCCCAGCTTTATCACAAACATTGGATAAGCCCAGTTTAGATCTCCACTTTGAATTCACACTGGAAATGAGGAATTCAGTGTAACCTTCATCACAGCTATGCTGCAACACTTACCCTCTATCATCACTTTAAAAGGATGATAAAGTGACGGCCTATAGCATAGAATTATAGAAACCATATCGACTTCAATTACTCTTATTGTTGAGGACTCAAGAATACTGATGTGGCTAAGTTGAAATCAATACTATTTAGTTAGTTGAGCGATATATGGTTAACTTCATCCTAAACTGTGAAGTTTAGGATGTGCCATACATTAGTAATGTAGTGAGTTCGATAACGTCAAAAGGGACGTGAGAGAAACCTTCAACAAATTGCAGACTTTCAGATTGGACTGCGAATGGAGCTGCTATAAAAGCAAATTATCTGCGTTTAAAAAGGAATCGAACTTTTAGAACGGATGTAAAAATGGTTGTCTAAAAAAGTTAAACGACTGGGTATCGTTCTAGGCAGCAAGATATTGTAGAAGTCAAATTTAGATAATAAAGTCTTTGAAAACATGATATCTGTCATCCAAATCTTCTCTCTGGATTTATAATCTGATCTATATCTTTACTTATTTTCTGCTTCTATTAAATTAATAGTTATAAAACTTGCTGCTAATTATCTCGTCAGCTGCAACTTCAGAGGTTTATATTATAACCTATAATTCAAAAATAATTCAAAAGTTCCAAATTGGTATTGATTCCTATTTTGTCGCAAATGATTAAACATCTAATATTAACCCTATAAAACGTGAAAATTTAGTTTAATTTTGTAACTCCATCTCTAATTGCAAGGATTTGTTAACGTAACAACACCTTATCATTTCCTTTTGTAAACATAAAAAATCATTCGAATAATTCTAATTTTAACCACATAATGCAGAAATGAATCGTCCACTAAATGATTATCATATTCTATTAATTTAAATCTTTTAATCCATAGGACAAACTCTTTTCATAAAGTAGAAAGCTGTATTAATTGAGGGTTTCAACGTAAGATGGCAGCATCATGCTAAAATATAATAAAAGTACAAAGTATGATGACTAATAACTCAATGAGTTTTCCTTGAAATTTTCACAAAGTTTTTCGAATACTTTCAATTCAAGTATGTTATATAGAATTTTCCTACATTTTAAATGATATCAGCATAACTTTTGTGCGTCGCAATAACGTTCTAAAAACATATCGTGATAGGTAACAGAAATGTTTTGGTAAATGGAAAAGTTTTAAAATTTCCTTTTTTAAGATAACACCGCATTATACCAGATTTCGCCAAATTAATCATCGAATATCGTTATTTACTATTATTGTTATGATTCGAATGCGATTTTTGTATGTTACATCCTAATTGATATTCATTGGGATTTACAACTCTTATAGAAAAGATTAGATTCAAGCAAACAAAAATATTTTCGTCCAGAATAAATGATATAGTTATAAAATTCGATCTGATCCGGTAGGAAAACAAGATTATTTGCCACAGATGACATCACGTTTTATTGATTTAAATGAAAAATATTTGGATTAGGATTCATCCGGTTTTTTAATCTTATTTTTCGGTTGTTATATTCGCATAGAATGTGTCATGAAATGATTAACAATAAAGATTATTATTATTTTTTTTTAAATATCGCGTGAGCATACTTGAGTCTGTCAATTTATCTTTTATCACAGGAAACTGGAATCTGAAATTGAAAAAAAAGGATATATTAATACATATTATCTAAAATCCAGCTTTATTGTAGACTTTCAAAATTAACTGTATTTATTGAATTGTGCGTTTTATTTATTTTTCTGTGAATAAAAAATTCCATCAAGTGTATTATAAGAATTAAGGGGAAAACTGCAAGCAAATACTAACGTCCCATTTACATATTGGCCTCTCTCTATATATAGAAGTTTCCGATAAGATAAGAAGATAACACGAGAGAACAGACGGAGCGGGAACAGCTACGCCGGGGATATTGTAAATTAGATAGATTACGTATTGCACACATCAGACGCTAGTCTACTCATTAAACAGTGCGCTAAGGCCAACGAGCACATGTTACTAACACTTCGTCGCGTACGTTTCTGCACGATTCGCACACCCGCGTTAAAATATTTTATAATAACAGGAACATTTATTCACATTAGTTTTCATTAAAAGAAAATCAAATGTTTTAAATATCTTATTTATTTTAAATTTTAAATAAAATTTGGTTGTGATGAAACAGTGAATTTTATTAGACACATGAAGAAGCTTATGTATTTTTTTATAACAAAATAAAAGGTAAGTTATTACATTAAAAATTTTAATTTTCTTCAATTTAATTTATTTCTTTTTTAATTGAAATTGTGGCCATAAACTTCAAGATCCAATCAAAGTTTATTAACATTGATTTTTTATCATAATTATTACTATATATATAATTACTATATCTTTGCAAAACTTTAGATAGATTTTATAAACGTAAGATTACATTAAAATATTTTAAAATTTTATTCTTATATTTAACCTTGTATATTGCTTCAATTTCCTGTAATAAAAACATTACATTTTTGAAAATAAACTGTGCAACAAGTTTTTGGAATCACCATTCAAAGTATTGAATGTTATTAGTACTATCAAAGTTATTTCTGCAATAAATTCTCAACGATGGGATAGAGCTGCACCTGTGCTATGAATTGTTTTGTTTTATGTCGCAACTTTGCAGCGTTTGATTTCAGTAAATTCTTAACAAACATTCTTAAAATAGCATTTAGAACATGATTCATAATTTATAACATTTATTTTTTTCCTTAAATTTGGCTCTGCTAATTTTCTTAACAAAATTAATGCTATACCGCATCAACAATAACAGCTGAGTTTACCAACACATTGCACGGATTTGTACTCATAATACGAACTGTACAAAAGTACTTGTTCCAAAAGTCCAAGACTATCAGGTAAGAGAATCTTTACGGAATTCACCATGCTTCGACTACAATAAATGATATAGTGATAGCTATAATGCAATTTTATGGGTAGATGCAGTGTTTTTGTAAGATCCAACATATTAAAAATTAGCCAATCTATAGTAACTCATCATAAATAATTGCGCATAATGTTATGGCTATTTATGAAACTGGAGAATATGCGGCATAAACCTTGCCTTGTCAGAACCTGCGTGATATTTTCGAAGTTCCGATGGTTTTAAGAAACAGCGCGCATAAGTAACAAGTTTACCAAAAGTTAAGTCATCACGATGATTATGTGCGTAGATACATATAAACTAGCGATGGGCCAACTCGGGTTTTTGCCAAACCGAGTTAACCGAGTTTAACCGAGTTAACCGAGTTGCGTAAATCGAGTTCATACCGAGTTGGTAGCAAAAATCTAAAATAAAACAATCGCTCGGCATTTATTTATTACTTGCAATAATTGATTATTATTAGCGGTAGTATCTCCTAAATTAATTATTCTTTCTTTATCCTTTCCAAACAGTCTAAATCTATTTATCTTTTTATTCTCATCAGAGTGTCAAAGTACCAGTATGCGCAGAAATGGTTTGTGCCTTCAATATATCACTCACCCTTCAAACCTTTGCCACCAACACATTCAAAACGAGTTTTGACCGATCAAAAACTTGTTGGGCTTCTAACATATCTTTGCGATACATTTTCATCCAGCTCTTATAGGCTCTCTTATGTTGTTATCACCCGATAACTTCTCCGTTTTTGAGCAGGCACAAATTCACACGTAAAGTATGAAACAGATAATCTCTTCCTTCCATCAGGCGCATCCTCCTCCTTTAGCTGGCTAAAGTACACCTTAGAATGAGCCATTTGTAATGAAATTGCATAAGATATGTAAGAGATCACCTGCTTCAACAACCATTATATCCAAAGACTTGTGTTACTAATCAAGAATAAGTTAAGCACAAATCGCAAGTAATCTCAAAAACCTTTTTGCTAGCAAGGTTTATGATTTTCTCATCTTTTGTGATAATCATATGGCATTGTATATGGGATTTCTCATCTATAGGGTAACTTTATGAATATTGTAGGTATATAGACTTCGTTTTGTGATTTTGATGTAGAAAGACTTGTTATTTTCTTTTTATGACTATTTTTTCCAAAAGATGAATGTGGAAGTAACTTCTTTTCTGTATTATCTTCTTTACTATTATGTTATGTTGTTCGCTTTGTCATAGCAATATCTACAGCTCTTTTCCGAATTTCTAATACTTTAAACATGGTTTAACATACTTGGATTCGTTCTTTTATGATAAAATAAATAAAATCACGTTCATTGAATTAATTATGTTCGTAATTGAAATTATAAATTATAATATTTTGTTAATTGATATAATAATATAATCACTACATTTTTATTAATTAAAACGAATATATACATATGCTAATTAGATATTGAAATTTCCTGTTCTTTGTATTAAATTATATTCATTTTGGTTAAAAGCGAATAATAAAAATGTAAAGTAGTCGCCTTTCCCACTTTAACGTCACTCTAACCGCAACGCATTATGTTTATTTTTAGCACGTTAATAAGGAAAGAGCAATGTTAAGCAATAAAAATCGAGTTCACAATGGAAACCGCCACGGGTTAAAATCATATAAATAGAACTATAAATTCATTACAATTTATATTAGTTTGTGTTCTTATTTCTAAAACAATCATTTCTATTGATTTATTTTTAATTTCGCACCTTTTAACTGTTTCAATTGATTTCATTATTTGGTAAATCTATAACATTTGTTTCGATTAGAACTGTCAGAACTGATAGAACATGTCAGTGCATGAAATAAGTTTATTTCATGCACTGACCTCATGAACCATATTCAATAGGGCACAGAGCATTAAATTTATTATCTACCCACCAGAAGTGATCTGCAAACATTAATACCAGTGATTTTATTGGGCGGACGGTTAAAACAATAACACGTCACGTAAATGGATGTATTTGATAAATTTAGGGTATAACACAATCAAAATTAAACGTTTCAAAAGTTGTCCATCAAATTAATAAAAATATAAATTAAAATAATTGTTAGAGTATTGAGTACTGAGATATTATACGCCGCAAATAAACTACAACAAACTTAGTAATTACTGTAAACTATGAAACACTAAACAAAAACGTATATTTTTTTAACAAATTAAGTCCACATGGTTGTTTTAATTGTCGGTTCGTTGTGTTGCGCTAATTACAACCTCGGTAAATTTTAGTGATAATACACAATTTTAATCAACTAAACCAATTCGCCAAGTCTGATTTTTTTTAGACACAAAGAAGGCATCGCAAAACAAACAAGTTCATAACATATTATAACTTAAAAACATCAAAGCTTTCAAGCAACATATATTTTTAAAAGCTTAACGTTTTCTAGTACATATATTTCTATGTTAACTAGAAATTTCAAAGTCAATAAATAGCACTCATCAACGTTGTAAACGGGTTGAACAGCGCGTCGGCTCGCGTTATAAATTATGCACCTGCCATAACTTAGCGTAAAGTGATCAGTTGCAGGTGAGTTACTCAATCATGTCGATACGGCATACTACAAAAAAAAACTGAGTTGCTGTTACCATGTGCTATCCGGAGAGTTACTAAACACATAAAATCATAGATATAGGAACTTATTAATGCGCAGTAATAATTATCAGAGTCGATGTAGAGTATTTAGAACAAGGTGTGTATGTCTATAGTTAAAAATAAACGTGAATAGGTTAGATGTTTGAAATTGTTTTGATGTTTTAGGCATTAAACTTATTTTATTGCATGAGTGTTAAACGAAATTGATCGATATTTTGAGTGATTGTTAGCATAAATAAACTATGATGCAATAATAAATTACCTAAAACTTTTTTGTTTTAAATAAGTAAAAAAAAAATTTTAAATTTAAATTAATTCAAATAGTATGAGGACCTAAAAAATTCCAAGACGGAAAATTACCAGAAATCTGAACTGTAAATAAAATAATTAATTGCTTTTACTTCCTTTTGGTATAATCGATGGTTTTTATCTAGAATATTTAGAACGTGTTGATCATTGATGGACTTCAGCATAGATAAATTAGAAGGTCTGAAAATATGGTGGAAAGATAAAGAAAATTTTCCACCGAGATATCGGAGTTAATAAATTTTTGAGTTGCATGTAAATTTCGATTTCGTGTATAAATAAACATCGCGGTTGGAGGCTGTAAAGTTTACGACGATAAAACAGTGGTGTCATTGAATTTTATCTATTAAACAGCTATTTATAACGTGTAAATGCGTCTTAGAAAAATTCCTTATTAATTTATATCCAAACAAAAGTTTTTTAAATCAACAAATGTAACAATATAATCTGTTATATCAGATAAGGGTGATCCATAACAATATTTGGCAGTTGTTGATTGTTATTTTTTAATTGTTGTTTTATGACAAGATCGTAAAATACTTTATATCAATTAACTCTCTAAGTTTATTCTAAGTAAAATAATTATCTTTATATTTATCATCCACATTTCTAGTAGCTAATAGATCACCATTTGCAGTAAGTTCTGTGAGGAACCGATTGATGCTTTCCTAATAGCTCTTATTTGAGTGGTTAACATTTGATAGGCTCTGCTGAGGTTGGATCGTTAGCAAGTTCTTCATATTATGTTATAGGGTTTCTATAACAACATTGTTTTTTTTATAAAAACAACATGAAATGAAGATAATTTTACAACATAACACAAGAAATTGATTTTTCATGGAATTTTGTGTTAAATTTATTTATTTATTTCGTAAAATATTTGTAAATATAATTGTGTCATGAATCAATAAGCAAAATAAGATACAATATTTATTCTTTTTAAGCAAGGTGAAAATCGGTTATTGTATCATAAAATAGAAATGTTTATTTTCTTAACTTTTGACATTAAGTAGCAAATCGTGATGTTTAACAATAAAAGTTCTTTGTTGTTATGTTTATAATTTTATGCTTATTTTATTACATGTTGTAACACTTTCTATTATACCAAAGAAGTAAATTATTATTATTTAACCCATTTCTGTTGTAATATCTGTTTAAGCGATTAAAATAAATTCCAGGTACTTTAATAACACCTAATTCGTGCGTGACACGGGGGAATTAATACATACCTTAATATTTACAAACATTGCCAATATTTATTATTTATTAGCAACGATGTGGCAATGAATTATCATTGCGTAGCATTCACGTCATATCTAGTGAAAACAGATCTTCATTAATTTTCCAGGGATTCCCTTTTTTGATAAACACGATTAAACCAATCTCATTTTATTTAATTAATATAATATTTTTTAATTATTTTATTAATATTATTCTTACTACGTTCTAAAAATAACATCTTACTCTTAACAAATAAAAATCAACGCAATATCCAAAAATTTTTTTTTGCGAAATGACGTATTAATATAAAAGTATAAAAAAGTTATTTAAACATTTGTCCAACTCGAACAGTTGTATTGGAATATTTGTTTATGAAAGAAACGCTAACGAAAAATAAATTAGTTAACAACGTTGATACTCAAATGCTATTATGTTGTAAGTTTTTTAGTATTTTTTTTTAATTCTATCATTTCTTAGTATTAAACAAGTAAACAGTTTTAAACGATTCTATTAATAACAACGATCATTATCATAACTGAAAAATACTTCGTATTTATCAAATCTCATCCAAAACGTAGTTAAGTGATCACGAAGTTAATCAGAGTTTGACGGTGAAATTGACCAATTTTATGTAAATAAATGGCTAAAAATAACTTTTGAAAATTGAAACCGGTTAGATATACTTATATTACAAGAGAAGGAGTCGTTTATCACCATCGGATTGGACTTTGGCTAGTACAATGAGACACGTCTAAATAAAGAATGCGGTTCACCTCCGCCATCGCGTATCCAAAAATAGAAATTGATAATTAACGTCGTTAGCGAAATATGAAAAAATAAAAGGAAATGGTTCTTATACGGACTCAGAACTTGATTCAATTAAACTCGTGCACACAAACAGAATACCTAGAAATGACGAAAATTTGTTATTGAAAAGAAAAATGCTGCTTTATTCATACGTACAAAAGGAAATCATAATAGGTTTCTTTTTATCCATCATAACTAAATTATTAAAGATTTTTTTGATTTATTTTTTTATTAACGCTTGGAACCCGATAAAAACACTTTTTAATAGGAACGAACAATCACATTGAAACCAGTGTTAACATAAGAAACGTGTCGTATTAGTCGGTGAGTACATTTTTGCAATGAGATCGAAAATTATTGTATTTAACTAGAATAAGTATTTATTTAGGGTGTCATAACTCTAATAGTACAATTTAGATAATGATTATTTTCGACGCATTGGGATTTTATGTTCCACGTGTTCACAATAGAATCCGCTTTAACCAAACCCGCGACGTATTTTTTTTTCAAACATTTTAAGGTAATACCGTTGAAACGTTAAACGACGATTGACGATATAAATAAGAATGTATTTTAAGTTTTTTTTTCTGTAATGAAAGCTTGGGCGTGTTTGAACTGAGTTTCTTCCATTAACAGTTTCTAGTAAGTATAATTTTAGAGAAAATCTAATAGAAAGCAAACACTTTAGAATGTTGTATTTAGTCATTCTTAATAACTTGCGATTTTAATTCGATTAATTCATTTAAGTACAAACAGGATGAGTTTTATCTTAATAATTCGTCCTAAGATCTTGCAAAATAGGACAATTTCCGTATGGGAAGTGAAATGGTGATGTCAATTGCGATCTATAGACATACTGCCTTTTGTTACCATCATTATGGTGAGGTAGATAACGACTACTACTCTCATTACTTCTTATTATTACTCCTTATTAATTTAACCGATTTGCCAAAGAACTTTTCCATTAAAACTGTGAATTATTTGAATCTTCAAAAAACTTTACATACATACATAAGAGGATAAAAGATGTCGAAACGTTTTCTAAGATGTTTAATAATTTCTAAAGGTATAGTGGAGTAACTAAGCTTTTTAATAAATTCTACGGATCTCTAAGAATTTTTAACGGTATCGTCTAAAGATATCTTAAGCTTTCTAGAGGACTCAAAAAAAATTCAGAGGTTTGAAAACATGTCTAAGGTTGCTTAGAAGATTTTTGAAGCTTTTTCTAATAATTTTTCTTCTAATTCTAATTATCAAGACATTTCTAACGATTTCCTAGGACTTTCCAGAAAATGTTCGACGATTTTTGATGTCTCAACTACATTTCTCGATATGTTTATAAATATTCTCAGATTTTCAGAGGATTTGCAAAAAATATCTAACCCTGACTATTTTTTATAATTAGAGTAAAGGTATGTTCGTTCAGAAATTAAATTTATTTTTGATGAGCAAGAGACAATGAAGATTGAAGTAGAATTATTTTCTAGAGATAGTAAATGTGCAAGTAGTAAAAGTATAATTAGTAAGTATATCAAAATATCGACTTCTTTGTATGATGCATATTTTTCTCTCAGTTTCATGGACTCAACTTCTAATTAAATTCAACTGCATTACACAAACATTTTAAAAGTTATACATGTTACATAACTTGCACTAGTACAACATTCATCGCAACTTCTATTCACAATTGCTGTCTTGCGAGCTTTCTATTTGTCGAAATTAGTTTCCTTTTAAAATTGACAAAATTGCAGAGCTGTTTCCTCCCTTTTTTGATGACCTTCCATGACTTACAAAGTTCAATGTGATTTGGTTCATTCTCTTTTTAGAGGATTTAGCACATTGTTCATAAATTTAAAATTTTTTTGATTAGTATCTCAAATCAACGTATTTATTTAAAGTTATGATTGGTATTTTCAACATAAATATAAGTTGTTGAGTTTCAAATTGCGTATTTTTTATTGCGTATTTTAAGTAATTGTTATGTGTAAAATAATTAAAAATCATTTTTATTGGTTTTAATCGTTACCTATTAATTTAATAGCTTTATGAATTTATTTACAAAGAAAATCAAACATTTTGATTAAAAGATATTTTTATTCAAGAATATCTACTAATTTAAGGATGCTTAATTTAGTCATTATTGATATCATGTAGCTATAAATAAGACAAATAGAAGCACACGCAAATATTTTTAGCAATATTTATCTTATCACTGCGCATAATATAGAGGCAAGCCAATTTTGTATCATAATCGTTGTCGTTTCATAAAATTAAAAATCCTTTTTATCAGAATGGTATATATTTAGCTTTAAAATTTGTATATTAATTTTATTTTATATAAAGAAAGGAAATTTCCACATTTTTAATGGATCTAATTGATTCTGATAATTCATTAATCTGATAAATATTAGCTGTCGATCTCGCTGTGGCGTCTATTAATACAAGAGCTCATTTACGTCAAGGTAATATGATGGTTGTGACAATACAGCAAAACCGTATTTATAATATAAATAAACCTTTTGTTGGTGCTGTATAAAAAGATTAATATTTTTTCTTCTTTTCAGATAATTAAAAATGTCTCATTCGGAGATAAGCAACTTACCTTACATGAACCATATGATGAACAATCGGCAACAGTTAAAACCTTATCCCACTTCAGTAACCGAGCTTTCGGCGATTTTAATCCATGCCCAACGTGACACGCTCAATGAACGCGCAGTCAACTTGGACACACCTCCTCGAGAAGCAGAGGGGTGCGTAGGGGTGTGCGAAAACCCCGGAGTCGCCCTTAAAAAAGCTCACACCTGCGGCAGCCTATTCGCCAAATGCAATTGTAACAATAATGTCCAGTGTACACCTCCCCTTTCTATACCTAAAAGCAGCTCAATCTCAACTCCTTTCGCTGCTAATAAAGATACTGATTCTCGTGTTGTACCCAAACGCCTATCGAATCCCGAAACATCAGAAGAAACGAAGAAACCCAACCGGAAATGTCATAAACCTTACAAAGCCGAATCTTTACAACACCCGGATATTCCTTACCCCATCGAACGGGAAAAAGTAAGAAGTATCAGTTTCTCACAACAAGATAAACCCGACATTTCAAAGAAATCCATCCAAGCCAATTTGAATTACCACAAATACACCGCTTTAGCTTACGGAAGTCCGGATAGCTCGGATCAGGCTCGTAAGTTTTTAGAAGATTTTGGAATTTTCGGTCCGATGGGGAACGGGATCGCGCCGTTGAGGAAAAACTCGAAAGTTTCTTCGACCGAACTTGACCAAGATGTAAAACGAGGTTCGAAGGTGATGTGTTTAGAAAACCAACAACGAAAGAAATCTCCGGAGAGCGCCGCCAACGGTCAACATTGTTGCGAGAACTTTAGGAACGCAGTTTCTCGCTTGGAGAGGGAGCTTTCCGATACCAGAATCGAGTTGCAACAAGTACGAAGCACTATGCAGGCCAAAGAATCTGAAGTATTAAAATTACAAAGGGAAAATCATAAATTAAAGGTAAGAAAATCTTTAATTTTTAAATTAAATAGAAATCTAGTAAACATTTAGAAATTTTTCGATAATATTTTTTTAATTTTTGAAGATATTTTGAATGTACTTAAAGCTTATGCTTTCTTTTTACAAATACGGAAAGGATATACTTTTTTTATTTCATTGAAAGGATTAAATTGAATTCTCTGAATTTCGTTCGTGTAGATTATGCAAGGTAATAATGGTTCGTTCCATCAGATTATCGTGTGTTAAAACAAAAGGAAACTGAAAGGTTTTGTCGTCCTAGAAATGCTGAAGGTAAATCGATGAATTCAAAATAATAATAGGAATATTGATTTAATGTTAACAAAAATGAATTAAACTTATTCAATTGTTTAATAATTTTTATTACTTGCCTATTTCTCTGTATAGATTTAGCTAAAATATTCTTAATCTTCTGACAATCGTATTCTCTTAGAGATAAATGGCAGTAATTAACTAAAGAAGCTAAAGAAACATTTTTTTCTTAGTTTCTGTTTTCCTAATTTTTTGCAAAAACAAACATTCATAAAAAGATAATCTCCATAGAAAAAATATATTCCAAGTTATTTTTGTTATCAAGCTAAAAAATATACAACGTTCTTGGCGTACATCTTATCTTAATTAAATACTATAAACTCTTTTTCAACATTTACATAAAAAAATCCTACAAATATTTTTGGCTTCTTTTCGTTATGTAACTTCTAGACGTAAACTCAGACAACCATCATTCGCACTAATATTTAAATAGCTTTTGCTCACAAAAATCCTAACGATAGCAATTAGCGAAAATTTTAATTTCAACCTACGTCTTAATATGCCCGTAATTAACATATTAGACTTGAAGATTTTCTTATTGAATAATTTTTACGACGACTGCGTTAATTAACTTCTTAATAACCGTCGAACGACCACGTAGACAGAAATAAGAAGAATAAAGAAGAGTAAACTAAGCGGGAACCGACAACATACAAAGCAATATATTTTCTAATTACTCTAAGTAAGTGTTCTGAACAGAGTGATGTAACACCTAATAATAGAGCAACTTACAGATTTATAGTCTAAAGAAATTTTTGACCTTTGACAACAATAACTACAATAATAAACATAACATGTATGTTGATGGTTAATTTTTATGTCTAATAATCCATTTTTTATTTGTTTTTTTTCATTCTTTTCCTCAGAAATAGTAAAAAATATTATTACTGGAATCGTTACCATTTCATTCGAGTATGAATAGTTTCAGTTATTACGTCTCATGCTGTTTATTATTATTACCTGTCTTTTTATTTTAATTAATTAATTCTAAATTTAATGATTTTGAAAAGGTTAAAGTAAATATAAGACACGTTTGACATCATCAAAGATAAATTTAAAATTTTAATCGTGTAACAAATCATGTTTTAGGTTATTTATCGCAAGGAATTTCAAGATGCATATATTTTTGTCGGCTATTAATATAAAATACGTCAATTTATTTATACTTAAAAAAAATTTTAACATCAATATTATCCTGATGGTTTATCGAGATAGAAATATTTTTATTATTTTCATATTTGTTTCAAAAATATGGCATCACTAAAAAAATACGAATCTAACCATTTTGGTCATTCACCTTTAATATAATCAGTGGAGGTTAACATCGTTAACACAAAAACTACGAAAGTTATTATTGGATTGCGTGTGAACCTCCAAAAATGTTACAATCAACTTAGATTTACCGTGATTTAATCTCGATTTTTTATACGACATTGAATATAAAGTCTAAAACATAATTTATAAAATGTTTTATTAACAATGTTTTAAATCACTCTTAATTAAAAAATTGTTTTAATCGATAGAGCGTACTCCAACAAACAACCAAAGGTATTTATAAAGATGGAGATCTTCTCACCAGTCTTCAAGAGCAACATGCGATGGCAAATAGAGTACCACAAATTCATCAGTCTTTGCCAAATTGTGCTATATTAAAGAAACAGGGTGTTTCCGCAGAATCGAGTGAAACCCACAATCAACCTTGCGATATTTCCATCGTTAAACATGATAAAGATTTTAGGTAAACAAATTTAATTTCGTTCAATAATTAATTTAAAATTATCTTTTTTTTTTGTTATTTAGATCTAAGCAATTAATTAAAAATGCCATCCTTGAAAACGATTTTTTGAAACACCTAAATTCATCGCAAGTTCGTGAATTAGTTGATTCTATGTATTCGAGAGAATTTCAAGCTGGGACGTATGTGATTAGAGAAGGTGAAGCTGGAGCGCATCTTTTCGTTTCAGCTTCGGGTGACTTTGAAGTTGTTAAGGATAAAAAAGTTTTGGGTAGAATGGGACCGGGAAAAGCATTTGGAGAGTTAGCTATTTTATATAATTGTACAAGAACGGCATCGATTAGAGGTAAATTAATAAAAATTATCTTTAAAATTGATTAATTAAATTTTTTTTAATTGTTATTTAGCTTTGGTTGATTCAAAAGTGTGGATGTTAGATAGAAAAGTCTTCCAACAAATTATGGTGCGAACGGGAATGCAAAGACTTCAGGATAATGTCAATTTCCTTCGTTCAGTTCCTTTGTTACAAAATTTAAGTAACGAAGTTTTAGCAAAAATCGCGGACGTTCTCGAAGTGGTAAGTTTAATTTCGAAATTAATAAAATAAAATCAACTTTTAATATTTATTTTTCAAGGAAATGTATCCAGCTGGTACTTACATAATACGACAAGGTGCTACTGGAGATACATTTTTCATTATCAGCAGTGGAAAAGTTAAAATAACACAGAGAATTCCAGGTAAGTTTTGACGTTGTATAGTTACGAAACGAATTCACGGAATATTTTTCTGATAATAACAATGTAGTTTATGATTTTGTTTGTATAACTCAATTTATCAATTTAAAAATATGTATCTATGTGTTATGGTAAAAGATATATTTTTATGTATGCTATAATCTGTCCCATCTCATGATACAGTTATTTCACCCAATTCTAAAATTCGCATTTACTTGAATGAGTGATTGTGACATACAATCTTGTTATATTCAATTTCATTTTCAATGTATTTCTTCATACTAAGCATTCAAGTAATGAAGAAGGTGATATTTGGCTCAGTAATGCAAATAAGAAAGATACTGATCTCTAGATACTGAGCAAAATCATTAAGAGATATCATAATTTTCTGTTTCTATATGTTCTGCTTCCTTTATCTTGTCGAAAGTATTGCTCAATAACTCAATACAATCACCTAGTTTCAATTTTATTTCCAGATTTATTTTTAGAATGTATTTACCAATTCCAAATTAAATCTGATTATAAAACCATATAAATATAACAAAGTTTTCATCATTAAAAATAGATACGAGATAAATAAGATATTGAGTAATCTAGTACTTAAAAGTGGAATATTTATTATGTTCCCACCTACATAGTAAAATAAAGCAGCTAGGTCATACCGCACAATGTTTAAATTGGATCTTCAATTTACACTTCATAAATTACCAGGAAACTAACAAATTTAATAGTTTTCCACTAAAAATAAATTAAACTGGCCGTTATAATTGCGTAATTGTTACATTTGATTTATAGGAGTCGTTGAAGAACAAGAAATTCGAACTTTGGATAGAGGTGATTACTTCGGCGAACAGGCTCTTTTAAAAGAAGATTTTAGAACAGCTTCTGTAATCGCTCTTCACCCAGGAGTTGAATGTCTTACTCTCGATAGAGACTCCTTTATTCAGCTTATTGGGGATTTAAGTGAAATTAAAGAAAAAGATTACGGGGATGAGCAGCGGGTTTTAAACAGACCTCTGTGTCATGGATTTAAAAATGAATTCGGTAAGATTAACATCAAAATAAGTTCTAATCAATTTTAATAAATGTGTTTTAGAATATGAATACATCAAATTGGACGATTTAGATGTAATGGCTACATTGGGAATCGGTGGATTTGGTAGAGTTGAATTAGTTCAATATTGTCGCGATCCCTCATTAACATTCGCGTTAAAGTGTTTAAAAAAACAACACATCGTCGATACGCAACAACAAGAACATATTTTTAGTGAAAAACAAATTATGTTAAGTTGTAGAAGTCCATTTATATGCAGGTAAAATATTTTCAAAACATTTTAATTCATAAAACTAATTTTTATTTTTCGCTAGGTTATATCGCACATATCGTGACAGCAAATGCGTTTATATGCTACTTGAGGCATGTTTGGGTGGAGAAGTATGGACGATTCTTCGAGATAGAGGATGTTTTGATGATCACACAACCAGATTTATCACAGCTTGTGTCGTGGAGGCTTTCGAATATCTTCACGTCCGCGGAATAATTTACAGAGACTTAAAACCTGAGAATCTCTTGTTGGACGCAAAGGGTTACGTAAAAATCGTCGATTTTGGGTTTTCAAAATGCATGGGTTATAGTAGCAAGACTTGGACGTTTTGTGGTACACCTGAATACGTTGCACCAGAAACTATTTTAAATAAGGGACATGATAGGGCTGTGGATTATTGGGCTTTAGGAATTTTAATGCACGAGTTATTATCCGGAAAGTAAGTGGATAAAAACGATTTTTTTTTGATTTTTTATTGTATTTGTTGCATTTTTAGTCCACCGTTTACTGCTTCGGATCCTATGAAAACTTATAATTTAATCCTTAAAGGGATTGATATGATCGATTTTGGAATTCATAATATTTCCCGATCCGCACAAAGTTTAATTAAGAAATTGTGTAGGGATGCTCCATCGGAAAGGCTGGGTTACCAACGTGGAGGAATACAAGATATTAAGAAACACAAGTAAATTTTTTTAATTCATCGAATTTCTTTTAGTAAAATTGTTTATTTTGTAGATGGTTCCAATGTTTTGATTGGGCAGGACTAAGTAGTCAAACCCTTGCTGCACCGATAATCCAACCAGTAAGGGGACCTTGCGATACAACAAACTTTGATTGTTTCATTAAAGACAATGACATACCACCCGATGAATTATCAGGATGGGATGTTGATTTTTGACCTATCGCTTCCACCTCATTTTTTTACACATTGACGAATTTCAGTGTGCACCTGTAAAATTAAACGACAGGGCACATTTCTCAAGTATTATAATTTATGTTGCCTAAATTCGTATAAAAAATTATAAAAATATTCATAATAGCTCAGACTATGATGGTGATATACGTATATATTTAATATTTTATCGAATACGGTAATGTTTTTTTTTTTGTTTAATGTTGATCGATTGAAAATGTTTAAAATAACGTTATTATACAGCAGTGTTGTTCATATATTACAAATCATGTTTTTGTTTTAAGATACCAAAGAGATTTAAATAAAGTGTATTTGTAGTAAGAATGTTGTTAAATGTATATATTTTATAATTAATAGAACTGTTAAGAGAAGTAAGATTCTTTTTATTTTTTAAAGAACAATTACAATCTCTTCATCTAAAGTCTCAGCCTTGTTGGTATCATTATCAGTATTAATATTAATCACTCTGTCTAATTCATCCTTATATTCTTTAATCACATGGTAAATTGTTGATTTACATTGCATTGTTATTTAGTATATCTAATCGTAAACCCAAAAAGATTTATAACACAAAAGACACATGTCAAAATGTTCAAATGTCAGCAAAATGTCAGTAATATAACCTTAAAAATGATCTCGCATTCAACCAATCACGAACAAGGTCATTTTAGTTAAATTTAAAACCGCATAGTTTAAAAAAAAAAGAATAGACCTATAAAGTTCTAACAACTTGTAATTTGTACCTTGAAAAGCCAGATTATTTTTATCAAGTATTAATATCGAGTTAAAATTTTGATAATAATTTTATAAACTTAAACGTGCCAGCGACATCTAGCGACAAATCATTGTTAACGACGTGACAATGACAGTTACAAACGTCAAACCATTTGATAAAAAAATTATGAAATGGTAAATTTTAATTTATTACAAATTTTCGGTTAAGAAATATTATATTGTTTTGATTTTGTTCATATTAATTATGACATTTTGTATTTTAAAAGAAGATCAATCTAATTGGAGTTAACCCAATTTTATTCCAATTTTAAGGATGAAATTTTCAAAATGTTTTCAATTAATTCATTTTGGCAATTATAGAGCTGTGGGAAATGAACAAATGTTATTATTTCACGGAAATTGTACATAAGGTAAGTAAATTATTTAAATAATCCTGGGAACTGCTCTTCTCGCAGTCCAATTGTGAATTTTTATCAATCTATATGTATGAATTACTTTAAAAAATTGTTTGACCTTTCAACAAAAAAGTTTTAACAACCTACATTGTTACCTAAATTACCGTTGCTTTTTGCTTCAATAATACACCGTTTCTATAAAAATATGATTAGCTAAACGATTGCATTCCATTTCTTGTCAGTACATAAATTTTTATGTTTAAATCGTAATAAGAAACACTTAACGTCAATAAGATCAATAGGGTCGAAAGGAATCAATTTCAAAGTAAACCCTAAAAGTAATCAATAATAATAAAGCGGATTAGAAAATTGGAAAATTTCATTCGTCGCACATAAATAATAAAGAACACTTTAACCTACGTCGTTTAATAAATCGAAATCGATAAGAAAGCGTTTCGTCCTCATTTTATGTTGAATATTTAATGTTGATGATTCTCGTAATGTTGCAATGTTTCGACGTATCCCTGACGAACACTTGTTGTTTCTAGTTGCCCAAACTTCAACGCAGGCGCCCTAGAATTAAATAATGATGGTCTCTTAACGTCGTTTTTATTGAAAAAAGAAAAAACACCAACTTATGTCCCTAAACAATGCCCGCTCAACATCGAATTCTCATCAGTATAGCAGCAAATACACGGCAGCAACACTTGAGACGTCTTCTTCTGAATCGAATCTTGATCGCACGTCGCAAGATATTGAGAGCTATTCGTCACAACAAGAAGAAATCAGGTAAGATAAATAATAAAATTAATTTTATTTGAGAATTATAAAAATATTAAAGGGACGTAATAAAATTTTTATGAGATAAGAAAGGATTAAAACTATTTGTGTAGAGAATAGAACTTGTAACTAATCGTAACCGAAACCTGATTATTTATGTGCAATTTGTACCTTATCTTTAAAATTTAATAATTTATATTTTCGAAACGGCTTTTTGTTGCAGTTCGGAAGAGAGTGGCGATGAAACTGACGAATCCAGCGATTCACATCTTGAATTAATTCAATACAAGTTGACGCATAAGTTATTAAAGCCGTTCAAAAAGATCCGATTAAAAAATAGAAAATTTTGGCCGCAAATTTCAAGAAAATTAAAGAAAGATTTGGAAACTGGTCATCATGGAAATCGGTAAGTACTTTTAAATATTACATCATTTTTGACACGATAAAAAGCGAGTTTAACGATTTTTTGAAACAGCTTTTAAACCATCTTGAGTCATCACAACTTAAATAATAACATGAAGTGTATGATTTCGCATTTTCAACTCAAAAATAAAGCAAATACTTGTTCCTTACAATTGAACTTGTAAAATTGTATTTGTGTTTCGCTTGAAGATTATATGGTAGAATAATGATATTTTAATCGCTAATAACTGCTTGGTCAACTAACAATCGCATTTGTTCTTTAAATCCCAATAAAATTTAATTTAATTTTATCATCAAAAAGTTAGGCAACCCAAATAACCGTTCAATTAATTTCCTTCAATTTTTTAATTTTACTTTTAAATTTCCAGTTTATTGTATTCCAAATACTCCTACTTAGTAATAAATAACTTTCTGAATCGAAATACTGCATTCTCGTTATTATTTATTTTGTGGGGAAAGTTAAATGAAAAAGGAACAAACATTTATGAGTTTCAAACAAATAGGAGTGAGACCGGGGATACTGTAAAGCTTGATGATATTATCAGGCATTTCTTAATATCATTTTTAGCTACCCCCTTTGAGACATCATAAAATCAAAGAGTTGTTGTACCGAAAATTAAATATTTATCACATTAATTTATTCTAATGTAAATTAAAGGTTTTTAAACATGTCCTATGAGGTGCGGTCCAACTGTTTAAATTAAATTTATGAAAAGACAAGCCCCTTTAGGGCCACACCCCAATCGCCACAATGAAATCCATTGCCCTACCCAGTATTATTCCCTTTCGTGCCTTTGAAATTTATACTAAATGATAAGGATCAAACAATATGGTTGTAAACCAACAGTAAAATAGAAATTATTATACAAATGAATCGTTAAAATTTGCTAAAATGTAGTTTGCTTTAAAGATAATTTGGTTGTCTAACTTTGGTGTTCTTGCAATATCTTATTTATATCAACAGCTAAAAATAAATTAGTATATAGTTATATGTACTTATAAATAGTTGTTATATAGAATGACGCATACCCTTAATTAAGACTGATAGCAAAAAAAAGATGCAGTTCGGGAAGTAAAGCAGGGTGAGTCACGATGAATTTCTGTGAACCACAAAACTGATTGAATGCACTTACTTTACAGCTCATGACGTAACGCATGCTACATAGAGACTATGTTCCTAAAACCATTTTACAATTTGATGCTTACTTGAGTTCAAGAATTTTTTCTATACATTCAGTTAAAACTTTAACCTATCATGCTTATAGTGAGAGAAAGAATAAGTGTATAATAGGCATTCTTTGGAAGAAAATCATTATGATCGACACCATTAGCAGGATAATCTCCATACAAAATGGAGGAAAGATTCTTTTACAACTTGATGATAGGTTGTGGGTTAAATAAGTATTCTTTAATTTGATGATAATTATAGAAACCCAATAAAAGTGAAAACGTGTTGACATCAATTATGTACCCTACATAATTTCAGCACGATTGTCGGCGCCAGTAATCGAGGTCAAAGCTCTGAAAGCTCAAAAAAGTCCACATCCCTTGGCCTTGCACAACACGCGAAAGCCATACTGAAGCAACTGAGGTACGATCAATAATTCGTTGGTCAGCGTGGGCGATCCTTTCTCCCTTTCATTCACGAAAGCATAACACGAAATCGGATTCCGTTCTGACGTCGTCTTTCCCGGGAAAATTAGCTTTCCAGGTTACGCTTCTCGAAATCGCCCCCTGTTTCATCAGAAAAGTCGAAATTTCTGGAACATTTCCAGGATCTTGTTTTTAGTACGCGTGCGTGGTATCAGTATTGAAGGGCAGCATGGTGTGATTCAACCGAATCTTTCCCCAGTACACGTCCGCGACTCACTTTTAACCAAAGCGGGATGTAATAAGACTAGAGTAACATAATTTTATCGAGACGTCATTCTTTATTCGATTTTAGATTATTTTCTTTTTGTTGAGAGTGATAGGAAGTGTTTTCGAATATCAATCGATTATTTACACTGCCAGTTCCACACATCTTCCATTAGGTAAAATCAATCGTCGAAATTCGCCCATTCTACTATAAATTAATGTTAGAAAATTTCTCATTTCATCATTATATTTTTTGTAAAACACAAAAATGTTCTTTTTTTATTGACTTATAGTAATCCATTTATATCGTTGACGTTTCGTAATTCATTACGAGATATTTTTACGTTAGTGTGGCTTGTGTTACAGGTACTGGTCGATTAGATATGTTTCGAATCATAAATTATTTTCAGGTCGTTTTCATTTCCTATATTGAAAATGAATTAGTCGAGAACTGAATTGCGCCAGTATATCAAAATTAGCGAGAATATATGGAAGATACAAATTTTATCTTAATTTAATTTTATTTTTATAAATTTCTTATTTTTGTATTTTGAATTTGCATTAATAGTAAATGTTAGGTATGCATTAATTGTTACAAATGTAAAGTCATAAGCAGAAATGCTTTTTATGGTGAGAAACAACTTCGTGTCACATGACATTTGAATATCTCGTTCATCCTTGAAATTCTGACCTTTCCCGGAATGCCTTTTAACTAGGAATCGAGAATAAATTCAAAACGACTTTTTTACGCTTTAATTTAGGTCGACATAGATTCCAAAACTTTTTTTCGTTCAAAACAATTTTTAGAAACGGACGAGTTCAATAAAGATAAATATATTAAATGCAGCGAAAAATTCCACTTGATTCGAATGATATTGCGCAATTTCCAAGAGATTTATGCGAGTCATTTTTTACGACCTAAAATTGTTTTTGAATAATTGCCAATTATTCTATAATGTTTTTTTAATAACAAAATTTCTCAATGAACATTTACAGTTTTACTCAACGCGATTTCTGTAACGCAAGCCAACTTTCGACGTTGTTAATACTTTGGATTTTGAAGCCTTTTTATGCTTGTGACATACGATTGGTTTTAGACGTACTACATATCTTACAGCTCAGACAGTATTCGACACCAATTGAGAACTAATAGCCACACTTGTCTTCGCGTAAAATACTTGGTTTCATTCCTAACCAGATCTCGTCTAAAGTTCTATATTAAAGTTACAACTCAATCAGAGCTCCTCTTCGTCAAGTGAAGGTAATTAAGCTATGAAACTACAGCTTATTGTCGTAGAAACTGGAGACAAGTGGAGACGCGCTTTATTGAGGTAAGGTGATTGTTAGATATTCTTAAATTCATTATTATTAGAATTAGAGCAATAATAAATAAGACATGTTTAGATTGGTTCAAAGAAACAATATAGTTTTAATTAATATTAGAAAACGACGTTAATTGCATGACGTACGAGTTATTTATGGTATTATAAAATATTGAGACGAAACCTCGAATGATTGGGTTTCTCTCAATTTAGGTATTTATAATTCTAGTCAGGCCACATCATCAACTTAAATAGAATCATTAAATTGATACTATGAAGTTGTTCTTGAACCTCAGATGCCCTTCGTCGTTAAATCGTAATGGTAACAAATTGACACGAATAGATTCTAAAAATACGACACGTGTAAATAGGATGGTTCTGTCTAAACTGATTGATGTTTGTCCTTTAATCTTCTATTAAAATTCCAAAGGGTTTCCAACGGTTAAATTGTAATAGAAATAAATTGATAGGAATAGTTTCAAAATAGACTTTGAAATAGTTTAGTATCAGAATCGGTTTCTTTATTTAATAAAGTAGACTTTCCGTAATTCGATTTCCTGGAAAGACGTTCGCCAAGCCCATTCCCGTTTCGTTTGCAATCAATAAAGTTCGCCGGATATAAACATCACCTGGGCAAATGATTGCCTTGCCTCCCATGTCAACCCCTCGACCCATTTAGGTACCGATCCATGGCTCTCACACCGAACCAGAAATCCTTGCTATATTTCCTGATAGGGCGCCAGTTCCCCTAGGGATAATGGTATCGAGGTCGTTCTGCTCTCGGTTCAATATTAAAAGCTTTTCCTTCGCCTATATACCCTCTTTCCGCGCGTTTCATATCGCGGATTTTGCAGGATTCGCTAAATTGACATACTATCATACGCCGTGAGATTTTCCTTTCGATGTGTACTTACGAAACCTATCGTAATAAAACACAATTTTGTTATAAAGATTCTAAATTTTATCAAATATTTCAGTAACAGAAATTACTTAAAATATCTTTACGACATACAAAACAATTACAGACCTTGGATAATAACGTAATAAATTGTTTTGTGTAACGATGGTATAAACTACATTGTTTGTAAATTATATACGTTCAAAGCATTTACTATTTCAATGAATAATCTTATTGTGTTCGTTTATAAATAAATTAAAAATTGCAAGGTAAGGAAAACGTTTCGTGCATCTCATTAATTCGTAAATAAATACGTATAATGATTAATTAAGATGAAATAGAGATACTAAGATACCAATAGGTAACAAAATATCGAGGGAAATACCTACGCCCGGAGGCGTCAGACAAGGCAACAGCTTGTGTCCTTTCTTATTCAATATGATGATGGATAAGATGATAGAAAAGGTCACAGAATTAAAGATGGGGTATCGAATACGAGGCAGGATCATAACCATGATTTACTACGCAGATGACGCTATCATGTCTTCTATGAAATAGCACAAGAATGATATTCAGCAAAGAGCCGGTTAGATATAAATTGGTAATTCTAAATAAATGCAAGTGATGCAATTTAAATATCTTGTTGTAAACATATCTAGTCATCAGAAACTAGTATAGGACCTCCAGAGCCAGACTAATAAAACGGCTGCAATTTCAGAATGCTACAAAACCTGTGTACGACCAGTGTTAACCTACGGCATCGATACAAGAAACATTAAATAAAACATTGAGCGCTATAGCAGACAAGACTTTTTGAGATCGTCTAAGAAACGGTGACATAAGACAACGTACGGAGTTCAAAACTTGGTTAAATAGGAAATGGTGCGAAGGAGAGGATCTCCACAA